GAACCACAATTAAAAAATTAAGGCGAAACATAAATGTCACGATTTCGATAGAATACATAGGATCAGAGGAGCGGCGCGCACGCATAACAATGCCGTTTTTGATCGTAAGGCCCGATAAGAGTCGCGCTTAGGGCGTCGCGGAAAATTTTAATACAAAGTATCCATAAAGTCTTTGTAACCTCCCTTTCAACGTGACCCGGTAGCACAAGGCGTCACATAGGAAAAACTAACAAATCGAAAACGCATCTCCCAAATCCTTGTCCAAACACAACCAATTGTTGAAAACTTGTAATGAAATTGTAATTCGAAGCATAACATGAAATGCTCAGCAATACACAAACATCACAATAGACGGAAATGAAAGATGGAAGACGGTTTTCTAAAACAAAATAATATGTCTTAGAACACTTATAAAACTAAATAATACCAAATTCAGCAATGATCCAAATATAAATAACATACCGATAATATTTATGACACCGGGTAAGAAAACACATACATCAGTGAACTTCAAATTATGCAACTTAAAGTACTAGCATTCTTACCCAAAAATCATTGCATAATACATTCTGGAAACATCAGTACACTTTCTTCACAGTAACAAGTGTACGGCTCAATATCTTAACACCAAGGGCAACAACCCAATAAATCCAGTTACTAACTAATTTAGATGTCTAAGTCATCTACAAGATAAACACAATAAACAGCAATAATTAAATCACAATAATACCAACACAAAGAAACTTTAAAAACTTGACTTGGCAGCAAAACAGCAGCAAAGTATGGTGCAATATCCATTAATGGCGGCGAACTCGACTTAACAGCGCCTACACGTGGCAACAATATTATTGCCAAACAATAATACTTGGATCCTGTGGATCGTGACGTAACAGTCTTTACAATTTTAATTTTGTTATGAAGTGAGTCCTCAATATATTTTAACCAGGTTTGTTGCTTTTTTGAACAGTAATTCATATTATATATACGCTTTGGCCAGACCCAGAGAAGTTATGCGCTAAGTTTATCTTCCTAGTTGTTTTCATGTCATACTGGTAAGAACTGCTGTTTTAAGTCTCGCGTGGATTGATATTTGCTGACACGCGATTTTACACTAGAGATGTATCGGCCAATTTTTCGGTAGTGCATCGGTATCGGCTACATTTAGACCGATATTTCCGATATATTTAGCTTCTCAATAATATGATCCAGAATGTTTTAAAAAATAGGTTAAAATACTAATCTTGAAATTATTTTTTGCTTGGATAGGTCGTGAACTATGAGCCATGCACGTCCCCACCCCGGCTAGTAGAAACGGGAATCGGATTTTGACCTGTTTTTAGCCATTTATTAGCAAAACTGGCTCAATCAATTTTAGTAATTTCACTGCCAAATTTTTATATCAAAATTTTTAATATTACATGGTAATTATGAAAAAATATATCGATCGAATATTAGTGCATGCTCCAATATTTAAAATATAAAATATGACGTTATATTGGCACAAAATCCTTCCTGCGCATGTAACTCAATGTATCAGTTTCATACGGTAAGTAGGCTGAACATTTATTTGTTTTACCACCAACATTAGCCAAATTCTATTAGTTTTCTAATAAATCTATTTGAACACTGAGATTACTAGCGCCAGTGCATCTGAATCAATTAACGCATTTGGATCTCAAACATCTACTTCTTAATACTACTTAATGTGTGTGATATGTATATATATATATATATTACTCTTTTTTGATCCGAAATAATGTGCACTATTAATAAGGCTGAAAGGTAAAAATTACACTTGAGGTAGCCTAATAGTTACATAATATCGGAATATCGGTCGTTTTTGAATATCGGCGTATCAGTATCGGCCTTTTTAGCTGGTATCGGATCGGTATTGGCGACAAAAGTGGTCTCGGTACATCTCTATTCTACACTATAATTTTTTTAAGTCGGTTATTTTTTATAACTTATAGCCAGTGGTGGGATTCAAATTTTTTGTCAGCCGGTTCCATCACAAAAATCATATTTTTCGGCCGGTTCTGTTACATGTTTTTTTAAATAATGCTAACCGGTATGCTGATCTCATAAAATTCCGTGAGACGGTTCTATAGAAACGGTGCGAACCGGCTGAATCCCACCACTGCTTATAGCCCAACTGATACTTGAACCTCGAACTGTAATTCCTAGAGTCAATATTATTATTTACAGTTTTTCAAACAAAAGTGTAGAACATGAAAACTTTAGATTATATCATAATGGTTGACTGGCTTAGTTTCGGATTTATTTTAAAATTTAAATAAGCAGCCAAGGGTTCTGGATTAAGTTGGTGCGATGGTCTTAGTTCATTAAAGTTATATGCGAGTTGTACGCATATTTTAGATGTGCTCGTCTGCAGGCTGAACAATTCTAACCAAAACTGGAAACATAACGATGCTAATTGATAAAATTTAACTTATTAGTTATGACGTTTCTAATGTACAACAGCCCAAACGATATCTTCGTGTATTTTTCATTGTTATGATATTTGATCCTTTATAGTTTACATGCGTTTTTTGTGTTTGTAAGTGAACTCGATGCGAGGTTTGGCTTGACAACTAGAAATCTCTATATTTTATCTTATGTGTAACAAATAGAGTGATCGAAATAATCTATGTCTCGCGAACCTGAAAAAAATATTTATCAAGAACAACATTCAAGGTAGATGTGCGTGGGCGAAGACTACTATCGGCCGCGTAAACCACCCGGGGAAAAGTTCAGCAAATCTTCAGAATACCCCTAATTTGCATACCAAAGCCTATAAATAAGGCATGTCTCCGATTACCGTCATACTTCGTTTTTGATTATACAAACACGTATAGCGGAAATGGCCCCCACAAAAGGAGCAAAGAAGGTTGTGAAACAAGTCAATGCCAAAAAGGATGCCAGGAAAGCTCGAAGGAAGCGCAAAGAAAGCTTCGGCATTTACATCTACAAAGTTCTGAAGCAGGTTCACCCAGACACCGGCATCTCCAGGAGAAGCATGAACATCATGAATTCTTTCGTAAACGACCTGTTCGAAAGAATCTGTGGCGAGGCCTCTCGACTTGCGCATTACAACAAAAGGCGTACCATCAGCAGTCGCGAAGTGCAAACCGCAGTTCGCTTGCTTCTTCCCGGTGAACTTGCAAAACACGCAGTTTCTGAGGGAACCAAGGCCGTGACAAAGTACACCAGCTCCAAATAAGCTGTTATAAGTTTTGCCAATCACAACGGCTCTTTTTAGAGCCACCCAAAACTTAACGAGATGTTTCCATTGTAAGCGGATCCGCAAAAATAAATATCAAGACACCTATGCCAGGACGGTTAGCGGATGTATCACTTTAACCATTTATACCTACTAGCGATGGAAATTCCAATGCCTCTTTATTATCATTGTCAGTACTCAGTATTACTTTTATCGTTGCTATTAGGATTGGGCATTTCTAATCGTCGCCATCTTGTTTTTTTCCGTCAAAGGTAGAGGTGAATCCTTCTCAATTTTTTTGCGATGCCATGTCCCGTCAGAACGTTTTGATCGTCGTTTTTTTTTCTTTCAATTTATCCTCCGGTCGGTTCGGAACACGCCCAGACTTGCATCTCGTGCATTTTTAAAGTGCAATTCGGACATGCCCCCCGCCTCCTAGCGAGTTACCATGTTTCCCCGAAAATAAACCCTCCTAGAGAGAGACCTAGTCGATGGCGCGATTTTTTTTTCGACCTAGTCCTCAACAAGAATCTTCCCTACACGTTGATTATCTAAAACGTGTAATTTATAGGTAAATGAATATTGGTTTTCAATTGTATATTGGGAAATCTCGTAATTCTCTACTTTGTGATTTTGTTTTTGATAAAAAATAAGCTCTAGTGTTATATTTCGAAAGAAAATTGTAATAAGACCCTATCTTGTTTTCGGGGAAACACGGGGGATGAAACATGTTTCTCTTTGTTTATGACAACTCAGCGAACTGACTTACAGAGTTGGATCAGTTGTAATTGATGTAATTAATTACAGTTTTTCATGTAATTGTAATGTAATGGAGGCATTTTCATTCTGTGTAATTGTAACTGTAATTTGCTCAAATTTCGGCTCAATTACACTTTCAAATAGACTAAATCTTGGTATTTTAAGAAAAGATGAACATCAAACAAACTCTTCCGAAATCTGTGTTGAACCATTTCCTGCACCAATGTCAGGTTTTTTTTAAATCTTTGAGCAGCACTGAGGCATGCTGTAATCACTGCAAAAAGAAAGTTAAGTTCTCAACCAAAGCTCGTCAAACTTGATCACGCACTTGAAGAGATGTTATCCCCATCTATATCCTAAATATATGAATTTCAAAAGAAAACACCAGAAAAACACGATGAAGGCTAAGGTTGATCATAGCCAACCACCTAACAAGTCATTTTTTTAGACTACTTCTTCTCAGCGATGGCAGAAGATTTAAAAAGAAAAGACCAAGGAAATCAAGTGAAGTAGATAGATATTTGGGAGAAAAAAATCTGCAATTTGATGAAGACTCATTAATGTATTGGAAAATAAATAAGAAGAATTTCCCACGCTTGCTTCTTTAGCCAAGAATTATTTGGGACTAACAGCAACAGCAGCCTCGTCAGTACGAGTTTTTTTTAACTTTTATACGGCAAGAAGAAATTTATTGGGGTCAGAAACTTTTTGCTGTCTAATCTTCATCAAGCGCAATCAGACAGTTTTTGAGCAAGTGAAAATGTGAATACGAACCAAAATGTTATAATTGTAAATGTAATTTGATATTTTTTGCACAGAGGAATTGTAATGTAATTGAAACATTTAAGGGAGTAAATAATTGTAATTGAACTGAATTAATGTAATTGTTCCAACTCTGCTGACTTAATGATCGTTTTTATGATTTCCACTAATTTATTGTGTCTGAAGGCATCATCATAATAATAATAAAAGTCACATAATCGAACAAGACCATCAGATTTCAAATATGCTAGGTAACCGGAAAACGACTCGAACCACATGTGAAGCGCTGCACAGTCAATGACCACATGCTGGCAAGCGCGGACGTCCACGAAATAGTCCGTTTTACCTAGTTTTCGGCGTTGTTGATTGTAACAAGCGAAAGGACTGACAGGGATTCACAACATGTCAATGCTTGCAGAAAGTAAGTAGATTTTTGCTATTCAGCGAAAATTTCATGTGATGTTCATTTCTAGCGTTGGCTACAAACAAACACTGAAACAACGGCGTACCGGGTACCAGCATTTGACCTAGTTAAATATACTTAATTAAGTCAGTGCCGTAGGTACAGGTACAGTAAGGATTTACCTTGGAGGAGAACCAGTTTTTGAAAATGAAATGCAGCATTTGTTTGATTTGTGTATTGTAGTCTTGGCTAGTTGAACTTCTAAACGTTCTAACATATTTTTATATTTCAGGTCGAGATAAGAAAAAGTGGTCAATAGACCCAAATGGCACAAACTGGTCAAAAGACGAAAACAAATTTGGTGTGAAAATGCTTGAAAGAATGGGTTGGACCAAAGGCAAGGTACGGTACCGTATGGTCACAGTCAACTGCTTATCTTTCTTTCTGCAATTTCATGATTTTTGTGTATACAAATTTAATAATTTTTTTGACTTCAACCAGCACTACAGCACTAGAATATGCCATATCGTTACCGGTACCGTACTATAGGTACAGTACTATCGTATTGACTCAGTGATAATGCCACCATAAATAGATAATTGGTTTTGAAGGTGTATTTTGTGTAAAGTGATGGATAGCCGTCGATAGTAAATACCAGTGCTAGAATTCGATGAGACCTTTATTGAGTGAATCAAATCAACAATTTTCCTTTTACTCCATTACCATTATCTAACTTCATTGGTTCAACTTTTAATAGTTTTTTGTGTATTATTGCAAAAATGATGAAAATGCAAACAGCAGTATTAGTACGGTCTTACTACTTCTGTACTTACTGAATACAGCGCGAAACACCGCAAAGAGCGCGAAACAGCGCAAAACAAAGGAAAACAGTGTGGAAACCGCGCAAAACAGCGCGAAATAGAGGGAAACAGTGTGAAGCAGAAAAAAATTTTGCAATGAGTTCGGGGCACCTTGTTTTGAGTTGGAGTACCACGGCAGCAAATTAAAATCACAAACCAACGTATGTAGTCAGTAATGCTGTAATGGCAGGTATGCCCCTGCTGGTGACACATTTTGGGTACCATAATTTAGAACATTTTCCATATGGATATGGTTGGCTTTAGGGTTAGGGTTAGGTAAAAGGGGACCTCCAGAAGTATGTGCACCAAGATGGCGCACAACCTGAAATTGTATGTGTGTGTGTGTGTGTGTAGCGGATTCTGGTTGTGCGACATATTGCACATACTTCTGGAGCACCAAAAAGGTAGATAAAATTTCGCATGATGACCTATAATCCGGTACATAACCTTGTAAATATGCCGGAAATAGCGCCATAAAACCATGGCGAGAGGCGCCGTGGTTCTTTCGTGGCAGGAGGTGGTAATGACTGCGTCTCCTTTTTTGCGCTGTTTCCCTCTGTTTTGCGCTGGTTTCCTTCTGTTTTGCGCTGGTTTCCTTCTGTTTCGCGCTGGTTTCCTCTGTTTTGCGCTGCTTCGCGCTATTTTGCGCTGTTTTGCGCTCTTTGCGGTGTTTCGCGCTGTATTCAGTAAGTAGTAAGACCCGTATTAGTATCATCATAGAATGATATAATTCTGCAATCTTCTGTAATGAATAGCATTTTCTTTACTTTGCTCCCAAATATTTCAGGGACTGGGAGCGAATGAAGATGGGAGAATCGCACACATTAAAATTAAACATAAAAATGATAATCGTGGAGTTGGATGTTCGATAAAGCAAGAAGTGGGTTCACAATTTCATTCATTTTATAGTTAAAATTAGAGTAGTTAGTCACTGCGGAGGGTGCCAGTCCCAGGATGAAGGTTTAGGTAACTTATATTCAGACTAGTAGATCACCAAATCACATGTTTATATCTTTCTCCGGAAAGCTAATACAATAATTGAACCCCTATAATGTTTAATAGTTATATTTTGAATATTTCATTTGAATTCCTATTTGACAGCAAAATTGGGTTGCTCATCAGGATGACTTTGCAGATTTACTAGCACAATTGAACAATCATCACTCCGATCAAACTGACGTGAAAAACATGAATGGTATATTCGAGAACTTAATTATTTATTCATATTTTTGAGATTATGTACTATAAATAACAATCACTTTGCCTCAATACTTGTATGGCAATTTGAAGATGGGATAAAAAAAATCAGAAAAAAATGAATGTATTGCAGTCTTGCTTCATGACCAACTATAAATTTGATATCATTTATGAGTTTTGTTTACACCATTTTGTTGTATTCAAAAATCTATGTTGATCAAACAAGATCACTTTTCACAATAACACTTCGAAATCTTCCATTTTCGCATAAAATTGAAGTATATTCGTATATCATGATATGTTACAAAACAGGTCATTTTTATTATTAAAAATTTCTATTTCAAACATTTTCTATGCAACTTGTACTAATGTGCCTTCCTATTAAAACAATGTGATCAAGTTAACCAGTAATTTGTTTGCTGTAATATGAAGGCAGAAAAAAATTTGCAAAACATCCAAGGTCGCATGCCACACAATGCATTGCTACCCATTTCACCTTTGCTACAAGTTTTAAAATTAACTTTGCTAGCCAAAATAGTGATAGAGGTAATCTATAAAGTACTAGAATAAGTTAGATTTTCTTATTTTTGTCAAGAAGAATAGAAGCTGATAAGATCGTTATATTATATCGTCCCTATATATATACATCATTTTTGTTTATTCCACAGGTGTCTCCAGCCTTGAAAAGAAATCTAAATCACAAAAGAGAGTACATTATCACAAATTTGCAAGAGGTATGGTAAAAATAGAGAAGAATAATATATCAGCTAATTTTCAAGTGTCATAAACGTGCCTTTTGCCCCAAAACAAGGCCCTGATATCTCGGGATATTTAAGTAGCTACTATTATTTGAAAGGAAATTAATCTTCCCAGTTCGGCATAGACTATCCATTTTATCACACCATTTTCACACTGGATTGTTGTTATTTTCTAGGTAAAGACCTTTCCAATTACAAAGAGACTGATCTTGCAGCAATATTTGGAAAAACAGCATCCAAGAGTGAGCCTGTTACACCTATCAATTTGTCAGAGGTGATTATTTTTTAAACATTGGGGTTGGGCCATTGATATGTTTCTTGGCTTTTTTAATTCAGAGTAAGTGTACTATAATGGATAAAAACCTAAAAAATTTTCGATATTTATATCTGAAAGAAAATTCTCTTGTATCAAATTCGCTTCAAACATAAAAATATTATCAATTTTGGAAACACTGATTTTTTGTGTTGTTGCTGATCGCGAAATCTTTATTTCTGATTCATGTAGGATGAAATATCTGATGCAGACAGCACTTCATCCTGCCCAGAAAGCAAGAAAAAGAAGAAATCAAAAAAAAAGAAAACTACTGAAAAAGAATCCCCAAAAAATAATGCAACCAATCATGTAACTTCTACAATAAGTGTGCAAGAATATTTTGCACTAAGAATGGCTGCAATTAAAAAGAAGGTAACGTAGTAAAAACAATTCATTAGGTGGTGGGCACAGGGGCGGACACTTTCCATAATTTTGGGGGGGCGAAATTGGATCGCCTACCGAAAAACACCGCGCCGTGTATCGTCACGTAACAGTAACCTGTCGATGTCATTCTCTAAGTATTAGCATGTCATTTTGCTACTCATATATCGATTACCTAGGCTGCTTTGCTCGGACACGGAACTTGCGCGTCACTGAACCAATTTCTTGAATTCCGCGAGAATTAGCCCACGGCTTTTGCTAACAAACAGAAAATAACAAATTTGAGGTCGGAACATCCCATTGCCGTCTGCAACAAGCACCGCGATTACGCGCTAGTTAAAAGAGCCGCCTATTTAAGCGTATAATGTTTTTTCTGTCGATCCATGAGAGCCACGAGATTCTAAAATGTCCTTATATATTAATTTAATTGTGTGCAGCGTAACTCGCGGTTGCGACTTCTTAGGTCAAAATAAAAATATTACTAAACTAAAGTACCACGGCGATATGGGGAAATAAAAATATGAGATAAGCTGCCTGATGTATTTAATTTTGATACCTATTTTTGCAATCTTCCGAACTCGTTATCGCCGTTACAAAAATCTCGATATCTGGTATAAAATCCCATATAGTTAATTTTACTTCATACAATGAAAATAATTATAAAGTATACTAGTAAATCAAAAATACAAATTCACCGCCTCGAAATCCACGCGGAACAGTCGCCGCGATTACGCCACTTGTTAAAAGAGCCGACTTTATCAACGAAAAATGATTTTTCACTTGTGCAAAGTAATCAATCGAAGACCGATACGGGCATATTCAAAATGTCTTGATTTATTATTTTAATTGTCTTCAATTTAAACTACGGTTGAGTCGACAAAACAAGAGCCATTCTAACACACGACGGCAATCCGCGGACATAAAAATGTGTGGTAAACTGCCCGTTTAGATATTGTTTTGATCCGTATTTTTGCTATTTTGCGAATTCGATAAATTTGAGATTTACTTGTAACACTGGCACCAATCGCAATGTTGTCACTTCGATTATTTTTAAAGATAAAACCTTTCGAAAAATCCATAACTTTTTTGTCAATTCTCACGTAGTAAAAGTTATTTCAGTACAATAAAAATACATAAATAAATATAAAAAGGGATCGAATATACTTTAATTATCTTATATATCATCACAAACCGGGGAAAAGTCGCGTTGTCAGCTTTGTTTAATGTTAACACGAAAATTTTCGACGTCAATTTAAAAGTAATGGATAAAAAGGCAAATCCCGCTCACAATTGACCGTGTTTCGATTTTAGTGACGAAATGTTTTTAAAGGTCAAGCAAACATAATTTGTGAAATTTTGCGATTTTCGATGCCGAGAAAAGCGTTTTTAGACTGTCGCGGGCCTCAACAAAACCTATATTGTTTACAGTTTTATTTTTAGTATTTTATATTGCCGCTTTTCAACTTTTCGACATAGTAAATGCTTTGATCTTTGCCCGCAAATTATGCTGGGCCTTGCACGAAATCCATAACGTGAAAATATACGTCCAGCGGTGAAAATTGTTTATAACAACTTTAGATCTAGTTAATTTTTTAGCGATAATAATTAACTGTTGTAATGAAACACAGTTTGCCTCTTTCACTTCTCTCGCAAGTGCCAACAATAACACTATTGAAAGATTTTGTCAATGAGGAAATCATATTAAATTGTACAAAAATGAATTAGTTGTGCAAAACCGTGGCGCGTGATCGGCGGTGCGTTTGAAGACGGAGTATTACCCGTGCGGGCGCGCATGTTTCACGAAAATGTGAGGTGCTCCGAAGACGCTCTGGTCCACATTATTGTGAGAAAACAGTTATAATATCGGTGACTATTAACCGTTTAATTGCGCTTGACTATCGCACTTTTCGGAAATGATAATTTTGTAAGGCGGAAACAACATGTATTAATTTTTTTTGCGAAATTATTGGGGGGGCGACCGCCCCCCCTCGCCCCCCCGGGTGTCCGCCCCTGGGTGGGCATAGAATCTGACATTTTTAATCTGTAATTCGAACCCTTGTTCCATTGGGTCATTAAAGCGGATGATCCTAGCAAGCTTTCGGTAATAAAAACCAAATTTTTCCAGAATTTAAATTATTTTTTTTTCCATTTTCAGGCTTCATCTCCTTCAGTTGCTTCAAGTCCCAGTGAAGAAGATAGCACTATTGACACAACAACTGCACAGGTATAGTCATTTTCATCTCCAGTAACTCTTCAAATATGAATTTACATTGCAATTTAATAAGACTCAAGCTGAAGAAATGACTGCTATTTATTATATTGATTGCCCCAAAATTCAAAGTGTGGTACAAGGTTTTAGATTTGTTCTTCACTTGGCAATGCGAGATTTTATTGCGAAAAAATTTCTCAAGTATCTTTCTCGTAGGAGCCCAAGAACGACTGTATTCAGAATATTGCTAGCTGGTTTTTCCCTACAAATACCTGACTTTTAAAACTATTGCACAATTTTTATGTAGGAAGAAAAAGCCGTCACTGCCACAGATAATGATTCGACCGTTGATTCAACAAATAAAATAAAGAAAAAGAAGAAATCGAAAAAAGTTGAAGATTCAGAAACTACAGAACCAGCCGAAGCTGATAAGACTTTGAAAAGGAAGAAAAAATCAAAACTGAAAAGTATTGATACAAAAAAGGACTCTAATAAAATGGAATCTTCAAATAATTCAGATAAAAAAGTGAAGAGAAAATCGAAAAAGCGCAAAAATAAAGACTTGCAAGATGACGATTTAAATTTATCAACAAACAAATTTAAAAAGAAGAAAACTGAATGATATTTTCACTGGTATATATTAGTAACAAATTTGCATAGTAAAATGTTTTGCTAGTTTGAGAATGGTTTTAATATCGTTTCTAACATGACTTTATTCAAAGAATTATATTGTGTTGAATTTATTTATATCTCGTTTTAGAGGGAATTGGGAAGTAATCACTTAGACATTTCAAAATATCAGTGACATTGGTGATCTATCTACCTAGGTTTTGAAATGCCATGCTGGCGCGCGTTATTGAATAGGATAGTATCCTAGAAAAGATTGGCGAGTCGTAGTTTTGCGTTAGAAATGCTCATTCAAAACTAAGAAATCTTATTTTTTCGACCTATTTGCTTCGATTTTCGCCATTTATTAGCGGTTAGCACCGTGGTTCAACGCACAAAATCATTCGAAAAATGTTACTAAATCATAATGCGAAGAACTTTTAACCTGAAACGAAATTCTATTGCGCCCGTTACTAATTATCAAACAATCTTTACATAAGTCTATTTTTCCCTAATCATACTTGAGAAAAGTTATCAAGAAAGTATTGAATTGAAGTTCCCAAGGAAGCCATTTGTTTGTATTTGTGGTAACGCCACATTCAGGAGGGAAATATCTATTTTTGTGTACAAGTACCGCGTTTGCACAATCTATTATTCTATTACATCCCTTCAAAATTCGCTTGGGCTAATTTTTTTGATTGGAAACCACATAGTATTCGAAAATGCCAAGCCATGATGAAGAATAATATGTTTCTCCACTTTGTTCTAGCCCGTGTTTTGCTAGTTTTGGGGAAAAGGTCACATTAGTTTTTTGACAAGGGTTCGTTACATAACCATTTTTGTCTGGGGGTTGTAGAAATATTTTGAACAATCATTTCTTTTATTTATATACTTTGTGGTCTTGTATATACCTTATTTAACGTTAATAGACACGTCAGCTACGGCGTTACCCTCCTCTGATACTGATGTAGATTCGAAGGTTCAACGGTTACGGTCGGATATGGAAATAGCTAACCAGTATAGGTACAACTGTTTTTATGTTCAAGTATGGATGTTTTTTACATTAGAGTGTTTTCTATTCCACAGTCGGGCCAGGTTAATGATGCCTGATGTAACTATTGTTCAGCTCACGTCGCAAGGTATCGTAAGAGAGTCGCGTTCGGCGCCCAATTTCACCAGGATTTCCTAGCATCCTAACACAACTAAATTTACGGTACGTGATAAAAAGAGTAAACCACTGGAATAAATCTTTAATTACGTTTTAATTTTTACATGGTACTTCAGAATAATGATGTGTATTTATCAGGCAATAAATATACATATTTGTACATAGCCTACATATTAAACAAAACCGCGATGATGTATATACTCCTAGAGAAAATAGACAATTATAAGAAATATAATTAATATATAACTATACTTTGAACTATTTGTGTAACTAACATACTTAGCAAGAATAAACGTAAATAGAGGCATCAGCTAATTTTTGTAGAATTCAAAGGGACCGATTAAATTGTATACCAACTTAGTGTTAGCGGGATATCTGCATAATTACACTCTTAGTTTTCAAAAAAAAGATCACTAGAATATTATCAATGAAAACTCGCTTCGAATAATGCGCTGAGCCACCGTGGAAAATTATAGCGATACATTGTACCGTCTTAGATGACCTTGCATATTTCTGGGCCATCATATTTACCTGTGAGAGATGTTGTTTGGGAGGATATAGGGATGAGTCGCTACGGTTGCATAAATGTGTTTTACGGTATTTAGTGAGAATATAAAAAGGAAATAAACTGTCTGATGACTAGTTACTGCGATCAAATCTAAATACTACTTTGAATAAAATTAGCATTTTTTTAACGAAATTGAGATTGATATTCTATGACTTTTCAAAATCATTTCTGAACATCTTGACAATAAGATAGTAAAAATATCGTCAGAATTTGAACTGGTAGTAAAATGCATTTTTTTTAACTATCCAGCTAATATTAACTCATTTCTTCCCTGAGGCCGACGAGCTTTCGTTGTAAATTCGATGTTCAACGAGGCATATTATAACACCACATCGTAGGTAAGTAATAGAGGCAACATAGAGCTAAGTTGTGAAATCGCGTTACTGTAAATCATATTGACAAATTACAAGCTATTTGAGTATCAAACGGGTATTCTACAGTGTTAGGAAATTGAGATTTCCGGAGTGTAGGTTATAGTCGGCGACGATTTTAATGCCATGGATTTAAAAACATAAAAAAAAGTATTAAAACATTGGCCGTTTTAGAATATGTTGACGGTCACTGATAAATATGATAAAATTTTTTTTTACATCTGCAAAAATATCAGCGAAAAAGTATGTCAGTCTGTATCGTAGTATTATGGGTTCACATCGAATAATTCGTTTATTTCGAATTCATTGACTCATAGTATAATAAATCCTCTATAAAATAATATCTTGCAACATAGCGAAAAGTTTATAAATTTGGAATCATCATATTTTGTGGTAGATCAAATCTTTACTGAAAAAAATCTGCACAGTTTAGTCATGAGGGCAAAATATTATGTTTCTTGCTGCGAAAAAGCTAGACATTTGGGATCGTATTATTTTTAGGTTCATATGTGAAGATATATGACTATTATATTAAAAATAATAAAACAAGCGGTTGCATGTTTTCAACGTCAACATGTTTTTAATGCTTAAAAGTATCCAATTTCACGTCATTAGTTAGAATAATACAAGATTTGAACATTTTTTTTTTCAATTTGTAATATAACTCCTTTAAATTACATTAACTTATATTACCCAGAAATTCCAGTCTGCTTCGTGGTATTACAAATAAAATGCAAGGTATACCATCCGAACGTGCTTGGCCTATATGTTGAATTGGGCACCCGAAGACAAAGTTTGCACCGTGTCCCGTGTGAGTGCTCACCCTTCCATATTTTCACGGAATCGCGAGACAGCTTATTGGCGCGCAATTTCCGGCACATTTGTAATTTAGGTCAGGTTGTCAGCAACAGTACTACAGGAAATTAACTCGATGTAAGGCTGGATTTTACCCTGGTCTGAGAATGGCATGATATGGTCGGTATTAGTGTGTATTCTAAGTCATAAATTGGTGTAGGTAACAAAGTGTATATATGCCTTGCGTCGCGTGTTAGAAGGTGGATTCAAACAAAAATTCCTATTATTGACCATTATATTGATAAACCTCATAAATTCCAGTAAGTAACCCCAAACTATTACAGTCGTCTACTCCCTTTTTGCTATATCCGTACTAAAATGTTCAAATTTAGGGTAAAGTAAAACAGTTTCGGACACAGTTGCCAACCAAGTAGATTGGCTGGGAGGCTCCAGTTTGCATAATGCAAAGTCGTTCTTGTCTTACAAGACTCTATTGTTTGAGGTATCTCAATGTGGTAAAAGCTGGTAGGATGATATTTACCCCCTAATTAGAGCGTCCCTAACATGGACTAACAACAGGACTTTCTAACATTAACGGCGAGGAAGTCCCCCATCTCACTGACTCTATTTAACGACTGTGATAAATATGAGCTAACGACATTGGCGTAAAATGCTATCGAGTTCAGACGACATACGAGGTTAGATTTATCGACATCAACATTTTCACCACGCAGAACTAAAAATTACGTTTATGAGTGGAAAAACGCATGGTTCAAATATTCGAAAGCCTATTTAGACGTAAGTACGTGTCACCGACTCTGTTATGGAATCATAAAATATTGGATTTTATCAATTTTACCTAAGGAGTAGCCTAGGAAACTTTACTACCAATTCGCCGATCGTTTGCATTTCGGATCATCTGCATACGCGCTTTCCCCTTGGTACGCCTATCTCCAGTTATTCGTTCATGTGCCGCCAAAGCGTGCGAGGGCTACGGATTAGCTACCGGCACCTTTTCATCGCTCGGTATTCTCAAAGACACGTTACTAGGATTAATTATTTTATAAAGAGATTAGATCGGATAACCAACTTATCCGAATACAGTATGATATGTACTGAACTAATTAGCCAGTGTTTAGGTCTCACTTTTACTGCAACAATACCTAAAAAACCAGCCCGTTTCAGTAAATTTTCATTATTCTATGAAAGGTAGTCGAGTGAGAGAGACAATGATCTCGTACATGGATAGAGCTTAGACTAAGAAATGGAAACAAAGTAGGGTACGGCCGATGGATATCAATATAGCAGACAGATTTCCCCAACCAGTAATGTTCAGCATGTTGTAAAATCGTACGCATGCATGAACCGACTCAATTTGGTAACATTAAAAAGTTGAATAATATATAAAAAAATTAATATTATCACTTTTGCTCCGATGTTAGCCCAATCGTAGTTGTGCGGGTTTGTGTCTGACTCCGCAAGCGGACAACTTGCTGATAGTGATACAGGTTTTCTTTGGATTGGTATTTTTTGAATTAAAAGAAAACTAAGATTGGACTTTTTGGTTTAAATTCTAGTTTTTATGTTTCATTCTCGATTTTTCTTTGGTATTTTCAAACCCTGCACTTAGAAATTGCATATTGTAGTTGAAGACGACCGCTCACCTAAATAAACAACGACTTTGCCCGCAAGTTGTGATATTCTGCACGTTGCAGGACCGGTTTTAGCAATAATGAGGTTCACGATGTAAGTAGACTAGACTATAATGAAATTACGTTCACTTGATTGAAGTTATTATAGATTAACATTTTTAGAAAATTTACCTGCGCTAACCTGTTACTCTCTCCTCAGTAGTGATTGAAAACGAATTAAATTTAAGAGACAAACAAATACTTCTGACAGTGTGCGGTAACCACTTGGAGAAATAGATTTAAAGATGCCTGATAAACAATATGGATAAGCTAGAATGTTAAGGAATCTATTATTTTAGCGTAGTTTTACTACAGCTTGTTAATACTTTTTGTGTTTTCTTGTATAAGTTTCGTCAGATTTTGTTTGCGTGACACCGAGCAGGTTGCTTTCATAATATTGTTCACGTCACCGGCGATCGTCAGTTTTCAGCTTCAAATATCACCCTACCAATTTCATTTATATTCAATTCAAGAGTATTGCGCCAAAGTCTTATGGTAGGCTTTAACTTAACACTTCATCCGTTGCTATCGAACTATTTTTATTCTTCTATTCAACATTATTCGGTCCAGTATTGCAAATGTTCAGCCCATAAAGAATACGTCGTCAAAAATCATAGTAGGCCTTGTGTATGATTAATTTAACCACAACTATAACGTAGGCTTGGTGAGCAGGAGTCATCATCATCATCTCTACTAAGAATAAAAATAAGACGAGAGAAAAAAGAGATATCGCGCAGGTGCCGCTGGGTTTGCGTATATTCTCTCTCATATTGCAAGCACGCGTATATATACGCCCGCCGCATTTGTATCTATTGACCGAGCTGGTATCTATAGCTGAATAGGCTTAAAGCGAGACTTGGAGCATAATTTCAATGATGTACATGCACCAATTGTATTTTTGGGAAGGCTTAATACGCGTTTGAAATTTTGTTTCAATGGTTATAAGCAATTGTGTTGATAAATATTGTCGACAATTCGAGGGATTTTTGCCAGAGTGTTGCTCGTTCAACTTCCCGTTACTGGTTTGTCTAACGCTGCTAACATAAAGTTAAACTGAATCTTCCTTTTGATCCTGCAAAGCCTATTGAAAACCGCTCCAGGTGTTGATCCTGGGCAACTGCGTCATAAGCGATAATCGTAACAAAGTTTAAGATAAAATTTGTCATCGCGTGACATTTCATTTCTAAAACTTTTCAAATTTTCGTTTTGTATCCTTAAAAAGTTGCCCTTGAGGCGTAAACTTACATACGATAATGCCTTTATCAGATCATTTTCTTTTGTCTAAAATTCAATAGAAAACAGTGTTAACGTGATTAAGACAATGCCTTGAGATGGTAATCACTATTGGAATGTGGCAGAGTCAGGCAGCAGTGTATGAGTATAGATATAAATCGCTCCATTACTACTTACAGAAAAGATAAAAGCGACACCCAAAAACATAGATGGAATTAAATAATTAGTGAAATTTCTTGCTGGGTAGAACGAGTGACGGTAGTTTAATATTTTGTATAATTAAAACAAAGCCTCATAAAAAATGAAACAGTTGGCAGAAAAAATATAAGCTGAACTGTGTTTATTAAATTTGGCAATCGTGTGTCGAAATCCTAGAATTAGTTTTCTTACAATACTGCATAAGATCGTATACATTGGGATTGGAGATGATCTCTAGCGCATAATGCATGTTCAAGCAAAGTTTGTTTTAATTTGAATATTATATTAACTTTTGCAGCAGACCGTTTGTTTATAGCGTATTTGTTTAGTCTTTTAAAGGAAGTGATTCGACAGAGGCAAACGCGCCAAAATGGCGGAAATACTACACATGCCACATTCTCGCGGTCACACAGGTTCTGCAGGTCTTCTAGGAATTGGAACGGCTCCGGATCCGGTTGCAAACTATCCAGATTCAATATCCGATGATTTTGTGTCTCCACCGACGACAATGAGTGCATATGGGCATTATGCATCTACTCCAACGTACGTAGGCAACGACAACGATAGCATGACTACTCAACAGGAGTCCTTGAGTCCAAAATCAAGCGACAGCAGCACTGGTGTACGTCCAAGATCGGCTGCCACCACACCACCAACGCAGCCACCAAGTTTCGCGCCGAGAGAACCCGCATTCGACAGCGACCGTAGCCAGCTCTATTCTACGTCGACCTATCCGCAGTCAACTTATCCAACGACAATACAAAACATGTACCAAACTAGTTCACCCTGGTTGTCCTACTCAACTCCAGGAATGGGTGGCACAACCTACCAACACCAATATCCATATTTCGACATGCATCAATCAGCGCGTCTATCGGTTGATCATTGTTCACAGCTGATACCTGGCTATGGTTCGGTTACTGGTTCGCGGACTGGACGAGGTCGCACACATCGGCGTCAATCTACCGGTGTTTTAAAGGTAAATTCACTGGACAACGGAAAAGGAACGAAGCCGGTGGGTTACCAGATTTTTCGTTATATAGTTACATTTTTTAGATTTCAAATTTCCTGCTTCACATGAGATTTTGTTTACTTTATTTGTTGTACCTATTTGATCGAACATAATTTCAACCAAACTAAATAGTTCAAAATCACACTAAGAATTAGTGAATGGAGCTAGCGAAACGCCAAACGTGCCAACGATCTATACCGAGGTATAGGTAGTCCGCGCTTACAATTTGAGACAAAAATTTTTTTTCGCACTTTCCTCGAAATATTTAAATGTTCCATATTTTTAAATAGATCTCATTATACGAAATATACTTGTAAATTTGACGATTTCCCAATATTCATACACTCAAAGTGCCCTCGCCTATCACACCTCTATGTGAATGTGACTCGTGGATTATGAATATGGGGGTTATAGCAAGAGTCTGATGTAAAGATGGGGAATGTTTTTAAAATTGTTATCAGTAAATGAGCAAAGTTGGCAATTGTGGTTGTACTGCAGAAAAGTGAATCAATATTTGCCATTAAAGTAAAAAATAAGACGGTGTATTTTACGCGTTCAAGAGTCAAATATGACCTAACACTGCCTGTTTCGTCATTGAATTCTTTTTTCCAAAATAAAATGGGATAAAAATAATTTCTATTGTTTATGACGGGGGGGAAACAGAATGCCGTCATCTTAGCACTTTTCCTCGTATTGCCAAAAGCAAAGTCTAATTATAGTATAATTATATTTTTTGTCCAATTCTTTAAAATAGAAACCAAAAGAAATTCAGTCATATAGCTTAAGGCAGTTTAAAAGTTCATGTTTATTTACGACTGTCACATGTTTGTTTTGTTGGGCATTTTTTATAAATTCGTCATAGTGAATTCAGTTCTGTAGCGCTTCCTACGAAACCTAGTGTAAGATTGTCACATGACAACAGAGCATTCGAAAATATCCGTAAGCGGTATTTGGTGATTTAGACAAGAAGGGTGTATTTGATTTTGCCCTATTTCTTGCGCTTGGGTCTGATATATTTATTTTATTCCATTTCTCAAAATTATTCATCAAAAACTGCATTTATTTTTCTGTGAAGATTCTTTTTATATCTGACAGGTTGTCAATATAAGATACAATAGAATGACAAATATGAGACGCTATTATTTATCATCGCCAAGCGTGATTCACTATACCCTAATCACTTTGCAACGCTTGCAACGATTTTCACACATAGTGTTTTCACGAGAAAATATGACAACGAAAATTGTAGAAACTAGAACACAAAACTGATAATTTTTACAAGATTCCAACAAGTTTTCAATAATTTAAATTCAATTCAAATTCTCTTCTAGGATGAATCTCGTATCCGAAGACCTATGAATGCTTTCATGTGCTGGGCAAAGACAGAAAGAAAAAGAATGGCAGAACAGAATCCAGATCTACACAACGCAGAGTTGAGCAAAATGTTGGGTATGATTGTGAACTATGTTTTAAGGTTAAAACATTCAAAATTGTAGATTGAAAAACGGTTTTGAAATGATGCTGAAATATAGCATTTTTATTATTTTGGCGTCGGATAAGCGGCGCAAAAGATTTTCTAATTTGAATATACTTAGTAATAGCAATCTGTGGTACAATATCCTATCAATTGTAGATATTCTGCTAATAATATAACGCAATTTGTAATACCGAATGATCTCTATGATATTCAAATTTTGGCGAAATTTACGCTCAAAGCTTGACGACTGGAATTTACACTAAACCAATTTGACTTGCCTTTTTATTACGATGATGCAGTTGCGTTTGAAAAGTCTATTATCACTTTAATTGCGTACGTCAGGGGCAAAAAATACGCGTCTTAAGTGCATGCCATGCACCTTATGACGTCACGAGCTTGGATAACTCAAATTTTTATTTGTTGGGTAATTTGTAAAAACTCAACCGATGAAAATCATGCGTGGTACAAACATGAATAAGCTTTTCAGTATGTATGGCCATACGAGCATTTATGGGATTTACTCAAAATCAAATTCGTGAGATTGCTTATGCCTAACGCGTTTGTTACAGCCCGGTCAATGCAATGACTACTAAGGTAACTTGGAAAGGTAGAATAAACGGAACTGAATTAACGTTTCAAACTGGTAAAACTCCGGATATCTGACCTCATTTTAGCTAGGAAAGCTTCACTAAATCAAATATAGTTAAGTAGGGAAAACAGATTTTTATGTCCCTCAATCAGCATTTGACCGAAGGTCACAACAACCATAACCACTTGGTTTTTGCAACACCATAGAACCACGTTTGTGTAAAATAATACATTAAATAATTTTACATAGCAATATCAATTACAACAACACATTTTTCATTCCACCATTCCAAAGATGAAATAAACTCCACAATTGCCTCAAAAATCAAAGTGAGTTCTCCAAATACCGCCATTTTGTTTACAGCGTTTCTTCATCGCCCTTTTTAGCTGAGCAACATCAATAAAACAACTTCTAGATAGGAAGTTATACTCACGTCCAAAAATAATTTACAGCATGTTGTAATGTGGGCGTATTACATTGCCAATTCGTGGACTAATAGCCTCGTTACAAATATTAATATATGTATATATAAATCGAAAATGATGACTATATTGTAAGCATTACAAGTGCATATTGCAAGCATTGTGCTCATATGCATGTGTCAAAAAAACTGTTCATTTCGCAGGCATTTATCTAGGGCGAAAAGCTAGAGGACAAAATGATTTAAAGCATATTAGATATATTCAACTAGAATTCATTATGGATTGGATAGATATAAAACATTAGGCAAATGGATAAATAGAGGATTGTGAAAATCTGAAATGATATTGACCTAATATTAGAGATTACTTTAATAAAAATGATATGTATTTTAAAATAAATAATTCAATGATGTTTGACCCGAGGTATGTACTGTATTCGCTAAATACTGACAAGAACTTCTGGTATTAAAATTAAATTAAGCCCAAAACACAAATTGCGCTGTTACGTTTAAGTATCCATCATAACGCTTTAGGCTTGAGTTCGTATCAACTCTTCCAGGGCAAAGGATGTAGAGCATTCCTGCTCTCGCGATCTCTAGGATTATAAGACTAATTAATGTCGCAGCGGAAGAACAACTACGGAAAAAATACGTCGTCATACAGCTTAGAGACATAACTCGTTCGAAATGCTTCGTCTCATGTACACCCAAGCGTGATCGATAGATGGAACGCGCTAGCAAGACGCTATCCATTTATGAATCAATGCTTGGTTATAGGCAATTTTAGACTAGTAAGATAACCAGGAAAAACGTTTGTCGCGTTAGCAAATTTATGCATTTCATATGCTGTTATGAAATTTTTAGATTAACATCTTTTCAATGTAATTCAAAAGAAATGCAAATCTACATTATCGTTTCAAATTATTCCAACAACACCGAATAATACGGTAGGTCTCAAATATTAATTTTGGTAGATGTTGAAGAGTATAAAAAGAATGAAGTATGGATATTTTTTATGTTGTATTTCTGTAAGTAGGAAGGAAAAAAACATATCTGAATATGTCTGTATGCTTTCTAAACGTTAAAAAGCAGTGTGTGTAACGGTTTAGAATTTGTCCCCCGATTTACTGATAAACAGGATCCGCTCGTTCCGGGATATTTCAACAGTAACTTTAATCTGAAAAGCTTTAAAACAGACATATTTCCGCATATGGCTCCGGTTGTGAGTCTGAATGTAAATCCTACCTACTAGTGCTGGGGGGACTCAAGCCATCGAGTCACCAAAATGGAATGGCTCTCACACGTACTCAGTACTGACCTCCAGTTAAACTTTCCTTCAGTGATTGACTCGACTTAGGACACGGGTGACTCGTGACCCAACTTGCGACTCGGGATTTAGGGACTTCAGCCCAAGATTGTTAACCTATTATATATTTATTGGTGATACAAGTTCAGGGCGAGAGAATTGAATTGTTCGTTCAAACCAACAGGAAATTTGACGCTGATCACGCACTGGAAGTCGTCAATATAAGCATCGTCACCTTCCACGCAAAATCTCACGTAAATTTACCCGAAACAAATTTCCAAGGGAAATTTGACGCATTGCACTAACTATGCAGTAAGGCATGCAAAAATAAGTCATTTTGCAATATCTGTGACCTGGTGTCAACCCCGTTTGGCGCACGATACTTCGATGACATTGTCACCTTGGTGACGTAGGTCAACGAAATGCCCCGTATCGCAACAGGGGATACTTAACCAGTCGATTCGAAGGCTTTTTAACAAAAATATTTCATGAAAAAAATGTTATAAAACATAATTAGCAAGAGTTAATTTCAACCATACCTAAAGTCTATTCTGTGACGAAATTTTTATATTCCTACGTCACATGCGGTCGACCCAGTAGCTAAAACTTAACAACGATATAAACGTACAATTTCTGAATAACATCGACGAATAGAGCTCGTCATACACCATTACCGGAGAAATGCATGTTTTTTGCTAGTATTCTGAATTTTATGAAATTAATTCAAATATCTAACCCAAATTTGAAATTGATAAATTTTGAGGATAAAATTGATATTGATTGGAATAGTTTAAGATATATGTGAAATGAATTTTGCTCCTATGTTTTAGTCTCACTAAATTACCACAAAATATCAAAAATATTCACAATATCTTTAATAGCACTGAACCTTTAAGGTTGTAGTGTAGAAAAATTCAAATCGGACGGTGTAACCGAATCCTCGATATCCTGCTCGGCATACTGCAACCATTCTTTTTCGTTTCCTTATGGAAGGTGCGTTTCCTGAATGGAGTTAGTATAGTTTAATTACAAAATATAATTAATTAAAACGTAAAAGAATCGTTTTCCTGTCCCACTACGTGTGCAAAGCCATATGTTGGAGTAGATCGCTTAAAAATATCACGGTGTTTGTGATATTAGTGACCAATAAAGACATCGAATTATCTCTGGCAATGTATAGATATAATAGAACCTACACATTTAGGTGAATTTTTTTGCTCATGGATGGACCGGTCGCCTTGGGGACGAGATCCATCAGTATTATGTAAAATTGATTGTCTATAGTAGATTAAAAAAAGACGTCTTTGCGCCATTTACTTTTGTCTGTAAGATTATTTCCCAGAGATGGGTATGAAACGCAACAACTATTTTGTTTTCTGTAAAATTAAGAACTGAGTTGAAAAATCTCAAAAAGTTTGAATTTTCAAGAGAATCAAAACTATGAAAATAATACAAAAATAAACAAATGAAATGCCATATACATGACTAACATGACATGTATATCACATGACTTCGTCCGCATTAAGCATTGCTTATGTAATCAGAAATTTCTTGTTTAGCGTTTAGTAAGCTTGATATAATCGAGTTAAGTTCCTGCGTTCCGATTAAAGTCCTTCGCAAACTTGTCAAATGTTTTCCTGATACGTCACATAGAGAAGTTGGAATTAGGCATATTTCCTGCTTTCGTCAGTGATTAACCAAATCAGCTACATAGGGTCGCAATCATTTGATTAGATTATAACATGCCATAGAAGGACATTTTAAAAATGAAGTTGACAATGTCGGTTATTAGTTGTACATGTATGACCGAATATACAAATAATTGAATAAATATTTAAATTGAACTCCATGTTTTGCATATTAGTAAGCGCATCCATCCTGTTTATGTCGACTTAAAAAGTCGATAGTCGATTTGATACTTCTATAATTTACAACTGCTTTCTCCTTCAAAGGCTTTTCGGCAAAATATTTACGATAATAGTTGATATTATTGAAATTTATATTTATAACATATATAGAAGTAGAGACTTTTGGAATGTTATTGTTATGTTATGTTACCAAAACATTCTCCTGGTGCGGTGTTTTACTTTTATATTACACTAGTACCAAACCTTACAGACTCCCAATGACCTTGCTATTTGCGATCAAGTGGTCGTTATCTCAGATGAACTTTCAAATAATGACGAATTGCGGAAATATAACCCTTAACGGGAAGATCATTGGTCAGTCACATCACACCCTGCTTTTGAAACGATCTATGGCTAACCGTAATGTGGACTTTGAAAAGATGTCGTTCAGATCTGTTTCCATTTGATATTCAACATGGGTCTTGGTTATTCGTTAAGTATGCTCGACGGAAAGGTCGAAATACCATAAAAATCTGACTTATCACGTTTTATTTCCTTTTTATTTTTATTTTTAAAATGTTCGAATTTTACACTAAAGTACTATCAAACGATATTATTCATTTTTTTTTTACCTATAATTGGTTAATACGATTTTGACATAAGATGATTATACCAGCTGTACGTTACTAATCGGCACTTTGCATCACATGTAATTGCCGCTGTTGTAAGTAAATGCAATCTTTTTACTTCCATACAAAATGAATCACGTAGAAAGCAGTTAGTGTTACGGCAACTGTGAGTGCAATCACGATTTACGCGGAAATATCACCTGTATAACCAGAATCGCTTGCGCGTGCGCAACTTTGCCTATGAGTAAGTTTACGTAAACGAAACGATTTTATTATTATCTAATATTGAAAAATAGCGGTGTTAACCGAAACGATTAAGATTTTTTGAAGAAGGGGTAACCAGACTTGAAGTGAAATCGACACTTCAGGATGCATTAACGTTCGCCATTTTATCATGGCGGACCGTAAACGGAGCAAGTAACTCGAGTAACGGAAGACAATCAGGAAATGACTCAGTGCACCACTGAATAGCATGCCCTTTTGGGCATCGAACTGTACAGCATATCCACTAGTTTTATATCTCGACTCTGGGCACAAATTGTAACCCGCTGAATCTGCCTGAGAAGGTGCACATCTTGAATTTTAAGCTCGGGCAAAATGTGATACATAAATATTTACAATTTTTATCTAGGCTTCAAGCATGGCCCGGGTTTAATAAAAAATTTATTTCACAAGACATCTATCTAATCGAGGGAAAGTTCGTGTTTAGGCTAAAACGGAAATTGATTCAGCAAAAATCGGGGTTTTACTCTATGTCATAAGCGAAACTGCTGCCTTGCATAGTATGTAAGTAATTTTGTTGAATCTCAAATACTATTCTCATGCGGAAGGTGCAAAAATAACCATAGAGCCTATCATATTTCGTCTCAATATACGGTTTCGTTTCTTTACTTCCAAAATCTATTGTCCAATTGACCCGAATGGTCATGAATTGACCCATATGTTTTGGAATGGGAAATTTTCCTGCTAACGAAAATAATCCACGGTTTTATCAGTATTATTACCCTGTAAATCGAAAGAAGGAAGCTAATTCAGCTGTGTAAGCAATTACTCTAGTCTATTTCAGATCATGAATTTAAAAAATTGGTAAATTTGAAAATTTCACTAACAAACTCGGTTAGATTTAGTTAAAATAATCGATTTTTTCCCCCTGTACCCGTCTGAGATCTTGAAAGGATATGAAGACATTCAAAGAAGTCAACTCGCGAACTTAAAATTTTAAAACAGTGAATTCCGAACATTTTTTTACTAGATACTAAGTGTTGTATTGTTCTTGGATTTTAAAATACTGAAAACGAGGCATGGTTTATGACGATGGTCATTATTCTCCAGCTGAAATCAAATCTTGTCATCAAAATTCATAAATAAAAATAATCCTTGGGCGAGTACATTCAAGAATTTGTATGTTACGATTTATCGAATTACTCAAGATGTAATTCAGATGATTCCAAAGAATGCAGGTCACATTATTGCTTTTATTTTTCCTGTATGGCATGCAAACAATCGTACAAAGATGAATTACTGGTACTAGATTAATGGGTATTTCTAGATTTAAGACAGTTAACACAAATCCACTATAAAAGAGATTTCTATAAAAGAAAATTCTCTATATTAAGGATTCATGATGGACGGACGACAAATTGTGAAAACCATTCATCCACACCTATATGTAATGGGTATAATTTTGTGAAACAAACGTACAACTCGCAAATAAAACTTTGTGTTTAATTAGTGGACAAGTATCTGACATACAGATTGATACATACAGTAATAGATATATGTGGGACGGTTTAAAGATGTTCGTTTCTGGTGTTTATCGTATTGTAGGTAAATTCTGAAAGCCCATTATCGAGTTCTTTTAAAAGGGTGGTTGATTCCCTTTCTACACTTAAATAGAAATTTTTTTATCCTGTTTTACTTTACTTTTCGTTGCAAATTACGCGAAATTCGTCCCATTTGTAAACAGCTCTAACTTGTGAATTTGGGTGTTAAAAAAATATTATTAAATTTTTTTTTTATCTATTATGAATGTTCGATCGCTGATTATGTATGTATCGACCATATTAATTACTTCAATTGTTTTCTTCTTACAAGCATCCAACAAGTATAATAAACTTCTGCAACTACACAGTATTACGAATGGCCATGATCGACAATTTTCTTAGTTGCAGGTTGGAGATGGTGTGAGAAATTCACGCAATTGCAGACAGTCGCAGTTCAAAATCATTCAAATTTTGGGACGAAATCAAATTGGCCAATCAGAAATCGTATTGCACTAATAGCTTGTCCAATGAGGTAACAAATATCAAAGAAACATACAGAAATATTACAGCCCCAAAGCAAGCACTACAGACGCGATAAAATCTAATTTTGACAGATACTGTGCTCTCTTGACACGCAATTGCGACTCTATGGAGTTAAAATAGCCAATATGTCGTGCGAATTGCCACACCAATGTGAAAAAGTCTACAAGCCTAAATGTATGGAACCGTTTTTGAGTTTTTTTTTTAACGTGGGCGGTACCACCATTAGAGGGAGAACTGGCCATGGAAAATGCCTTCTCACAAATCGTCTGACTCTGGCTTTTTCGTTACAGAAATTTACACTGTATTTTCAAAATCTAGAAACCATAAAATTTGTAAATTGTGTCTCTATTTTTCAATCATCCTGACCACAAAATTTATTTTAATTCCTTTTTTGCGCATAGAAATAACATGGAAATACAAAATTTTCGTTACACGATTCCTTGATGGTATACAGCAAACCCGTTCAAATCTGCGGTAAGACCCTGGTCATAATAACCCGTTACCAAATTAAAATAAAAGCAATGATTCCGTATACACAATATTATTTGATTTGTACAAAATGGGTTAAGGTTCTGACGAAACAGCGCGTTTCCGTGCAAATTGAGAAGTGGTTTTCGCGGTAAAGCTGCAACCTGCAAATAAGTCAGCATATTAATGCGACTTGTATTACTGCACATGTCAATTAGTAAATTTTCAGTAATATTAAATGTTTTTTTACGATAATTTAAATTAGAAATTAGTTAAACGACGTATATATTCCTGTTAAATCTACGGGCACGAAGCAAACGGTCATCAGTCAATTAACATTTCCCAGTATATTTTGTCAGTGATGTTTTTTCTTGGTAAAAAATCTACAGACCCGACATAATTTGACTCCATGGTTCTTCATTGGTCATCTTGTTTCCTGTCTCCTGACAAGTAAAATGACCTTACTATAAAGATGCACTCTGGGACTTTGGCATTTCTCTATTCTCGGAAATAAATTTGTTGATACCAAGAAGCTTGTGCAAAAACTATGTAGTATTTTTTTGGCAGCAACTAGAGTATACTTGGCCATTATGGAATAAAAAATACGTAGCTCATAAAGAAATGTAAACTCTTTTTCATTATGATTTCGTATTCTTTCAGAAATCTATATATTTCAAGTTTTAAAAATAGGAAGAAGTGTTCTGAGACTAGTTTTAGGATTTGAAGCTGAAATAAGCAAATAAAGATTATCAACACGGGAATTCGGGTTCGCGCTTCAAAAAGCGAAAGCGTTTCCAACTGTTTAGCTTTACCTTAATATTACAAAAGTATCATCATAAAAACTGCCAACTACATTGAACATTTCTTTCAATAACAGGCAAAAAATGGCGCGAGATGTCAGTCGAAGAGAAAAGTCCCTACGTCGGAGAAGCTGAGAAATTGAGACTTAAACATATGGAGGAACATCCTGACTATAAATACAGACCAAGAAGACGAAAGGTTTGTCACCACTCATCGTTTTTTTTATTATATATACCATTATTCAATTTCCACCCGAATGCCATTCAATAAAGTGTATTAAGCAGGTGCACATTAAAAGACTTTATACATTAATAATATACAAGCACTGGTATACATGCTATATTATTACGCTCCATGAACGATGTTTTGGATAATTTATGTCACGTGATTCCGATCATATCATTTAATTAGATAAAGTCATTAAAATTACTAATCTCATCATATAAGCGACCATAAAGCGATTCTGATAATGCTCTGATGCGTCTTCTGCGAAAGACCGTCAATATGTAACTGGAGTATTTCCTAGATGGGTTTATTTCCTGATAGTATCATTTGCTCCAATTGTATTTAACCCTTTGTCTTCCAATCGATGCCTTATAGGCAAGTACGTGTTAGTGTAACCAAGTTTGAACCACTAGCAGTGTGTATACAGTTAATTTTGATATTGCCATTGCCAGAATATTGTGTGCGGCTTGATTGGACTGATTATCCTGAGCGATTTCCGAAAGATATAATATAATAACGGTATAGTGTAGCCATTAATAAGCTAGAAAGAATGCCGATATACAAAATTAAAGAATCATTCGATGTCTCTTAGAATAAAATGATTCAAAGCATAAATCACTTTTTACAACAACGATAAAGAGTCGGTTCTAACCAACTCCCAATCAGGACTGCGGTTGATATTTTGACTACGACTCCGGTTTATGAAAAATTCTACTTGATTGAAATATCCAAATTGCGACCCAGTTTGCAAGCTTTTTTAGTCTTGATTGAATTTTTTTCTTAATTTTTGAATATTTCGTTAGCAGGAACAGAAGGCCAAGAAAGGAAAAGAGGATTCAGTCCTAGATAAACAGCTGGATGCAAACGGAATTCCAGTAGAAAGGTATTTAAAATTTAACTTTTTTTTTCAAAATTGAACACCAACTCGCCTTCATACTATTGTACTTTATACTATTGTAGACTTCGTCCGCTAGGCGAAAGATAATTTATAGGGGTTATAATGGTTAATCGGTTAATCAAATTTGGATTTCTAACTGTTATAATTAATTTGAGTCTATTGCCGTCATTCTGAAAGTATTGGCATACATTGAATTCAAATAGAAATTATTTTGCCTCGAATTTATTATCTCATTTTGTGAATACCAATTAATGTAAAAATCTCAAAATAATGCTGGTAAATGTAATAAAGCAGTGAAAGAATAAAATTACAAAATTTCTATGATCTGCCATTGAATACTATTCAATTTTTCGTTTGTAGGAACAAAATAATATTTGTGGTTAACGCTCCGAATTTACAATTTCGGCGGTTATCCGGTCAAATATGTCTGGTTAACGGGCACAACGTTTTGGCAAAAATTCCCAACCCAGTTAATTCACTTTTTCAACGCAACGAAAAAAAATATACTTCTTGGTGACAGATTTTCGAAGATAGGATTAGGATAAATAAGACTTGATGACGTGTTCTGAGTTAAGATAGATACTAAACTTTAAGATTTTTAGAAAAATATTGCATACGTATATAAAATGGATGTTAATTTAATAATGGCGCGAATGAAATCAACCCAGAAAGAAATGCAATCCCAAATAGGGTAATATTCGACATTAGAAATAAAGAAATATTTATTTGAATAGATTTTTCATGCATGCACAAAAGTGTTATATTTCTGAATTTATTAAATATTATTAATGATTAATTATATACCGGCGTTAAACAAATATAACATTACAGTTTTGGGTTGAATTTTCATTCAAATAATTTTTGTTTCTAGTACTATGACACTGGAAAGAATGGGCGAAAAGAAATCTTTGGGGGGAATTGTGCAGCCTGGTCTCGGAGGTCTGTCGACTAAAAGTTATGAGTATACAGATACGATGCCAACCTTTTTTCCCTCGACTACCCTAGCTGGAAATAAACGAAGTAGTACAAACAACAACAACAGACATGATTCGAAAATGATCAAAACTGAGAATGGCGTTTCTTATAGCAGTGATACCCTGTTTTCGACAAAATTTGGGTCGAAGATATTAGGTAACAAATACAATGGATTGGGAAAAGACACCCTGACTGGATCTACAGAATTGAGCTCGCATCTGGATGGATTGTCTTCGTTCAGGCGGAGGAAATCTACCAGGTTTCCTAACGTTGGAATAGGTGGAGCCAATACTTACGATACCAGTCCCATCAATTCAGCCGGTGTCGGATATTCGCATTATGGATTGAACTATCAGACCGATTTTTCGGGCACGCCAGATTGCTCGTACGGGAAAGGACTTTCTAGCCTTCCATTGGCATCTTCAAGCACGTATCATCCGTTCCATGATTACATTATGACGTCATCATCTCCGAATACTATTCCATCAGCTTATCAATCGTCAAATTATTACAACTCAAAACTTTCAAATTCGTATTTAAACAACGGATCATCCGCTTACTATTCAACGTTAACAACACCTTCAGCGGAAAGTTATTATGCACGTACAAGTGATTATGCGTACGGTATACAAAATGGCGGACTACCAAGCCCTACTATGTCTCCACCGTTTGACATGACAAGCTACAACCAATCAGAAGCGTACAGAAATTCTTCTATTGAAACGACTTCCCTTAGTGCTGTCGGTTCCGGGTTACAGTATAGATCAGGCAGTGGTAGCTTCTCTGATAGCACGCATTCACCGCATTATGATGATTTGAGAAACCCATTTCGCAACGCACCTTTTCAAAAACGTGACGACCAAACATCAAGTTCAACCAGCCATTTAAATTCAGTCGTTTCACCAAATGCAGGATCAAGTTTTTGCATTGGGAATTCAAACCTTCTATTAAAAAATTCTAATTTTTATCAAACTGGAGGCAAAAATAACAGTACCGGATACACCGGATTCATGGACAGCACCATAACGAACGTTCCTACCAGCGTGCCCCCGACTCCGGATTCTTTACCACAACATTCACCCACCGGATATCAAACCGATTGGAAACAAAGATCTTCCGATGGAGTATTTACTCTCAGTGATGCACCACCACCGCTTAATTCTACAACAGATACCTTTTCTGCAACGAAGGAATCCAATTATGATCGTATGCAACAAAATAGCCTACAATTTTTCTCAAAAGGCAAGGGAACAGAAGCCCAACCGCCTCCATTAGTTTCAGCAGACAATTCATCTTTTTACCATCAAACGAATGGTGTTGCAAACGGAGTTCCAAGCGTGCCGAATGCGTTTGCCAGTCAAATTCAGAGTTTCGTAGACTACACTGGATCGACTGATCAGCAACAGGACACGTACTCATCCTCGTATGCACCATAATATAAACATGTTAACGATTCTTTGGGACTCAATAGTGCAATGTTCTTACGCAACTAGTTGACAAGTTCATACATGCAAATTCAATAATTCAGCTTCTGAAATGGCTTATTTTTAAGAGCTAAATAAACTCGACATTTTTTCAGTTTGTGGCTGAAATAAAAAAAAAATAATGTCGACAATATGTTTTTTATTAAGCAAAAAAATATTTATTCAAGACTTATTTTCAGAAATTCTTTATTCTTTTTTTTAATTTTATTTTTTGAAATGTCAGCTGTTTATTTTTATCACATTGCCATATTGTCAACATGGGACAAAATTGTAACAGCAATTTCACAAGGGTTGTTGAACTAGTTTTATAAGTTCATAAAGGTTTTTGATAATACAAATAATATAGAACTGTAATAACTATAATCTTCACAGAGGTGACTAGTATCATAGTAAATGAACTCTGAATAATAGTGGCTTTACAATTTTTTTCAAATTTGACAACAATGTCCGTAACTTAGTCCGCTAATCTGAATACCTGATGATTGCAGGATCGCACTGAATATTTTTTCGAATCGAATCTTGACTACTTGAACGATATGTAATTGTATGCGACTTTTTTATTGTGATGTGTTCCAGACACGTAAATTACTGAATACATAGAATCCACTACCTAGACTATTCACTGTGTGTTCACACACAAAGAAGAACATGGTTTATTAATAACTCAATCGGACGAAAATATCCATTTGTTAAAATTACTTTTGCAAAAATAGCTTCAATAAAAACCCGAGGGATTCACTGCGGACCTTTGGCTGACAAAAAAAAAAGATGGCGGCGATTCGAAATTTTCGTCTGAACTGATTCGAATAATTTACTATTTGATTCGAAATACCCAGCCGTAATTATGACATGCAATCTTATAAAATATTCAGTCTTAACGGTAACACAATATGAAATGTTCTTATTCATATGTGTGTACTTTTGCCCCTTTCAATGAAGACCCCGCACAACGCAACACTGATGAATTTCACGTTAGCCGTAATTGATCATATATTCAAACAGCAAGCACTATACAAACAAGTTTTTAAAAGTGATTTTCATCCGTAGCAGTTCAATGCACGGAGTTACTGCTAATTTTTATCCCACTGTTTGTCTGTGCTTTATACCAGTTCTCGTACGTTTTTTAATACATGTTTCTGTTTTCCGTTTTTTTGTTTTGTTCATTTTTAAGTGCAAATGCATTGTTATTCGCTATATTCGAGAAAACACGAGATTACGTCGTAGAATAGATTTTATCATTTTTTTTAATTATTTGCATCATTCTGTTTTAATTTTTTCATGTTTTCGCGTTCACTGCCGAAATGACCATTATTGGGCCAAAGTCAACATTATTATTCTTTTTGTATTCAAACCAATCATACATACAATATTACGAACTATTTCTTTCAAAAAATGTGAAAAACATACTCGAAAATATAAATTTCACGTATTTTCAAGCATATTTTACATATTTTTTAATGAAAATATCGAAGTGCCATTTTGCAAGTACTGAAATTTTCATCGTTTTGCAGCATCAAAATATCGCTTTTTCGTTAAAGTAAATGTGTAATCAACATCATCTTTTATTCTGCCAGCACAAAAAATGTCTGAATTAAATAAAAATGAAATTCAAGACCAAATTGGTGCTTATTTGAAGAAAGTTAGAAGTCATAACGCAACCCTGAATTTGTTTAAAAAAAATAATCTATTTTCCACCAAAATTTTTTTTGGGTAATACAATTTTGATTCAATGTTCTTTTGCCATTTGATTTCTTTTTTCTCTTCTTAAATGCATATTTTAGCAGAAATGAATTTGACTTTGCATCTTGCTAATAAATTTATGCTTAGAAATTCGTCATATTGTTGTTCTATCAGAATATCAGGAAAACTGGAAATTTTACAGCAATAAAGCTACAACATAGTCGTCAAGCAACAGAGAACCATGCCCTATATCTGCAAAAAATACCAGTACATAGTATAAAGCGATAAAATAACTTTGACTGGCTGAGATACACTGTGTTAATAAACGATTAACACCCAATGTCTCAGTTTTATACCTATTGTCCAGTACAGTCTTCAAATATCATTGAATATTATGCATTAAAACAATTTCATCGAAGTGAAAATGTTTCTAAAAGTTTCTTAATTGAAGAGGTCACTTTGGGTCTTCTTTTACCCCTCCCTTCATCCACCCACTATATATATTTACATAGTTTTATATTCGAGAGTTAAAATTTTTGAAACCCGATCTTTTCGTCCCAATCAAGGAAGGCAATTTGCATAATTATAGAAGATAGAAGAAGAACAAAACAGGACGTAAGTTCATCTTACAATAAGATTATCAATCACTGTCAGAATTTATACCGTGTGTTTAAGACAGGCCCAAAGAAAAATAACACACTAAAAATGCGCTTTTTCCATGGTAATAAGCATTTTCTTAAAAATTGCTTTGATTATACCAAGACAGTAATTATTGCAGTTATCGAAACCCCGTTTTGAAAGTGGAAAATGATATAACATCATGGTGGATGAAACGAGTATCATTTGCTTGTCATTCAAAATAAATTGAAAGATACAGCGACGTAATGGTTTTCAGTGACGTCATAAAATATTTTCATACAAAAAGTTAAATCAGCAATACATTGGACATCTACCCAAATTTTATGCTAATTGAATACCTATACTTTCAATTAAAAAATCTGTGCATGCAGAATATCTTTTGTTGTTTGAAAATTGAATGCGTCAGGAAAACTCTATTCAATGATTCTTGTAGGCAGCTCATGTTCATTCAATAGATTGTTGAATATGATGATGCATGCGATTTCTAGAACAATTTAGAAGAATCAGTACTGAATGTATAATGTTGATAGGCTATGGTATTTTAAAATGCCTAATACCTATGTTTTGTTCATATACTTTTTACATTCTGCGTCTCCAGTTTTAAAATTTCCCACACTCCATACTTTACACACATAAATCTTCTTCATGTTTCAACGAATTCTCGTTCAGAGCCAATTTTCATAAAAGAAATTGAAAAAACTTTACTAATGCGTAGGGAAGTAAATCTTGTAACACGACTTTTAAGGGAGGGAATTTCGATGCCGGAAAGGGTAAAAACGTTCCTCGGTCTAAATTTGAATGGAATTTTCCTCCGATGCAATTTCAATACCAGGAAACTAAAAGTGACGCAGAAGTCAGGGAGCAAACTTTTCCTTGTTCTAAAAGGAAGAAAGTTATATATATAGCAACCACATCATGTTAAAATGTTTTACTCCTTGTATACAAGGTTTTTTTAAATTTGCTAACGTGACAATTTTCACTTCCATATTTTAAAGCTCTCTGACGTGTGTATAACGACTTGGAATTTTATACAATTGAAAACGTAAGCTTTAAAACGACCCTGCTTTTCTGTCAGTATAGAACTAGAAAACGAAATTAGACCTATGTATATCGATATTTATATATTCACATACAAAATATTATTCATTACAAATTAAAAAATAGAGGATTCATGAATCTCTTAAACGTTGGTTCGTCGTCTGCTTATTGTAGATAGCCATCTTTAAGTTTTAGAAGTTATACTGACATGCGAAAAATATAAAGATATTATACGTGTTTCACTTCGTTCAATCAGAGTATTCCATGTATGGCTTGTATGCACTAAGTAATTTTGGGTTTGTTTTCAACGGTGCAACTGTTGCTCGGATATATTATGATTGTGTTTATGGTGACATACACCTTTAACCCTGTTCCCTCTTCCAATTTTCTTTCAGTTGGCAAACGATTGACTTTTTACCTCTGAATAGAATTATTTGCTTTTGACCTCATTTCGTACCTTGATGAAACAGCACAGACATATGCGTTTTATTATTAGATGGAAGTAAAAAGCAATAAACAGGTTAATGTTTTGTTCCAAAAAACTCCATAATCCATCATCATTCTAAAATAATCCAAAATTGCATATTTAGCTAAGAATATAATTAGCATACTCAAATATACAATTAGTTTTGGAAGATTAAGGTTTATGCTTCAATTACAAATATTCATTGTTGATTTTTTCTGTTAATAATGCCAAACAATCCTGCAGTCATAAAAGTAAATAGGAAATGGTGACCATACTCGTTGGACGACAATTGAGAAGTTTACAATTGCATATACATAAAGAATGCTATATAAAAGAATCTCAAGTATAACAAAAATGAATTTTATTAGTTTCAGTTTTGTGTATATAATATAGTTCGTGATCCACGGTAGAAGCTAAAACGATACTCACACAAAAGCGCAGATTTTAGCTGTGCAGTTAGTGTTACTGAGAAATATGTTTATTCAGCCAGCACGTCCATTTCAAATTTTTAAAAATAATTGACAATGGGTGTAGGACACCATCTAGCGGGACCACCAAATTTGGGTTGTGCAATCACCTTTGTAAATAACAACATAGTCTTTCGTATGTAGACCTAAATATTGCCAGATGGACGATTACAAGCATAGATAGTTTGGTGAACCTCGTTAACTGATTAAATCAATATTTACCTGCGGATGTTTTAGCAAATTCTTGATGACTTTGCGGATTTCATTAAATTGAAACACATAATCTTAACTGGAGTAAGGGTTACGGGTTATAATGAATGAGATCCAATCAGGAGTATAAAACTTAGTTCTGAGTCCGTATATCTTTTGACGAGTATTTTAATTAGCGACTAGATTCAACAAAATGAAAACTGAAAGTTACAAGCAATTATTAAAATGCCAGAGACTACTAGGAAAACACAGAATTATGGCCGTATCATAAGAACAAGCAACGATGCTTGTTTCAAAGCAGTTTAATTTTGTATGACCAGAAACGCCCATTGTTATCTCACTTATTGGATTTGTAAAAATTGTACGAATTTAACTCAGGGCAAAATACGGCTATGATATGATATGATTCGCCCAATTAACGTTAATGCCAAGTAACTTGGATGCAAACGGGTTTCTATCTATTGTATTGTATTATTACAAAAAATTCTGGCTATTATCCTTGTTGAGGAAACAGATAATGCGTACACATTTGACTAAACCTTCACAGTATCTGAAAAACTCAAAAGTTTTTTTTATTTTTAAACTTTCAACTTTTTGCCTATAATACTTTTTCCGGCATCGTTCGTATAATCCCCTTCGTCAGATATAACCCGAACCCAAAGTTATCAACATTATTTACAGTAGTGGCATGTGAGTATATTTGTTAACAATTACGTAGAGTCGCGCCCTTCTTAAATTAGACAAAGTAACAATGAGTTGCTCAGAAACAATTGTTGAAACAGTTGTTAATCATTGAAATGATCAAAAAGAAACAGGTATGACAGGCGTTTGAAGTGTAGTAAAAATGCTTAATAGACTATAAGCTCATGCTTGGAAATAGGGTGAAATGCAGAAGCACTAAATTTAGATTATTTCAACAGCGAGGCATGTCTACATGCAATAACCTTACTTTGACAATATTCCAATAGACTGATAGGTTAATTAGAGATAAACAGAAAGTATTATGTAACTTTTCGAGATATTTCATTCTATAGTTGCCAAGCATTTAGGTATAAAGCATTATGTCCGATCAAATAGTCAAATCATAGGGCTTCAAACGAAAAGTTTTGAATTAGAATGGGTAAAAATCTACAGACCAGTAGCTAGACTAAGCATATGAGGCGCAATCCACAGTGAGGATGGGCACGATGTACAATTTGTTTGAGCATTAGACTTATGCGTTACTTAATGAAATGCAACAGTATGCACGTCGTCTCCAATTTCCTACATGTTCAGTTATTTACAAATCTCCGTGTGATGAAGAAAGCGAAGAAGTTTCGCAAATGATAGATGACGAAGGTGCTTTGACAATACTTCCATTTTCTGTACCAGAAGTTAGATTTCCGTTTCGAGGTTTTGGAATTGGAGCGGGAGATGATTTCGCAATATTTTCTGGTTTGGACTTCACGAAACGCTCAGTTTCGGCTTCATCAATTACGCTGGTAGATTGCGTAGCTCCGTTATTTGAGAGACTGACACGCATCATCTTTTGTTTCTTGTACGTTTGTCTTTTCTCATGATCCGCCTCGATTTCCTTCATTTTTCTTGGTATTCTGCACTTACAAACGCAGCAAAATCCAACCGTAATAATAATAAGTCCAGTCAAAACCATTGCAACGATTTGCCAAAGTCGAAGACCCCAAAGCAAGACAGTTTCGCTGCCAATAGTTTCACGATTTCTCTTTGCTCGCATATACTCTTCATATGATCCCATAGTCATTTATTGCAACCGTGTAAAACGTCAACCACAGACTATATGTTAGCAAAAATCGAACTTGTTATTTGGCTAAAACATCGATTTTATTAGTGTGAAATGGTTCTCGTGAATTAATATTGATTTACACTTGAAGAATGCCTAATTACCTTATGTAGTATTGATTTATCATCTTATTAACAATACCATGTTATTTGTTGGGACTGTTCCAGAGTGTTTCACAAATGTTATTCGATAAGAAGCGCAATCGCGAACTTGTTTTGACACATCTTTTTGAAATACTTTATAATACCAAACAGTACACCTGATTTCCCCAATAAATATTCATGTTATATCGGTAAGTATAAATATTATAAGCTGTGATGTGTTGGCAACTTGGCATTACTTGTCATTTCAAAAATCATCCAATTTTATATAAAATTTTATCTGATATATATTACAGCTTTTAGATTAACACTACTCAGTTTTCTAAAAGGAATGACATACAATATTGATAGATAGATCAATATAATATACAGACGCCATGGAAGACGATGAATTACTCAAAAAACTTCGAAGAAAGATTCATACTTATTTCTACATATTATTAATCGGAATGGTTTTATCTTTTTCGTCAATGGTCGCATTGCAAACTCTGCAGACAAGCATTAATATAGAAGGAAATGTTGGTAAGTGCTTATGCGGCTTTGCATAAAGTTTTTTGGTTCTCACTAAGATGTGCATACAGATTACTATTGATGAGAATGTACTGTACTGCTTATGGATTGGATGAAAAAATCTATAGTAAACCAAACATTTTGCGACGATATTAAATTGTATAAATCACATACTAAATTAAACAATTTATATATCAATTAATAAATTTATAAATTATATTATGCCAAATTTTTGATTTGAAAAGTTATCAAGTGTTCAAATAATTCGAGCAACTGAGCAAGCGACCAATGATTCGCAGGTGGCTACCATATTTTTTTCATAAAAGAAATAAAATATTTTCTGTTTAGCAGAAAGTCGTCCCAATATATTGCACTCATAGCAAATTGATAGGTATTAGATTAGAATCTGCGGTGCTCACAAAGTTGGATATAGCTTGCTACACAATTGGCCAACGAGCCTACATTACAATAGCTGATCAGTATTTTAATATAGCGTATACATCCTCTGTATATTGTTTTCAGGTGCAATCGCCCTTACATCTGCATACCTCGGATCAGTATTGTATAGCATTTTTGTAGCTCCGATCACAATGCGTAGGTTTGGACCTGGACTCAACCTTGTTTTGTCAGATCTTTCATATTTTATATATTGCATTTCTAATTTCTATCCAGGTAAGAGATCGTTTTACAAAAACTACAATTTCCATATCATAATTTATTATGCTTCTAAATACACATATTTCTCCTCTCCTTTCAGAGATTTACATCCTTGTCCCAGGAGCCATCATAAGTTGTGTGGCAAGGGCTATGTTGCTGCCATCAACAGCTATTGCGTGTTTCCAACTTGCAGAGCAGTTTTACAGATGTGCATCGCAATCTGAGGAAATGTATATAAATCGATTCCAAAGCAGATATGTTGGTATATTTAGCACCGTTTCGGTACGTCAAATCATTATCTTCTTCTAAAAAAGAGGCACATAAATCAACTAGTTTTCAACATTAGATATTTGAGTATGAAATGGCGAACATGGGCAAAGAGCTGTGTATATAGAAATCGGTACGGATGCTGGAAGCTCATACTGATTGTGAGGTTTGGGTTGTTATAGACGTGATGATCTTTGCGACAGGATGCTGTGCAATTGCGGATGTGTTCATCGATGTTGCAAAGATCTGAAAGTTAGACACAGAAATGGTGAATCAAGATACCCCTCGGGAGGAAGACAATAATAATTCTAAGATGAGTCACTTCAATGTGACGTCATTTACATTCATTCGAAAACTAAATAATCATTCTGTCAATTTGCAGATATAATAATTCTACATCGCAAGAATAATTGTAATTCTACGCCTATGAGACTAAGAACAGTTTTACAGTATCAACATCGTTTCAGATCATTGGAAACGGAATATCATTTGCCGTGTTGTCAGGAGGTCAATCGAGTTCCAGTCCAACAACAGGCCCTGACGTAACTCCCGGACCTCTGAACACCACTGTATTTTGGGGCACTACAACATCATCACCTTTTGTAAACCACAGCCAGTATTATTACTGTGGTAAAAACGATTGCCAGGATCCTGCCGTTGTAAGCGAAAGCATAGATCAATACGTTCCTCCAGATAAAAGAAGCACATATATTCTAGTTTCGACGGCGTCCGCCATATGTGTTATCGCGGTTATCATGCACGCTTTCATTTATCCCGGAATTGGGAAATTTGGAAACAAGTTACGCGATCTTGATAAACAAACTTCCCAAATAGTAAAGCCTAAGAAAACATCCAAAGGTACAAAAGTTCCAGGAGAGGGTAGCGAAGTGAAGGAAAATGGACATCTCTCGGGAGAGACAAATACACAAACAAACGGCACAGTTAAAGCAGGGCAAGATAACTTCACTTTTGAACCAGATATGGAAAATAATAACAAGTTGGATGATAGTGAACAAAATACTAAGAATTCTTCAAACTATAGATCTAAAAGTGAACTTTCGGAAGAAGATATACAAGAGAATTTGTCAAAAACCAAGGTAAATTAAGTAAGTCATCATTTTTAACCAAATTTATTTGGTAGTTCTGAGTAATATTTCAAACGTATATACTAATACTGCAATTGCGTTATTTATATAAATATTTCAAGCTTGGTTCGATTGAAATAGTGGTCGCCAAATGGACTTTTACTAGAATTTTGAAAGTTTATATTTAATAAAATTTAATTCTTTGAAACTACTTGAAGTATTTGAAAAATTAAACATAGATTATGTTATTTATGTAACAAAATGACAATGAAACTAGATAAAGCGACTAAACATCGTGCGTTATCGGCGTGAATGATCATTTTTGTGACCGGAATCTTCTTATTTTCAAATCAGAATCAAGATGGATATTTAACGACGCTTAAGAAAACCGGAAAGTTTCTTATTCGACCTCAAGCAATCTTGATTGGATTTACACCCATAAGAAATGGATTATTGATAGGATTCATTTTTGCTGATGTTACAAGGGCTTATGCTTCGTGCGTTGCTGGTGTGCAAATGGTAAAGTTTCTTTGTACTTCATTAATAGATCAAAAATTGAGCACGAAGAACGTCACCAGAATACCTCAAAATTCAATGAAATTTGGGAAGCGTTTAACCAGTTTATAAAAATATATATACTTTAGATTTTTGGAACATATATTTTGTGTATTAGGCTACCCGACAATGACTTCTAAGCAATTGCTTGTATTACTGAAAAAAGTATCGTAACCAAATAGCATTTTTCCAAAAAAAAATTTCAATTTCAATTTTTTTCAAGCATCAGATGGGGTTTTCATATTTTTTGTTTATTTAGACTGGTCTCATTGCTTTGACATTTGGTACAGTTGGTATCCCAATTGCTTTAGCCTACGGAAGTTTGGTTAAATATACAGGAAGAAATGTAATGATGGCGATTGGTGCCCTGTTTGAACTGTTAGCTTATATTGGATGTTACGTTTGGATTCCAAATCCTGACACAATAGTCGTTGTTTTCTGTATTTTCATAGCAGATGGGATCGTGAACACTATACTAAAAATCAACATAACTGGTAAGACGAAGTATATTTTATTCTACCCCAAAACTTTTCGCTTTGCATATGTAGACGTGATAAATCATATATAATTATATAGGAACTAGCTATGAGCTATTTCACCACCATATAAATTATAACCCAACGTGCGGAAAACTTTCTCAGAAAAACTGTTTATATCGCGAAGATGAGCGCGTATGGTTCAGTTGCTACTCAATTAAGCAATAATCTTTATTAAAAGTTTGTTCACGTCGGAAAGTTCATGAACATCAGTATCAGAATTTCCATAATTGTTCCTGACTTTTGAACAACCACTTTTATTTGTATTACAGTATTATACTCATCTGTGGTTTGCCAACACGGACATGTAGAGATAAGAGTACATAGTTTTTTTAGTCTCAAAAAGTAGTAAATAATATATGCTTGAAAATTTAAACATCAAAATTGTCTACAGTGGTTTACGATGAATACTTTCCCGGCGAATCACATATATCAGTCAACGTATGGAACTTCTGGATGCAAGGCGCTGTTGGTTTACAATATGCACTGAGTACGTTCATGTGTATGGTTGATAAAATATACCTCGGAGTCGCATTTCTCTTTGTATCTGTGTTTTTTTACGGTGAGTAGTTTCTAAATATTATCTCTCTCTATCACTAAATCGCTAATATAACGTTTCCATGTAGTGGGAGTGAACAGTAAAGAGTTGGTTGGCTTTAGTCACCTGTAGTTTTAGGGGAGCTCCGGAGTATTCGTACCAAGATGGCGCACTACCTGAACATAGTATTGTACAAGGTTAGGGTTGTGCGTCATCTTAGTACGAATGCCTCCTGAGCGCCGTTTTAAGATCCACCTCGCAGGGTTAAGGGCAGTGGTGGGATTCAATTTTTTTGTCAGCCGGTTTCATCACAAAAGTCATATTTTTCACCCGGTTCTATTACAAAATATCATTGACAGTAGCCAGTAATGCTGACCGGTTCGCTGATCCTATAAAATTCCGTGAGACGGTTCTATAAAACCGGTGCGAACCGGCTGAATCCCACTACTGGTTAAGGGTCGAGCAAGTTCAGCCGAACGAATCTATATCCTAGGTACATTAACGCGCGATATCGTCATAAAATGTCCGATATTGCTATTTGTGTAAAAGTGGTGGAATTTATTATTGAACATTAAGAGCGACCGAACAAACAAAAGTTCGCACGAAAGGCTTTGTCAACAAAGTGGAACATTATATTATATTCAGGCTATAAAATAATATGCTGCAATGCAATCTCTTATATTCGTTTCGAGTGTATCAATCATTGATTTAGGTAACAGATCAAAAAGACACAGAAAAATCTATTCCTATGCACAGTTTTAAAGAATCTGGGCGTTTGTAATTGGTGTTACTTTTTCGACATAAAACTTTCAAAACTGACTTTTTATTGCTTCTCGAAACTATATTCAATTTCAACACCCGACTAATCTCCAAAACAGGATTATAGTCAGTGGTGCTGGGGGAAATATTTTAAGAATGGATTATCTTTCGTATCGAACTCACTAACAACATGGCACACTTTACATAAATCTAACATAACTTTTGAAACGACAAATATAATGCTATAGTTGTCAGCAGCTGCAGTGCACGTAAGCCATTTGCTGCGGGCGTCCAACTTCCAAAACAAAAGACAGTAACGGGTTCACTGATATCACGATATTCTAGGAACGGGTTCGTACAAATCCACTAATAAAATCCCATAACCACTAATAAAAACCCCATAACATAAATTTAAACCATTTTTGTTTTATAGCAATCGCAGAAATTCGACATTCTGCCAAGAAACGTGCCAAAGAAGAAGAAAAAAAACAAGAAGATGAACCACAAGCATCATCAACGAAACTCTAAACTATAAAGTCCTCATGCGCAACGAAAGTACGTGGAAAAGGATCATCCTGTCAAACGAGACGAACGTTAGAGTCAATGAGTTATTCTAAGGCTATAGCCATCAACAACTGTTTGGTTTCATACCAATCATGCAATAGTGACTGAACTTTGCTGAATCAGAAAAAAATACGTTGTTGTTTTCCTATACACAACGCTTCTTCGAGCATATGGTTATAATTTGTGTTTCGAAATTAACTTGAAATGTATTACACGAAGTAGGTATGTGTATGCTTAGCGCAAATTGTTTTTCGTGCTTATACTGTTATTTGAATAAAATCGTATTGCTTTGCAAACGCTGAAATTTTACTAATGTTGGAATATTACAACCGTTGGAAGTATTGTAGTTTGGGTTAATATATTTGTACGTTTCTCTTTTGTCTAGTGTTGTATTCATGTTTTTATGTGAAAAGAGAAAATTATATTGAAGTATTGAGTTGTTAAGTTTAACAATTATGAAATTTGATGTCAGTATCATATATTTTACATTATTTGCAAATAATATACTTGATGTGAATTGTAAGTTCTATTATGACACTTTCAATTGGAAAAAGGGTGGTGCGGGTGCGTGCAGTAGGTTAATTATTTCATTCTACAGCGGATTGCTCACAATTAGCACAGGACGCCACTAATAACTTAGGTGCATCTGAACTATCGCGAATTGTCGATTATGGAGAAGATTGGAAGCGATATTCAGCGCCTTCAAATTCGACGGCGAATTAATTTTTATTTTTATAGTCTTGTGCTTGGAACGGTTTTGTCATTTTCTGCTTTTGTCTCTCTACACACGTTGCAAACGAGTATTAATATTCAAGGAAAATTAGGTAAGGAGAAATGACATGTACTGTATACCAATGTCAGTAATATATGATAAGAAGGTGCCAATAATTTCATTTTTGAAAAAAATGATTTATATGAATTTGCTATATCTTGATTGTGCGAAATATTAGGACTCGAGCTTGCTACAATGGCAAGTGAATTTACTCGTTTTTTTGCGGGAAATGCAAAATAGCACGCCAGTACATAATACATATCCGAAAATGACGCAACCGACGCACTCTTAAACTATTAAATTATTCTTCTCCTATTTTGATGAATACATTACTAAAAATGGGAAAATTTATAAAGAAATCGTTTTAAAAGATAGTGCACAGAGGTTTTATGTCAGGCAGGAATCGAAAAGCAATATAGTCTTGTTCAGTGAAAAGAAAAGTCATCCATTATTTCGAATCGAGTCTCCTGCGACAGATATCCTACATGGACATGCGTGTGATTTCCTAAGTGATAAACACAACTATACACGGCGTCAATTTACTTTTTCACTCGGTTAAAGTAAAAATCAAACCAATGCGAAGTCTGATTGTACGAAGTTTATGTAAATATATATATATAGATTCTCCACAAACGAATAAAACATGGCCATCAATACTTTAGGATCTCTTGGTCTCACAGTGGTGTATTTCGGATCTGTTGTCTACAGTCTATTCGTTGCTCCGATAACGATGAAAAGATTTGGTCTTGGCCTCAATTTAGTGATCTCGGATCTCAGTTACTTGATCTACTGTGCCTCAAATTATTACCCAGGTAAGATTCCAATGTTGGTATACACTGTACAACGTATTCTACGCCTGTACAGTTTGTAGTACTAATCCGGTAACTAAACCCTTTTTCAGGAATTTACGTTTTGTTACCCGCATCCATCATAAGCTCAGTGGCACAATCCCTCCTACTCCCCGCGACATCAATTGCAGCTTTTCAGTTGGCCGAAAGATTTTATCAATGCAGTTCGCAGACAGAAGAGGTTTATATTAACCGCTTCCAAAGTCGGTTTGTCGGCCTGTTTAGTTCAGTATCGGTAAGTCCGATGAATTACTACGTACATTAGAAATTCTACATTAAAAATTTTCTTGGAGGAGCAAGTTTTATTCACATTTCACATAAGATTGTGAAAAAATGCCTCTTCTTGCTATTCAATTAGTACCGCACTTAGCAATGAATACTTAATATTTCAGATAGTGGGCAACATTATATCCTTTGCTGCACTATCCGGAAGCAAATCCGGCTCGATAGAGGATGAAAATAGCAACATAACATTTTCTTCAGTCAATACAATAGAGGCGACTACCCCATCTCTTTCTCCAAATCGTAGCGGATATAACCATTGCGGAGTACAAGATTGTCAAGATCCCGAGATCATTGAAAATAACATAAACCAATACGTCCCCCCTGACAAAATAAGCACCTACATTCTTGTTTCGGCAGCCTGTGCAGTAAGCCTTGTTTCACTCATAATTCACGCGTGCGTCTATCCGGGGATCGGGAAATTCGGACGAAAATTACACAATCTTGATAGAGAAATAACGCAGTTCTTGAAGCCTAATGACGAATCGAAAAGTATGGAGTTTACACTTGAAGATAGTTGTAATAACATAGTCACAGCCGCGGCGATGACCACGACAGAAAAAGTCGCCGAATCACAAATTTGTTCTTCTATAAACAAACAACCATACGCCGGTCAAGACATCTCCACCCTGAACACCGATACCGGCGATCTCAATGAGGTGTGTTGGCAAAAATCATTTTCATATTCATTTTAAGATTGGATTAAGATTCATTAAAAAGATGAATAGGAGTACAACAAGCAATCAAATTTAAACTGCCCAACATATAAAAACTTTTCTTTACGATTTACAAACTTCTAGAAAATAATTTTTCACTAGAATGTAGGCGATGGATATTGGGAAACATTAAAAGCAACTGCAAAGTTTTTCATCCGACCTCAGTCAATTCTAATTGGGTTCACCCCCTTTCGAAATGGAATGATTATTGGATTTATGTTCTCCGACGTAACAAGAGCTTACGCCTCGTGTGTTGGTGGCGTAGAAATGGTAAGTTTATGGAAAAGATGTTGAACTCCAAGAGCACATGCTATTAATGATAGAATGAACGGTACAGGTAATAAGATTTTCGAGGTCATATATTTGGGAATTATTTATTCGTTCAACATCGTATTACGTCTCTTTTCAATATTAATATATGGTTTTCTAATAATAATTAAAATTGTGTGTTATATTGAAACATTCTGAGCTGATTGAGTTTATTACAATTGTAAAACGGTAAATAGGCCAATTGCAAAAAAGAGAAAAATGTTCGTGTATTTTTTGATAAAAAATAATATATATATATATGTGTGAACAGGTTGGTCTTATAGCAATGGCGTTTGGGTCAGTTGGAATACTCGTAGGTCTGATTTACGGCCACGTAGTAAAGTATACAGGAAGGAATGTAATTATGCTGATAGGATTTCTGCTTGAAATGTCGGTTTACATTGGTTGCTATGTGTGGGTTCCTGACCCGAATACAATGTATTATGTGTTTCTAATGTTCATTGGACATGGAACGGTAAACTCTCTGTTGTACATTTCTGTTAATGGTGAGTAATTTTGTTGGGTACTTAATACCTATATTCAGAAAAACGGTGGTGTTTCATTTCTCGTTAATCATTTGCCTCTCAGTGCAAGGTTGGGCACGATATATTATCACGAACCAATATTGGTATAAATTTTCTAAGGGAACGCAAGACGTTATTTAAAGAATTTTATACGCATATAAGCACTGTTGGAAAATAAAAGTATTAATCGCATTATTTTTATTGACATTCATCACGGCAAAGAAATTGAGAATGCGTTGCAGTGCATGTGAATATTCCTTCTAGAAACAAATGTTCTATATAGACACGAACAAAACTTGCTTTTTTACCCCAAATTGCCACCATTTTCAGTTCAATCGAGTCCAACTCTTTTTTAATTGTCCCGTGTTTATTCACTAATATATATATCATTATTCATGCAGTCGTTTACAATGAGTACTTTCCAACGGAATCCCACATAGCGTCAAATGTCTGGAACTTTTGGTTTCAAGGGGCAACAGGATTGCAGTTTGCATTGAGCACATTCATGTGTGTTGTGGATAAAATCTATCTCGGAATGGTTTTTCTGACCTTTTCTATGCTAATGTACGGTAGGTATTCATTAGATAAAAATTTAATTTTTGAGGAATTCAATAAATAAAACTACGTCAATCGAATAACAGAATTTACGAGTTGTAAAAATGCGAAAAAATGCAAGCATGTCCAAAAAATACCAGTAATCTGGAAATCGAGTTTCTAACTTTCTTTTAGCGGTGAACAAACACGAGTCTCTTCGATTTCACATTCATCAAACGAAATTTTGACTTCCCGTCCTAAGCTCAATTTGAGGTTTCACCTTTTTATCAATCATGTCTCTCCTTTAGGCTGATTATGGACTATGGAATTGTAGGTCATTGTCGGTTTTACTAAATGGAACGCGTAATTTGTTTTTGTAGTCGCGGCTGAATTTCGCCACCGAAGGAGTATGAGACGGGAGAAAAGTGCTACAAATGAATCTTCGTGCAAAGTAACAAAACTTTGACTGAATATGACTTTGACTAAAGCGCTTTCAATGTTTTATCATTATTTGCAACATATAGCTTGTTGCTTTTTCCCTTATAAATATTACATTATACGATACATATATATTATACTTTAATCTTAATTTCATTTCGTTAAACAATGCATGAAATATAGTATTTGTCTTTGTATCATATAAATAAAAAATACATATCACTCTTTTTCTATAAGTACTTACCAGGTTTGCTCAAAAATCTACCGAGAAAGCAGCTAATATTATACATTCAATGGCCCTTTTTTAACGATTAATAATATAAAACTATCGCTGAAAAAGGGGGTATGAAAATTCGCTTTGAAAAGGTTAATGGATTTCGTCAACGATACTTTGTCATATTTAATATTATTTGCGAAAAAACATAATAAAATTGTTAATACGAATAGTAAACTTCTTTGCATACTATTTTTCCGGACGATAGTTCGGTCAGCGCATGGCATTTCTCACTTCCAATGGGGATAGATTGCGTCAAGCCGAACAGAGCATTATTTCAGCAGCTTGGAGTTAGAAAAGACGCACATCAGTTATTATGGCGACGACGGATATCCAAGTGAAACAACGTAGAAAAATTCGCCGAAAGATAAATTTTTATTTTTACAGCCTCGTGTTGGGAACTGTATTGTCTTTTTCATCTGCGGTAGCTTTACAATCTCTCCAAACAAGTATTAATATAGAAGGAAATGTAGGTAAGTTGAGGTACAAATACCAATCACATAATTACCATTTGAGGTAGATAGAATGAATATAAGGTGGGTATGAGTGGGAAGATAGCCAATCAAATAGCATCGTTTATGTGTGACTACCTATGCTATTGCCATTAGCAGTTTTCGTCTGCGATATTCGGACAAACGGAAGCAGAGCTATGTAAAGAGCACTGTCCGCACGAGTACACAGATAAGCGTATACGTGAGCTGATTAAAAAACGTACCAGAATCACAATTATTAGAAAACAGTTCCGTAAAACTGACTCAATAATTCAGGTTCTATCGCTCTCACCTCGGCTTACTTTGGATCTGTTGTCTACAGTCTATTCGTAGCTCCGATAACGATGAAAAGATTTGGTACTGGCCTCAATTTAGTGATCTCGGATGTCAGTTACTTGATCTACTGTGCCTCAAATTATTACCCAGGTAAGATGTGCTATTCATGGTATCCAATGCTAAACCGTTTTTTCTAATATGAATCTGTACATTTGAGGATTGAAATAAATGCCAACGTAGTAAATATTTTCGTTGTTATATTGCACGAGCAACTTTACAGCAACCGTTTCTTCTTCCGAATACATTGAGCAAACATATTAAACTCGTTTATTAGCTCATTTTTATTTAAAGGCTCAAGCCCACAATGGCATCTTTGATATGTAACATCGAATTGATTTTATTTTAACGTATTTCACTTTACCACATATTTTAAATTTCAAACACATTTTATGGCTTACTTTCTATAATTATTTTTAGAGATTTATGTATTAGTACCGGGATCAATCGCAAGTTCAGTAGCGCGATCTCTTCTACTCCCAGCAACATCAATCGCAGCTTTCCAATTAGCTGAGCAATTTTATCGGTGTGGTTCTCAAGCGGAAGAAGTTTATATTAACCGTTTCCAAAGTCGATACATCAGTCTTTTTAGTTCTGTATCGGTAAGTGTGTCTAAATTGTCACTGCTACCCGGAGTGTACAGTCGAGTTCAATTCTAGATTCTGATTTTTAGACACGGAGTGGACCCTATGGGTTGTTTTGTTACTATGTTGTTGTTCTACTCTTTTTTATTTCCCTGTTAGTATATTTCTTCTATGGAAAAATAGATTTTCTCTTCAATTACAAGACCAATTGCTTTCAAAGGTTCAGCGGGTAAAGATTATTGTTGTCCGTCTTCGACTCACAGAATGGGGAACTATGCTCATAATATGTTCCTATTCGGCTCTAGTTAACCAGAACCCACTCAATATACATCAGTGCAAAATTGTCCTTAAATATGTTTTTATTTGATTATTCCAGATTGTAGGCAACGCAATATCGTTTGCTGCTTTATCCGGAAGCAGACAAAATATTGAAAGTGATGAGATTGCTAACGTAACAATTGCATCAGAATATACCAAAATGATATCAACTACAGCATCACAATTCGCAAACCGCAGCGAATATTACCACTGCGGAGTGAACGACTGTCAAGATCCCGAGATTGTGGAAGAAAACCTGAATCAATATGTTCCTCCTGACAAAATAAGCACTTATATTCTTGTTTCGGCAGCTTGTGGAATCAACTTGATTTCATTCGTAATACACGCTTTCATTTACCCCGGGATTGGAAAATTTGGACACAAACTCTACAACTTGGACAAAGAAATTTCTCTTTTTCTAAAACCAAATGCTTCGTCGACAAGTTTGCAGTTTGCAATCGATGACGATGTTGATCAAAAAAATAACAATAAAGAAACAGACGTTCCCGCTATTTCCAACAAAAAAGAGAATTATGATAACCCAGCATTTGTCCTAGATTCACAAGATTTTACGACGGCAAAAAAAACCAACGATGAAACCAATTCTACTTCGAAGACCGATGCTGTTCATATTGATGAAAAGTCTATGGATAGTCATAATGAGGTATCAATCATATTACAATCATCAGCAAATTTTACTAAGTCATTAAAACATCATCAAACATAACCCTTGGGTTTCGCTAGTACAGTCCAGATGTTCCACAAGTTCACATTCAAATCCGTTAGACTACATTATTCAATGTATATTGTCCCCAGATTTAAATCGAAGCGGGCGCGAGGCACCCTTAGATACGTCGATGTAAGAATTTGGAATAGCATATAGAGATTAGAACTGACTACATATTGAATGTTGATTGGTTGGTCTGATTTGTGGAGTCTGACTCTAGTTTGCACGTGAAGTTCGTGAACCCAAGCTATCAATCTGACGATAGCCACCGGCAGTGCAGAATAGATAACTTACTAGTTTCCACCAATATGCATACAGAATACAAATCTCAAGACTAGACTATCATTGAAAAGATATTGAGCAGTATACAAACAGCGAACCAATATTAAAAACGTGATCTCATGACTGAGGTCAAAACAGAAACTCAATCAGCTCAATACGAGTAATTATGTACGTTTCACGACTGAGAACTAAATAGCGTAACAAAGCGTATATTTTAATTTGATAATGACAGGACGAAACATGTTCATGGGAGCTAAAGTTGTGTAATATGTTCCTACGAAAATTATTATTAGAATTTCGAGGAAAAAGTTACTTTGTTTGTCATAATTTTAACTATAATTTGGGTAAATTTTGGGAGTTGATGCTATAAATATACCTTACAGCATTAAGTCATAACTAAAACACAATTACGCAATCACTTACACTCCTTTTTTTCTTCATATCTATGTCTGGCCATCTCCCAATATCATGCTCTTATGATTTCAACGTCTCGCGGCCAGATTGTGGATCTTAAATTTTGTACTATCCATTGATATATTTTAAGGTTTGTGAAATAGACATTTCTTGTCAAGCTACCAGTACCGTTATGAGTACTTCTCTATTACTCTAGAGTTCGATCTATTATAGGTACTAGATCTGATTTGTTGTATGCAACTTTCTCTCTGAGTTCTTTTCTAAAAAGATCTAGTTAGCCAAAATTGCCAGAACAGCATTGCATCAAAAAATATACAGGGAATTTCCTTATACTGATCATGCACGACAAATTGTTGTATTTTGAAGTTTAATCAAACAGCAATTGCAAGGTGATCGCTGGCAAGTAGGCCAAATGGTCATTTCGGGGTTATCCTGTCCATTTCGAACAAAGGCATAAATATATATAGATATAAATGAATAAAAGTTTGATTATTCGTACGGATGATAATTTAGATTTCCAATTTAAAGGATCGTGATGGGTATTGGACAACATTAAAGAAAACTGGAAAGTTTTTTATTCGACCCCAATCAATGCTGATTGGCCTCACTCCAGTACGTAATGGGATGATTGTTGGATTCATATTTTCTGACATAACAAGAGCTTACGCTTCGTGTGTTGGCGGTGTGCAACTCGTAAGTTATTTATTATTATTATCATGTTATCCATACTTTATCGTATTTACTACTCTGTATATACTAAAATATAAAAAAAAAAATGGAGACATTTTTTTTCAATGTTGGCAAAAGATTTGGTCCGCATAATTCTAAGAAAAATGAAATACCTATATATTAAAACCTTCTTGAAAACATTTTCAGTTTGCAGATACTTTAAATTGAAAGGGTTTGTTAAAGAGAGAATAAAATACAAATCTTATCACAACAACAATCCCATTTAAGATTATAGGACATGAAATGTACATATGGATCGTTTTGTTATTACGTTGTTGTTCTCCTTCTTCATTTCCTTGTTACGAAAAATTTCTCGCTTTTCTCATTAAATACTGGACCGATTGCCTTCAAATATTTAGTGGTTAAAGATGCATTTTTTGCTAGAAGGCTATTACTTTTATTTATTTCAAAGATTTCTGTGGGCTATATGGGATTTGTTTTTTGCGATGACGTCATCGAACGTAAAAGTTGCGCACCTTGTGGCGGTAGTCTACTGTGACAGATTGTATCCGCCTACAACTTCGTTTTGGCTTTCGTGTTTATATATTTGATTATCACTCTCTTGTTTTTTTCTAAGAGACTTTAATCTGATATATCATCCTTGGGTATACATATATTAAATGCCTGCGAGATGGTATATATATATTTCTATACAGACAGGACTTATCGCCATGACGTTTGGATCAGCTGGAATTCCGGTGTCTCTACTCTACGGCCATTTAGTAAAATATACAGGACGAAACGCTATCATGATAGCAGGTTTTCTACTTGAAATGTCCGTTTACATCGGTTGCTACTTATGGGTTCCGGATCCTGATACAATATATTTTGTGTTTTTCATATTTATTGGACACGGAACTGTGAACGCAATGTTGTATATAACAGTTAATGGTGAGTGAACTGTTAATGATATTTCAGATTTGTTCTACGACGATAGTGAGTCAGCAATTTGAGGAAAATGTATGAAAGAGCATGGGGACATTACTCGAAGTCATTATCGGAAATTTGCTTTATTGCTGTGGTCAACATAAATGTTCTGGTGGACCTAATTCACTCTTTATCATTTTCTATGGCATGATTGTTTAATTTTTCTATGACTGATTCTTTGTTTTTACAGTTGTTTATAACGAATACTTCCCAACTGAATCCCACATAGCTACAAATGTATGGAACTTCTGGATTCAGGGAGCAACAGGATTACAGTTTGCGTTGAGCACGTTCATGTGTATGGTGGACAAAATATATCTTGGAATGGCTTTTCTGACATTTTCCATACTAATGTACGGTGCGTATATCGTCACTTATATAGAATCATAAAACGAAGTACTGCAAAGAAAATAATCAAATCTACTGAATAAAACACCGCGAGTTCTATCTTAAATAAAATGTGCGACAATATTACAAAACAATGATTTCAGCGTCAAATTTTTCATAAGGCTTTTGTAAATATTTTCCCAAAATAAGGTGCATGAACTCACTAACGAAAGAGAAGGAATTCATTCTGAAGAAAAAATCATTTTCAAGTCCATATTAACTATTAGTTGGCGTAAACTCAAGGCAGGATGTTTGTTATTGGACAAGAATTATTACTTTGTGTTGACTTTATTACAGGCGTTGCGGAGTTTCGGCACCGAAAGAATAAAACACAGGAAGAAAAACATGTCGAAGATACTGCTTGGAATGTAACTAAACTTTGACCTGATCAAATAAGGAATTAGGTTTTTCATCCATTCCAGTGATAAATCATCTCATAAAATTTCCATGCCAGTTTATACGGGGTCCAATACTTTTTTCTTTTACTTCTAAATGCTATGGCTTCATTCCAATTGAATAGAGTGTAGGCATTATTTTATTCAGAGCCAAATTTTTAACTAGCATTATGAAAATTATGAGCTATGTTTGGAACTACGTTACTTGTTTTGCGCGCAAGAGCATGCGACATATTTTTGATAAACCTCCAGAAACCAATAATTTATGTCCTAACTACTTACTAATACTTTCAACTATGAGCGTGAAAACTAAATACGACAAAACCTCTGTGTAATTTGTAAATTTGGTAAGGCACAACGATGGAAAATAAGCCGCAAGTTTGGTGGTGAAATTATGGTTTATTTTCACGAGATCAAATTTTTGTTCTGGAATACGGCCCTTTGAGGTTTCTATATATACTTAAGTGTCTTTTGTTATCAAGATTTTATGGCAGATAATATGCAATCAATTTTTGCAGCAAACACGAACAAACGAAATTGAGCTTTATGAGACTCATGCATCGCATGACGAAGGTACTAAACTTGCAATAAAATACACAAAAATCAACTGTCTGGAATAATATTATGATTGATAGTTAGGAAAGTGCAATAGTGGCAATTGTTGTAGTTCTTATATTCCAACCATTGCTCGATGATTCGGAGATAGATTAGATTTGGATTCGAAACAATCATTATATATATATAATTAAGTTTCAAATATGAGACTGGTCAAGAAGGAAGTCTCGTCCGATTAGGGCATTAGGCTCTGAAAATCCAGTTTATACAAGTTTACAACGAGGTCTCATGACTTGGCAAATCTGGGATACGATTGGGTTAATGATTAATCACTATAAATACACCGAAAACAGCTGGACCGTCTGTACTCGTGATGCATTGCAAATACAAATATAACCAGAACAAATTTTGCGCAATTAGTCAGATAAATAGCGGGAAGAACAATTGAGGAAGGTCATCGCTATAACATAGTGAAATGAGTTTATCAGAAAACCCACTCAGGGAATATTTCAGGAAAATATGAAGTTACAAAATAGTTTAATTATCAATACAGAACGCCAAGAAATTGGAAATCAGAAAATTATGTAGGGAAAAAGAAGAGTTAGCTTCGACGTGACATCGTGTGGATCTACAGGAACTATATAGATTTCATAGGTATTATAACAATGAAATCTTGCTATTGCATATTCAGGATCTATAATTTATAAATGTCGTAAAAACCACAACTCTGGTAACATCCATCGAAGCACATGGGTGAATCTAAAGAGAAACAGAACAGCAATGACTTGATTTTAAGAAAAGGAAGACGAAAGTTAAAAATCTTGTTTTATTGTCATGCAACTGGTGTACATTTGGCAATAGCGACGCTTGCAGCACTACAAACACTTCAGACGAGCATTAACATAAAAGATGACATAGGTGAGTATTTTATCATAGCGGACTGAAGTAATATTTGCAAGTGAAATCTGAAGTGAAAAATTTGCAAGCATGGCATGTCCACTCTTTCTGGGGGAATTTACCAGTGACCACTAAATTGAACAGAAACACGGTACTATAAGGAATTATGGCGGTGAATTGCGAAATACCTCTTGGTCGTTATGAGAACAGCTATATATATAGGCAATAAATTACGCAAAACTAAATTTCTCGATAAAACTGTTTGCATTATTCTTTGTCTGGTGTGTACACTGACAGTGAACGAATGAGAGCTTACTGTCAAATAAGAACTAAGACTAGAAACTTCGTTTTCGAGAGATAAGTTCTGGAGAATACGATCCATTATAATATCTGAATATTTGTGAAAGGGTTTTCTTCATTTTTATATTCCAGGCGCTATTTCATTGACTGCGGCGTATATAACATCCATATTTTTCGGAGTTTTCTGTGTCCCGGCAGTTCTACGTGTGTTCGGTCCTCATGTAGCTTTAGTGATGTCCGACGTTTGTTATTTACTATATTGTTTGGCAAATTTTTATCCAGGTGAGTGTCAGTTTTCCGTATTTCGATAACTCAAAATTAAAACGGAACGCTTTTGAACTACACTTATCAATGAACTAAACTGAAAATCGAGGATGTTAGACCCAAAATTCCAGACATCGTCAACGTCATCATTTTCATTGGACACGAAAACGATTTGTTAAACTGTTGCTGTTAGTACTCTTTACAGTATGCTTGTTGTTGTGGTGAAAAATCGCCTTTTTCTACAACTACTAGACCAGTGGTTCTCATTTTTTTGTGGCCCACTTTTATTACACAGAAATTCTGTGACCCACTACCAAAAGAACAAACAATTCTTTCCGTAAAAATGGGCACTCCCACTTTCATAATACAATTCAACTCAGTAGCAAAAAAAAAAAAAAAACAGCACCATTATTCATTTCTACTACAGTCAGTAGTAACAAAAAGTTCAACAATTCATCAATAATTCTAGCAAGTTTTGATGTTTGTGGCCTACCTGAACATGTTTCTGTGGCCCAGCAGTGGGCCATAGCCTCCTGGTTGAGAACCGGTGAACTAGACCAATCGCTTCAAAATATTGTTGTTGCCTAATTATTCCAAAATTTCTGTGGATTCATGGAATTCGTGTGATCATGACGTCAAAATTAAAAAATTGCGATCGCATTTGTACCATTTGGTGGTCAGACTACCGGTACCTTAAAATATTTGGTACTACTTGGCTTTCGTGTCTTTATATTTAACAACTGTTGTCTTGTTACTATTTAGATTTGGTTGTCCTGACAATCGGAGGCATAATCAGCGGAATCGCTCGAGCACTTTATCTTCCAAGTTACACAATTCTCGTTATGCAAATCGCTTCACAATGTATGCAATACTCAACAACGAAACAAGATGGATATTATTTCAATTATTTTCAAAGTCGATTTTATGGAATGGTTGAAGCTGCTTCGGTAAGATTGAAAACGGCAATATTTAATTGACAGTTTTTTTACTCACCACATAAAGGTAATTGTGTAATATATTTAAGAAGACATTCACCGTCAAATACCAGCTTTCTTTCAATCAGATTTTTGAATTATTTTTAGCGTCTTCAGTTTATTGCGTGGTCGACCAACAAAGGTAACACCACATTATCGAATTAAAGGTTTAAAATTATTTTATATTACCCATTTGATTTCAGATAGTTGGAAACATTTTATCTTACGCAATCTTGTCAGGAACAAAATCCGACTCAGGTTCAGAAGAACTTACATCTGGTAACACTGCAATTTCTCCTAACGTTACAACATCTGGCGATTTTTCAAACTCGTACCAATACTGTGGAGTATACGATTGTCAAGATCCAGAAGTTGTCGAGAACAATATAGATCAGTATGTTCCCCCAGATCAAATGAGTGTATATATATTCTTAACTGTCGTTAGCAGCCTATCGGTTCTTTCAGTTATCATGCATTCTTTCATATATCCGGGTCTTGGAACTTTTAGTCATAAATTGACCAAAGTAAGAGAGCGAGTGACCAACAGTCTTGAAGAAAACACAACAAAATCCAATACTGATTTCAACATTGATGAAATCAGTGTGACATCAAACCACAACAAGAAAAATGACGCCAAATTTCAAATATATGAAAATGAAGGTTTCACAAACGACGAGATTAAAACAAACGGGAATGTGGCGGATAATGATGACACCAGTTCAATACAGTTGTCCGTGACTTCCATTGAAAGTGCAGAGGTACATGCTCTTAGTAGATTATTTATGGTTACATATATAATATTATAAAGTATGTGCTACCTCTAATTCAAAGTAAGATGATAAACTATTCAAAACTCAGAAATCTAACTTAAAATAAATATTTGATAAGAACAGCCCAGTTGGATACATTTTGCAGCTCTATATTTAAATACTAAATGGAAGTATACTTGTCTAAGTTTTCAATAGTTCATATACCGCTTGATGGTGAAACAATTGACTGTATATTTGAATATGGACGTCAGAAGGGGTACGTTTTTAGCATGTGAAACATAGGTTAATTAGGTAGTTCAATCAATGAATTGAAAAATCATTCTCGGCTTTGGCGTAAGGGATGTTTTCATATGTTATTCAGTTAAGCTGAAACCACCTTTTATTTAGTATTCTAATATTAGTATTTTGGCTAGTATTCTGGAAATTATGGTTATTAAATTATGCAATTTTCCTGTTGGAAAAATTTCGATTTACAGACAAGTTATGAAAACTACTGGTCAACTCTAAAAGCAACGTTTTTGTTTCTCATTTATCCTCGCTCTCTGATGCTGAGTGCATCCGCATTGCATTTTGGAATGTTTCTTGGATTCTGTTTTGCTGATCTTACCAGAGCATACGCTTCTTGCGTCGCAGGAGTTGAAATGGTAAGCTTGTGCGTCAAGGATAGTGAGCATACAAATTTTTCCTACGCGGTAGAAATAGTGTTTCTATTGAAATTATCCCATGCGGTCGAAATAGATTGGTGAGTCTTATAGCAAATGTTCTACCCAAATATCCAATGTACTGCTCACCAATATATTTAAGTTGCAAATATTCAAAATACGTCCTATAATAATCTAAGCATTGTGAAGGTCCATATCATATAAACAATGGTAGGATTCAAAATTTTCACGAACCCCTGTAACTGCTCACGTTTGCTATAAGTCTCTGATGCAAAACGTTAATGATATTATTGTTTATTTTAGACTGGCCTTTTTGCCATGACATTCGGAGCAGCGGGTATGGTGTCCGCTTTGTTATATGGAAGATTGAACTTCCCATACCGGCGATACGTTATTTATGCGGGATTGTCAGTGTTAGAATTATCGATGTACGTCGCTTGCTATTTATGGAATCCCAATCCCGACACAATATGGATGGTTTATATGATGTTTATAGGATGTGGAATTGTAAAAGGAGCTTACAGACAAAATATTGTTGGTGAGAATTTAGAATTAAATGAAGAAATTCGATCGCGATGTTTCAAACGTAATTTTTATCTATGTTATCTGCTTTGATGTTGTCATTGGAAACCTATTAGAACTGGCTGCTATTGCTCTAGCATTTTGTTATAAAACATATAGTTAAACAGTCAATTTTTTGGAAAAGTAAGAATAAGTTTTCAGTATAGAAGAATAAATTACAGATGTTCCCGGGTTAAAATATAGAATTACCATCGGAAGTCACGAACCATGGAGTTTATGTGATAAAACGAATCAAAACGTTTAAAATTTAATTGCAATAAAGATGTTAAAATTTACTACTACAGAAACTTACACTGTACATTTTCTACACAACAAAGATCTCGCGCTCAGTGTTTACAATGTTTGGTTTATGGCGGGATTGGGAATTCAATATGGTTTGAGTACTTTTATGTGCGTTGAGACAAAACTGTACACACAATTAGGTATTTTTACAGCAGCAATAATACTTTTTGGTAAGTGGATCAGGTACACTATTAATTTGATTTTTTATATCAAAGTTACCCCTAAAAAATGTCTGTATCCGAAAAACATACAGAAATGTTGGAAATGAAATTATAACAGGGGCTCGTACTGATCTAAAAAAACAAAAAAAAAATTTTTCAGCAAAAAAAATAAAAATAAATTGATTCCCTGTTTTAAAAATCGATACAACTATTTGGGCTCAAAAAATAAAAAAAATAGTTTTCATCATTGACAAATATAGCATTTGTTTGATGCGATTTCATAAAGCACAATCTACAATCCGCGGTTGTAAGTTGCACATATTCTAAAATAACCCAATTTCAACGATTTCCAGTTTTAGTTGAATTCATCTACATGCGGGGCAATGGCGTAGAGAAAAATCAAAATAACGAGATTAAAACAAAACTATGAATGTTGGAATCCTCGAATCTGCGAAGGAAAAAAAGAAACGCGCTGAGAAGAAAATCGCTGTCAACACAAACATCGTTTTAAGATTTTCTAATCATTCGTGGAATGTTTTTGTTGTGTATATTTTTCATGTTCATGAAATGAACCCCACAATTTGCATATATTGCACGCTTCACCCGGCAATTTTATAGAAGACATTGACAAAAAGTCAATCGTATAAATGTTGTTTTATAAAACAAATGCTACAAAAGATGCAATAAAATCGATAAATTCTTACCTGCAATACTTGTATGTTTTTGAGTGTTTCTTTTCAAATCTTTCATTTTCCATCATAGGATATCTCTGTTGAATATCAGGTATATTTCAGCAATAAGTGGTGTGCGTTCATTGGTCTTCGAGTCAACTTCGACAATGCAGAGCATGCATTAGTAATATAATTAATAGTAATATAGATATTCTGGAAACAAGAACAATAAAGTTAGTACAAATATTTCATATTTGGGGCAGTTGAGACATGCTTACAATTGAATAACATTCGCCTGGGAATTCCAGCAGATAAAACAAATTTCGTTCCACAGTTACAGAGATAGAGATTTTACTGAAAAGACCAAGAATAGAGTGCAAAATTTCTTTAAAGTTAAGGTCAGGCCATTTAGATCAGTAATCACTATAAATTAATTACAACAGTTTATCTGTGTTAAATTCGAACGGGCCACGGCTTGCGTTTGGATGGAATAAAGTATTTTTAAGTTCATGTCATTTTTCTAAACTTATATAATTGAAGAAAACAATTTTGGTGACGTCATCGTAATAACACAAATTCCCTAGAGCCCACGAAAATTTTGTAAATAAATAAAAGTTAGCGTCTTCTAGCCAAAAATACAGTCTTCATTCACTGATAATTTCAAACCAATTCGTCAAGTGGTAAAAGAGGAAAGCGATATTTTTACAACGACCGTAACAACATCAACAAGAATTCTAAGAACAAGCATGATAACAAAATGATCTGTATGTCCAGTTCATGTCTAATAAGAAGATCCACTTCACAAAGTAGTGCATATAGGTTTGATACCTAACTCTTGGCAAACACCGAAAATATATACAACAGACAACTATTACAAATGATATAAATTTGCAAAAACCATTGTACCCAACGTTTAATACAAAAAGTAAACACTGTTGGGGAAAAAAGGAGTCAGGTACCAATATCAAATATGTCATGTGTTGTCTAGCCAAACACATAGGGCATATGTATAAAGAGGCTTTATATATTATTTGCAAGCAGTTATTGCAGATGACTTCCTAGTCAACAGAAACAGTCAGATTAGAACACAACTACAGCAGCCCGTGTCCGGAAAATTCGCCGTAGGAAATCTCGCCGCAGAAAATTTCGTTGCATAGGAAAACACGCTGCATAAAAAATCGCCGCAAAAGCATTTGAGAAGTAAATTATCCCAAATGTTATCTCGTCTCGATAATTCCAATATTCGACAATGTCTTGATATATATACGTGACCCTCTTTCTGACCAACTTTTTAAAAGAGTTTTACACAAGGATTTCATTAGTGAATCATTTTTGGTCTTTTGTAAAAGTGTTTTGTAAACATTTTCTTTCCTACTCAAGAAGATTGACATCATCCACTAGTTTTTTTTCTCAGAAGTGTATTCTGAGGAATCGCATGCTCGACTCAAAACATTAGCAACATAAACTTCAATGTGATGGTTTTTTAAATATGGTCTTCTCAAGTGGTCTATGGTATTTATAACGGAAACGAGAGATAGGTTCAACATCACGTCGTGTGGAACTGCGGTAACTATATAAATTTCATAGATATTATAATAATAAAATCACATTTAGCATCTATAATTTATAAACCACAACTCTGATAACATCCATTGAAACACATGGAAGAATCTAAAGAAAAACAGAACAGCAATGACTTGATTTTGAGAAAAGGAAGACGGAAGTTAAAAATCTTGTTTTATTGCCATGCAACTGGTGTACATTTGGCGATAGCGACGCTTGTAGCGCTACAAACACTTCAGACGAGCATTAACATAAAAGATGACATAGGTGAGTATTTTATCATAGCGGACTGAAGTAATATTTGCAAGTGAAATCTGAAGTGAAAAATTTGCAAGCATGGCATGTCCACTCTTTCTGGGGGAATTTACCAGCAGTGACCACTAAATTGAACAGAAACACTGGTATACTATAAGGAATTATGGCGGTGAATTGCGAAATACCTATTGGTCGTTATGAGAACAGCTATATATATAGGCAATGAATTACGCAAAACTAAATTTCTCGATAAAACTTTTTGCATTATTCTTTGTCTGGTGTGTACACTGACAGTGAACGAATGAGAGCTTACTGTCAAATAAGAACTAAGACTAGAAACTTCGTTTTCGAGAGATAAGTTCTGGAGAATACGATCCATTATAATATCTGAATATTTGTGAAAGGGTTTTCTTCATTTTGATATTCCAGGCGCTATTTCATTGACTGCGGCGTATATAACATCCATATTTTTCGGAGTTTTCTGTGTCCCGGCAGTTCTACGTGTGTTCGGTCCTCATGTAGCTTTAGTGATGTCCGACGTTTGTTATTTACTATATTGTTTGGCAAATTTTTATCCAGGTGAGTGTCAATTTTCCGTATTTTTATTTAATCGATAACTCAGAATTAAAACGGAACACCTTTGAACTACACTTATCAATGAACTAAACTGAAAATCGAGGATGTTAGACCCAAAATTCCAGACGTCGTCAACGTCATCATTCTTATTGGACACGAAAACGATTTGTTAAACTGTTGCTGTTAGCACTCTTTCCGGTATGCTTGTTGTGGTAAAAAAATCGCCTTTCTCTTCAACTACTAGACCAGTGGTTCTCATTTTTTTGTGGCCCACTTTTATTACACAAAGATTCTGTGACCCATTAGCTTTCTCATTTGAGGAAAAAACTACAAAAAGAACAAACTATGCTTTTCGTAAAAATGGGCACTCCCACTTTCATAATTATATTCAGTAGCAAAAAAAAACAGCACCATTATTCATTTCCACTACAGTCAAAGTTTAGAAATTCATCAATAACTCTAGCAAGTTTTGATAGGTTTGTGGCCTACCTGAACATGTTTCTGTGGCCCAGCAGTGGGCCATGGCCCCCTGGTTGAGAACCGGTATACTAGACCAATCGCTTCAAAATATTGTTGTTGCTCCAAAATTTTATTCCAAATGTTATTCCAAAATTTTTGTGGATTAAGCTAATGGAATTCGTCTGATCATGACGTCAAAATTAAAAATTGCGATCGCATTTGTACCATTTGGTGGTCAGACTACCGGTACCTTAAAATATTTGGTACTACTTGGCTTTCGTGTCTTTATATTTAACAACAGTGTCTTGTTACTATTTAGATTTGGTTGTCCTGACAATCGGAGGCATAATCAGCGGAATCGCTCGAGCACTTTATCTTCCAAGTTACACAATTCTCGTTATGCAAATCGCTTCACAATGTATGGAATACTCAACAACGAAACAAGATGGATATTATTTCAATTATTTTCAAAGTCGATTTTATGGGATGGTTGAAGCTGCTTCGGTAAGATTGAAAACGGCAATATTTAATTGACAGTTTTTTCTCACCACATAAAAGTAATTGGGTAATTTATTTAAGAAGACACCACGTTTAAATATCAGCTTTCTTTCAATCAGATTTTTAAATTTTTTTGAGCGACTTTAGTTTATTGCGTGGTCGACCAACATAGGTAACACCACATTATCGAATTAAAGGTTTAAAATTATTTTATATTACCCATTTAATTTCAGATAGTTGGAAACATTTTGTCTTACGCAATCTTGTCAGGAACAAAATCCGACTCAAGTTCAGGAGAACTTACATCTGGTAACACTACAATTTCTCCTAACGTTACAACACCTGGCGATTTTTCAAACTCGTACCAATACTGTGGAGTATACGATTGTCAAGATCCAGGAGTTGTCGAGAACAATATAGATCAGTACGTTCCCCCAGATCAAATGAGTGTATATATATTCTTAACTGTCGTTAGCAGCCTATCGGTTCTTTCAGTTATCATGCATGCTTTCATATATCCGGGTCTTGGAACTTTTAGTCATAAATTGACCAAAGTAAAAGAGCGCGTGACCAACAGTCTTGAAGAAAACACAACAAAATCTGACACTGATTTTAACGTTGATGAAATCAGTGCGACATCAAACAATAACCAGAAAAATGACGCAAAATTTCAAATATATGTAAATGAAGGTTTTACAAACGACGAGAATAAATCAAACGGGAATGTGGCGGAATATGATGACACCAATTCAATACAGTTGTCCGTGACGTCCATTGAAAGTGCAGAGGTACATGTTCTCAGTAAATTACTTTTGATGACATATATAATATTATAAAGTATGTGCCATCTCTTATGTGAAGTAAGATGATAAACTATTCGAAAATCAGAAATCTAACCTACAATTAAAATTCGACAAGAACAGTCCAGTTAGTTACATCCTGCAGCTCTAGATTTAAATACTGAATGAAACTATCCCAGTCAAAGTTTTCAATTCCATATACTGCTTGATAGTGAAACAACTGACTGTATATTTGAATATAGAAATCAGAACGTTTACGTGAAACACACGTGAAACACAAGTTAGCACACACGTTAGCACGTGAAACACAAGTAAACTAAGTATGGTTCAAACAATGAATTAAAAAATCATTCTCGACTTTGCGTAAGGTAATGTTTTTATTACGCTATTCAGTTAATTAAGCTGAAATCAATTTTTATTTAGTATTCTAAAAAAGATGATTATTAAAATTATGCAATTTTCCTGTTGGAAAAATTACGATTTACAGACAACAAGTCATGCAAACTACTGGTCGACTCTAAAAGCAACGTTTTTGTTTCTCATTTATCCTCGCTCTCTAATGTTGAGCGTATCTGCATTTCATTTTGGAATGTTTTTTGGATTCTGCTTTGCTGATCTTACCAGAGCGTATGCTTCTTGTGTCGCAGGAGTTGAAATGGTAAGATTGTGCGCCACGGATAGCGAGCATTCAAATTTTTCCCATGCGGTAAAAACAGTATTTCTTTTGAGATTTTTCCATGCGGTCAAAATAGATTGGTGCATCTTATAGCAAATATCCTACCCAAATACCCAATGTACTGCTCACCAATATATCCAAGTTGCAGATATTCAAAATACGTCCTATAAAAATCTAGGCATTGTGGAGGTCCATATAATATAAGGAAGAATGCAAAATTTTCGCGAACCCTTGTAACTGCTCTCGTTTGCTATAAGTCTCTGATTCAAAATGTTAATGATATTATTGTTTATTTTAGACTGGCCTTTTTGCCATGACATTTGGAGCAGCGGGTATGGTGTCCGCATTATTATATGGAAGACTGAACTTTCCATACCGGCGATACGTTATTTATGCGGGATTGTCAGTGTTAGAATTATCGATGTACGTTGCTTGCTATCTATGGAATCCTAATCCCGACACAATATGGATGGTTTATATGATGTTTATAGGATGTGGAATTGTTAAAGGAGCCTACAGACAAAATATTGTTGGTGAGTATTTACAATTAAATGACGAAATTCTATCGCGAAGTTTTAAACGGTATTTTTGTCTATGTCATCTGCTTTGATGCTGACATTGGAAGCCCATATTATAACTTGTTGTTATAGGTCAACCATTTTGTTATAAAACACATAGTTCAAAAGTTTACAGATGATTTTTTTTTGGAAAAGTAGGAATAAGTTTTCAGTATGGAAGAATAAATTACAGATGTACCCGGGTTGAAATATAGAATTACCGTTGGAAATGCCTTAAAAGATCTAATTCTAAATGAAGTATTTTTTTCTGGATGCGTATAAACCAAAAATGAAGTTCAAGTGATTAAAATTTAATTGCAGTAAAATGTTAAAATTTACTATTACAGAGACTTACACTGTACATTTTCTACACAACAAAGATCTCGCGCTTAGTGTTTACAATGTCTGGTTTACGGCGGGATTGGGAGTTCAATATGGTTTGAGTACTTTTATGTGCGTTGAGACAAAACTATACACACAATTAGGTATTTTTACGGCAGCAATAATACTTTTTGGTAAGTGGATTTAGTTCAATGATATTTGATTTTTTATATCAAAAGTTATCCACTCCGACACAATATTCAATATAAGAATATTTATGAGTTGAAATATTAAATACAAATTCAAATATTGGATATTGAAATAACCTTAAATAAATGCTGTCGCTTCCTGCTTTTGCGAGCAACTGTGATATAAAAAAATGAAGAAAAAAACTGTCTGTACCAGAAAAAAATACAGAAATGTTGGAAATTAAATTATAACAGGGGCTCGTACTGACGTAAAAAAAATGGTTTTTGGCAAAGAAAACAATAAATTGATTCCTTGTTCTGAAAATCAATAAAAAAAAAAATTTTGTGCCTCTGTGACCATCATTTCATCTTATATTTATACGACTTTCCAGTTTTAGTTGAATTCATCTACATGCGGGGCGATGGTGTAAAGAAAAATGAAAAGAACGAGATTAAAACAAAACTATAAATGTTGGAACCATCGAATTTGCGAATGAAAAAGGAAACGCACTGAGAAGAAAATCGCTGTCACCACTAACACCGTTTTATGATTTATACTAATCATCGTTCGACCGGAATAATGTTTATGCTGTGTAAATTTTTCATGTTCATAAAATAAATCTTACACTTCGCATATATTGCACGCTTCACACGGCAAGATTATAAAAGACATTGACAATAAATGTTTAAAGTCAACATACGTGTCAGTTTGGATGTTGTTTTTAAAGAAAAATGCCACAAATAATGCAATAAAATCAATAAATTATTACCTGCAATACTCACCAATTATATAGCGGATTACATATTCTGGAGTGTTTCTATTCAAGTCTCTCATTTTCCATCATATGATATCTGTGTTATGAGGTATGTTTCAGCAAAAAGTGATGTGATTGGTCTTTGAGTCAACTCCGACGACAATGCATTAGTAATATAATAATTAGTAATATAAATATTCTAAAAACAAAAACGATAAAGTTAGCACAAAACGCTCCATATTTGGTGTAGTTTTACATGCTTTAGATTGAATACTATTTGCCTGTGAATCCCAGCAGATAAAACGAATATCGTTCTGAGTTTCAGAGCTAGGGATTTTACTGATGAGACCAACTATAGAGTGCATAGTCTCTCTAAAGTTAAGGTCATGCCATTCAGGTCAGTAATCACTATAAATTAATTATAACAGTTTGTCAGTGTTGAAGTCGAAAGCAGGGTTTGTGTTTGGATAGAATGAAGTATATTTTCGTCCATGTCATCATTCTAAAACTTATATTATTGATGGAAAACAATTTTAGTGAATTTTCACAATAAAACAAATTCACTAGAGTACACAAAATCTTTTGAAATAAATGAAAGTTATCGCCTTCTAGCCAAAATATAGTCTTCATGCAATGAAAATTTCAAAGCAATTGGTCAAGTGGTTAAAGAGGAAAGCGATTTTTTCACAATAATCATAACAACAACAACAACAAGAATTCTAACAACAACAACAGCATGATACCATAACAATCTGCATGACTATAGTTCGTGTCCTGTAAAGTTGTGTATCTTGGTTTGATAACTAACACTTAGCAAACATTAAATACATATTTTTTCTCGAGATTTGCGGTAACGAAGTAAATATATATACAACAGACAGCTACTACAAATACTGTACTGTAGATTTGTAAATAACCGCCCCCAACGTGTAATACAAAAAGTTGGAAAAGGAAAGAGCTTAGAAACCAATATCAAATATATATATCTATTCAGGCAGATGTTTTTATTAGTAATCTGTAAATGTATACGGCAGACCTCGGTAGTAAATATAATCCCGTCAATATTGGTATAACAAGTAATGTTGGGAGTACTCGCAACTCAAATTTCTCCCCGCGAATTGCATTAGTTTGTTGCAGTATATATCTAAAATTGTTAGGGGAAGTACAGAGCAATAGATGTTAAATTTACCAATATTTCAAATTACTCAAATAACAATATCAATCACGCCCTTCCTATTGTTTAATTACCGTACAAATAATACGACAGCAACTTGTCAAACTAACGGAGTTATGATATTTCGTTTAATTGTGTTAATCATTGATACTAGATTTCTTCGAGTATAATAATTGTCTGCTGGTTAGTTGTCACAATAGGTGTGAGAGCATAGGTTTACCATTGGAATATATTAATCCATTGCCTATCCAAGACCAAGATTCATTGTATTTTTCATAATAACTTAGTGTCTCTATTTATTAGAAGACTACTGTACTTATATAACACGTATTGGCAGTACCGCATTATCTCTAATTTCCTACATAAAAGACTCGAATGGTCATGGATGGAGACGAGAAATTTGGAAATGAGAAAGTCCTAAGAAAAGCTAGGAAAAAAGTGAAGTTGTTATTCTACTGGAAGACAATTGGAATATTGTTAGCAATATCAGCAGTCGCAGCTTTACAAACCCTACAAACCAGCATCAATATTGAAGACGATATCGGTATGTTTAAACTAAAGCAAAAACTTGAAGCCATAATTTGCTTGATTTATCTAAATCCCAACGAAGTACAGTAGTTCTTTTAGCTTTGCGACGCGAAGGTGTGCTATCACCGACCCAATCAACTTAAGCAAGATAATCATAAGTAAACAGCAGAGTCCTAAATTAACTGATATTCATTTTCAGGGGCCATCGCCTTGACAGCGGGGTATGTCGCTTCCATATTTTTCAGTCTCCTCTGCGTTCCAGCATTGCTGAGACTATCGGGGCCAAACGTAGCTCTGGTCGTCGGTGACATTTGTTTCTTGATTTATTGCTTGACAAACTTTTACCCAGGTAAGTGATGCACATCATGCTTGTTTTTATGTGTGTACCTCCGCATTATATTGTTCGAATGTGAGGAATGTCATTTCAAAATAGGCAACTACTGCGTGAATCTCGACTTTCCAAAATGGAAGTTTGTAATACTATAACCCAGTTATAAGTATGATATTTCACCGTTAAAGTTCATAAAACTGGTCCGATTGTCCATAGATTTAATGACTGGGGCTAGGGTAGTAACAGACTGTATCAATAGTTTTAGAAAATTAGTATTGAAACCCGAAACCACAAGAAATTTATATTAAAAGTCTATTATCAAAAAATTTCAATCTCATAAAACTTACGCGTTTCTAAAAATAAAATCTTGCAAAATTGCAGCACTATAATCGCCATTATTGCGAAAAAAAGATACCAATTCGTTGCCAATACCTCAAACCCATTGTGTTTCCAGAATTATACGTTTTAACATTCGGCGCAGTCATCAGTGGAATAGCTAGATCTGTTTTCTTCCCAACTTACACAATTCTGGTTATGGAAATAGCATCAACATGTACTGAATTTTCAACATCAAAGCCAGAGAAATATTACTTCAACTACTTTCAGAGCAGATTTTATGGAATGCTGGAGAGTTCGTCAGTAAGCATTATATAAATATCGATCGTTCAGTAGAAATCTAAAGTACAGATAGATATAAGAATTTCTCACAAAAATACCGCCACAGAAATATTGATACAAACAAAAAACTTCATCTGTCCTCAATGAGTCCCACCCTGTTTTCATTGTACATAAATGTTATATTGTACATAAATTTTTAAACGACAACTATATTTAGCAAGTTTGTCTTCTTATGTTTTACACAGGTTCTAGTATTTGTGCGCTCAGTTTTATTTCAGACAAATGATACAATTTCCGCATTGTTATTCTCTAGAAATTTTCGGCGCTTCAGAAGTATGTTCACCAAGATGGCGCACAACCTGAACCCTAACCGGGTACTCATACTATGTTCAGGATGTGCGCCATCTTGGTGCACATACTTCTGGAGCTCCAAATTTTCTGATTTTTTGGGCACGAAATGGACATATGGGTCGTTTTGTCATTATGTTGTTGTGGTTAGTATTTTTCTACTTTTGTGAAAAAAACCGCTTTTCTTCTGAAATACTGGACCAATTGCTTTGTAGTACTCTTCTTGTTGTAGCCAGAGGGCTATCTTTAATTAATTAATTAATTTAATTAATAAAATTCTGTGGGCTATATAGAATTCGTTTTTCACTTCGAAATTTGTGAGAGGACGTCATCAAAATAAAAAAATGCGCATGTGTGGTGGTTCCCATGGCCCCATATATTTGAACAGTGCTCTCATGTTATTTAGATAATTGGCAACATCTTATCTTATGGAATTCTCTATGGTACAAAGTCTGCACCAGCCAACACCGAAGTATCCACCACCCAAGAACCAAATACTACACAACAATCCAACACAACCTGGAATCCTACAGACCCTTATCAGTATTGCGGAGTCGATGATTGCCAGGATCCTACAGTTGTTAGCGAAAGCATCGACCAGTACGTTCCCCCAGATAAAACCAGCATCTATATTTTAATTTTCAGCGCAAGTGCACTAACAATAATATCCATACTGTTGCACGCATTCGTGTATCCAGGATTGGGAGTGTTCAGTCACAAATTGGAGAAAGAGAAAGACAGAGTAACATCGAAAACGACAGAGCAAAAGTTTGAATCTTTATATTCAAAGAAGAAAATTAGCGTTATATCCAATAGCATCATCGAAGAATTGGGAAACGATAACCCAGATTTTGTTTTCGGTGAGCTCGAACTCTATGACGACAGTATTGACGGAGACACCAAAGATCCAGATAATTTGAATACATACGAAGCACAGAAGTCTATGATGGGTGAATCTAAAGATATCGGTGGTAAAGCATCAGCAGAAACCATTGCGGTAAAAGCATATTGAATAGTAAAGCATGAAATTTAATTCATCTGCGAAGTGATCCATTTAAAACAATTACAAAGGAGGGGAAAAAATGAGTTTCTAAATTATACCACTAAATCGCCATCTTCAGAAACGCATTTGTAACAAAAATGTGTCACACATATTATTGCTTAGCTAAAATAATAACAAAAGTGCCAAAATAAAATAATTGGAAAAAATTACATAATTGTGTACCGTTGACTATTGATGAACAAGCTGCGGCAAAAGTTATATGATAAATATTGCTTGAAAACCACACCCACAAATCAATTTCAGTTCTGTAATTCATTATCTACAAACCTACGCTGGGATGTAACCCTCAAACTATTCCGCCTATTACGTTATATTTGATAGGTAACACAAAGCAAACCCAGTTACTGGAAAACTCTGAAAGCAACACTGTATTTTCTAATTTATCCACGATCGCTGATGTTGAGCATGACAACACTACACTTTGGAATGATGCTTGGATTCGTCTATGCTGATCTCACGCGAGCGTATGCATCATGTGTTGCTGGAGTTGAAATGGTGAGCTATTTAACAAACGTATATAAACTGTTGAAATCTCACAATAATACAAAAATATCCACCGAAAGTCACTATAGCTTAGCAGTATGAATCTATAACATATGGTTTGAGATTATGTACATGTAATTGATTCAGGAACGACATGAAATAATGTAAAATTTCAGAAGTTTACGAACATGAACCCTTTATCGAATTCACTAGAAAAAGGTTCCCTCCTTTAAATTTTGTACATAACTTTCGAAACCCCAAATATAACACTAGCCACCACTTGCTACGTGTCCCATTTGCTGCGGGCTTCTAACGTCCAAAACACAAAATAAAATTGGAATCATGTCATTCCGAGAAAGGGTACGCTCGAACTCTTAAAAACCCGATGAATTCCACCATCCAAGAACACTCGAAAGACTGATAGTTGCGTTTTTCTGCATCAATTGCTGATGATCTGCGTTTTTGTTAGACTTAATGGCAATGCGTTAAATAGATTTGATAAATTACCTAAATAAACTGAACGTTTCAACTCAAAAGCATATGTTGTATAAGCCGCGTGATATATGTTTCAATTTTTCTTATGTAGACGGGACTATTTGCCATGTCATTCGGAGCAGCAGGTATCCTGGCGGCTCTACTGTACGGAAAGTTGAACTTTCCCCATCGACGACACATAATGTATGCAATATGTTGCATACTCGTGTTAGCTATGTACATCACATGCTACGTTTGGGATCACGAGCCTAGCTCTACTTGGGTCTTGTACATAATTTTCATCGGATTTGGCGCAGTCAAGGGTTTGTTTAGACAAAATATTGTAGGTGAGTATATTCGTGATATTTTACTGAGATCTCAATAATAATAAATTCCTTAATTAAACTCAAAGACAAACGATGCAACGCGCAAAAAATATCTTACATATAGCAGACAAGCTTTAAAATCATAACAAGTCATAGATACGTAGCAGATATATCTATTCAGTCCAGAGTTGTGGAATCGGAGAAAATTTACAATCAACTTCGAGCTCAGAATTCAAATCTAATTCTGATAACAAATGTTGGCGTATGCAAGTCCTTCATAAAAGACTGTTATGAACGCTTAGTAAAATATGAGCTTATGAAAATTTTGACTTTTATTATTACAACTCGAAATACAAAATTCTCACTCGAAAATTAGACTTATGTAAAAATACGCCAAACTTTGACCCCGAGTCCACAGCTCTCATTCAGTCCCTCTAAAGATTTACAATCATCATTCATAACGAATCAACGTGCTATTTGACATTAGTGCCAATGCCAAATCAAAATAAAATACTGCAATACATTTGAATACCCTTTCAAGCATATTATTGTTTTCTGTATACAGAAGCCTATGCTTTACATTTCCCTGATAAGAGAGATGTCGCGTTCAGCGTTTACAACGTATGGTATACAGGCGGCTTGGCAATTCAATACGGATTCAGTACCTTTATGTGCGTTGAGGACAAATTATATACACAATTCGCATTGTATGTGACGAGTATCATATTATTTGGTAAGATTGACATTTTATTATTATTAAGTTTGAATTTGTACTGCATCATTGATGACAAAAGAGGCAAGACACCCAGTTTGAAGAAAAATATGGAATAGAGCAACAAGCTTCTTGATTTCGTTTTTAAAATGACATTTTAGACTAAATTAGTTCAGTGTGTTTTCATAGGCAATATCACTAGGGCGGACTAGGACTCCCATTCCTTATATGGTCAACGATGTGACGTCATAGCGCGTCCTACTTCATCACCGGGTCTTCGTCCTAGTATTCAAGGCGCTTATGCGTCATTTTCCGTTATAGCGACTTACGATCGTTCTCGCAGATGACATTTTAGTGGACTTTTCAGGGTGTCCACCTGGGTTCAAATCTGTCAGTTATAAGGTCGGGCATTGCAAGATTACTCGATTATCGATAAGTATATTACCTGCGACATGAGATATATTATAACATATACGTGACAAACTTTTTATGACAATAAACATTTAGAGTAAACTAAACGTTTAACGTTACCGTTATCGCTCAATAACTTTTCAATTGCCCATAATGCACCTCAACTTTGAAATCTTGATTGCATGGAAACAGATCGCGGTTTCGTGTCATAGTCCGCCCCATGGTGCGACCGCCCGACTGCGTTTTAGTATGGCCCAGGTACCTTGCCATGCTAACTAATCTGAATGTTGGCATTACACAGTTGGAATGCTGTACGGCCCAAGATCAATCTACCAAAGCTCCGAAGTATTGAATATTGATTATATTGTATTTATATGATTATATTTTAAATATTCCAATAACATATTATTTGTAATACGAATTCCAAAAATAGTTTTTTAAACTGTATATCACTGATATATTTTCCAGTGGTGGTTGAAGTCGTTTATATGAGAAAAAGGGATGAATCCGGATCCGGAAAACACAAGGAAGAGATTTCCAAGACAAAACTGTGATAATTTCAATATCTTGTCGAAAGTGTCACAATTCAAACGCGCATTTCACTTCACAGCAGACCTTAAGCGGAGCATTGGGGAAAGACGGCGTGCAAGATAATTTCTGCGGAACTACGCACTTTGACGCACATTAAATCTATCTCAATGCACATGTTCATCTAATAACGAGAATTTGCGTATTCACTGCTTAATTTTATAATATCAGTGCAATAAAATACAATTAGAAATGTTCATGTATTATCATATTATGCCAGTACGGACATAGTATAAAATACTTGACGTTGCTCAATGAGTTGTCGTATAGTCAACAACAAGTATTTAAAGTAATTTCAAATATCAATCTCACAAATAGCTCGCCTTTGTCTATCACAATTAGTGTCATCTAGCTTTAGGTGTTCTAGCCACAAGGTACAGCAGTTTCCAGAACGATGGTCCGAAGGCTCTCGTGGGGCCCACAGAGAGCTTGTGGAAGACAAAACATCTCCGGTACTCCATACAAAAACTCCTTCATTATCAATATCATTGAGGCCAATCCAAAACGACGATTTTTCTTCTGTAATTTTGTCGAAAATTCTTCTGCGAGTATTTACATCGAGAATTCCCTTTGTCAGCAACCTGCCGCCCTTATTTTGGCACATGATTTCAGCTTCGTACCAATTCATTTGATTCGCAGAAAAGAAAAATGCCATATCTCCAAAAACGACCAATCCGCTAGCTTTCCACAACACCGCCTGCTTTCTCTCCAGTTGCCTTATTCGTTCTTCGTAAGCCAAAATCGCGTCAGTGGAGATTTCAGCACTTCTACCTGGAGGCCCTTTGTCCCCTTTAGGACCGACGTCACCCAGATTTCCTTTGGGGCCGATAGGTCCGCGTTTGCCAGGCCTCCCCGGTTTACTGGCTGAACCAGGTATTTCCAAAATATACCCTGACCCATTGGGCCTTTCTTCAAGCCTACAACATTGGTTAGCGGAAGATACGTGTATTATAAGACACAACAATACGATAAAAAGACTTTGATTGACTCGCTGCGTACGCGGCTGCATCATTTATAACTTGTGATAACAGCATGTGATTAACTGTAATAAAAGATGCTTACGGGCTAAAAATAAAAAACTCACGAGTCAAACGTTTTTTAAATGTCTCTAGGCGTACAAATTTTACAGAATATTAAATAGTTTATCGAAGTAGACTTATATAGTGAAAATTACGCGTGATCAGCGACACTTTATATCTAATATGACCGAAATTTTTGAAATTGCAGACATTTGTTACCGAAAGTACTTACTCTGAGCACTTAATTACTAGTCGAATTTTATGGTGTATAAAAGGCTTGTTTTGACAAATATTCATCATAATGCTCGCATGATCTATATACAAAAATTAATTCATATATATAATTTGCTGACTTTGGTATACAATAGAAATATGAACAACTTGATTGTTAGATTCTGTCATATAAATCGTCTTTGTCTTCGTGGTCAGATTGTTTTACACGCATTTCGTTATTACTGACTACTGAATATTGCTCCTATTTGTATTGGTCTAATGCACAAAGTAATATAATATCGAAAAGGCAAGACCGTTGCACATATCCTAGTACGCACAACAAAATGATCCGCAACAGACGTAGTATCATTTCTACACGCCGATAAACCATTTAAGTATAAAAAGCAACCATAACTGAATGGCCTGTATAAACCACACAACATCATTACAAGTATGCCAAAAGTTGTACGCAAACAAGTACGCATAAAATTGTATATGAAATAGGTGATATAATTCTGTCTTGTTTTGAAAATGAATGGGCGCGATCGTCAAAGTAGCAGAGGTTATTCAGGTATACGACATGGAAGCCTAAGAACATCACGTGCGACGTAAATATACTTCTTTCGGCTCTATACATTACTATTTCGCTGAGCAGCCAGCCACTGCTAGGAGAGAACCCCAACTGTTTGGATGTACAAAGAAATGTCCCACAACAGATGAGGTTTGATGGAAAAGCTAAGGGTATTAATGTTCAACAAGTCGATAATGCTTTGACAATATGGCGGTGGAATAAAGTTGCATCCAATATCGAAAAATAATCATGTTATGTTCATAAGATTGTTAAGTCTGGGCATTGGCGCATTGTTAAGATGAAATCCCACATGAAAAAAAGTGTATGTACGATCTTGATGCTTAATCGATATATGTTGTTATAAATTTACCGAAACAAATTCTTTTATATCGCTATGCAAAATATGTCATATTAGTACAATATTTGAATACACCATGCCTCAACAAGACGTGGTGCGCATACACATATGTATATTGTGATTCTGTGAATACATAGAAATTTGTGCAATTTGGATGAGAATGTCTAAGAGCGCAGCGAATCATACATTTATGTTGTAGATACAGTACAATCCAAACCGCTGACTGGATTGCAAATGCCAATGCCCGGGCATGTTTATCTTTATTTGTGACGAGTCATCGCAGTTTACCGACACGATTTAGCCGATGTGAACGCGCATGAAGTATAGAGATAATGAAGTCACTTTCACAAACAACGTACGTAAAGTGCAAGCTCATCGTACAATTCAAATAGAAAAATAAATTGTGCAGAAGATGTTCAATCGCTCGCAGCAGCCGATTGCATTGTGGAAATACACTCAGATATCGCCATGTATAGCAAAAATGAATAGAATAAGCTGAACCCCGACCTCGAAGCTTTTAAAAAATAACTCCCGCTTCGACAGCTGTTTGGAAACTCCGAGTAAATCTAATTTTGGCCACAAAAACTTCGCAGCCTATTCTCAAATATTTACTGGGAACGCTCACTTAAGTTCACGCGTTTTAGTACCTGTCGGATTTTTGATTACTACCATTGAAAGTCTGAAATTCCGACTTTCGACTTCGGTAATTCTGAAAATATGATTTCGGCTCCGGCTACAATAAAAACATGCCAAACTCCGATTCTACAACCATGGGTATAGGTAAAACGTTGGGAAGCGGAAGAATGGAATGCTAGATCACCTTCCATATTGCGCCATCAAAATTATCCAAGGGGAGACTTTCTATGAGGAGGGACAAAGTTAATAGCAAGCGAGTGAACAAGTTGTATAGGAGAAATTGATCTCGAAATATATGTGATGTAATCATTGATGCAATATTTTCAAGTTAATGATGTACAGACCATGACGAAATTGACCACAATAATTCGAGTCATTGCAACCTCAATTTGTTAGCTTACTTCCGGAGCTGAAATATTTTCCCGATGCCTTCGGAATGGCGCAACTATGATTTGGCAGAATCTTCTCATCAGTTAATCATCGACATACGAATTTTAGTTGTTTTAGCCTAATGTAAATATTGCAACAGTGTCGAGACGGTGGGCTCTTTTACATCACATCGGTATCTTACGTTAAATAGGGTCATGAAAAACAAAGAGTTTTTGTGAACAAAATGGGACATCCCCATCTTCCGCTCAGGACGTCTTGCGTAACATATATTCATCAACAGAAATACTAAAACAGTAAACAATGTGCACCTTGTTAAATTGATCAGAAGCGGTATAAGTTGGTCGAGTATATATGACATTGAAATAGGTGTAAAGATATATAAGTTAGGTTACGCAGTAGTAGTTGACTGGAAAGAAGGTTAAGGGGATGCGTCTCGGGTAAGGTAATATATATTTCCAGCACAGACACTGCAACGATTCAAACTCAATTATCGTTCAAAATAAGACAAAAGATAAGAATAGGGCGTCACTTTTAGGCGTATTTAAGATTTTTTAAATAAATTATGAAACAATTATAGAAATACTCGGATCAGAATTCATGCATATACGACCTTATTTTGAGAAGAAATCAATCTCAAAATGGACCACTACTAAAAAAAACTATATGGAACGGTTATAAAGTATATGCAGATACCTAAAGATAACGAATTTAAAAGATGAGATAAAAATTAGCAACAACATCATATTATGAAATATATTGCGTCGCGTGAATCCTGTACAGCAAGACAAAAGCAAATATTGGCTTTAAAACAATAAAAAACGGTTTATTGGTTTGCAAATGAATTACAACATTGTACTGTATTAATTTTCACAGGTATCTATTACTTGAGTTAAATTTTTGAACAAAATGAGTGTTGATAATTGTAAGCAAACCTATGTAATTGTTATTATATAAAGATGTATACTGGAATGTAAAACTTTATTTTGTCTTTTGAATTTGACACTACTCGCTCTGAATGACGTGACTTTGTCTATTGGTAGAAAAAGTTGAAACAATTTTCACCAGCATGAATCTCAAGAAAACTTTACTATTAATTCTCTTTACAGCCAATTTTGACTTATTTTACCCTTAGACATCGAATATTAAATCACACAACTGCTTGATGGATTATTCGGTAAAAGAGGCCAGGAAAAAGATTCGCCATTTGTTTTATTGGAAAACATCTGGAGTAATATTAGCTATATCTTCACTCGCTGCGTTGCAAACTCTTCAGACAAGTATAAATATCGAAGGAAATGTCGGTAAGAGAAACATACAAGCCCCATTGTGTAATATAAGAATTTTATTTAAAGATAAATTAAGCACAGGCTTTGTAAAAGAGATTTTATTATACTCGTAGTACTGTTGTATGGTAAATACCCCAAAAGTAAGGAAAACGACTAAAACAATAGTGCATCTAGGGATGGCCAAAACCGAATACATTTTAAGAAAATATTTTGGAATATTTTACATTTTAAATTGGGGGCAAGTTCGTGTGGAAAAGTACGTAAATCACTATATCTTTATGTTGATCATATCTAAAATGACGTAAATATGACGGTCAACGTTTCATCTGTGTTGTAAATTTCAAATTTGAATATTCTAAATTATTCCTAGATTCAAATTTGATTCGTTTTGCAGGTAGGTATAAGATAAGGTAACTGATAGTATTTTTCACACACCACTTACAAGTCTTTATCGATGAATTTGGCCATAATTAAATATTTTGTGATACAAAAATAATAACAGTACAGGGAATGAAAATAAATACAAGATATGTACTTTGTTTCAGGATCTATATCACTGACTGCAGGCTACATCACATCAATATTATTTAGTGTATTCTGCTGTCCTATCATAATCAAACGTCTGGGGTCGAATGTTGGAATAGTCGTCGCAGATGCATGCTATTTGGTCTACTGTTTATCGAATTTTTATCCTGGTACGTTACTAAGCTTTCAAAAATATCTCAGGTGTATGCTAGATCGATGCTCGATCGTGAATTGAATAATAAGACTTCAGTAACTATGGAAACATAAATTACTATCTCAGTATATGTATTTATTATCTTCAAATGCAGGGGGGAACCAGCTTTTTCATAATTCACACTCAGGAATAAGTCATGTGCCAATAAATAAGTTCGTCAAAGAACGAGTCAACAATATCGGAATACTGGTAAATTATTAAATGTATTAGGACTCAAAAATGATCAAGCTGTAATGACGATTGATAAACTGCTGTTTTGGAAAAATATATATAACTAATTCAATCAACAATAAATAACACGCAGAGAAAATTGAGATATGCTGATACATTGTTCTTTTTAGAACTTGGGGTTCTAACATTCGGAGCCGTGGTGAGCGGTGTGGCAAGATCATTGTATTTTCCAACTTATACAATCTTGATAATTCAACTTGCAACTACAAGTACCGATATCGGACCACAAAAATCGGATGGATATTATTTCGACCTGTTTCAGAGCAGATTCTACACGAGTGTGGAAAGCGTATCTGTGAGTTTATCAATAAGTTTATTCGTAAACAACATCGAGAATGGCACTTTATGCCAGCAAAAGTCATTTGGTGAACGTTTTGATTTGAATGTAGACTGAGAAGCGATCAGCGTAATACTAAATACTTAGCAGCGCGTCAAAACAAACAAAAATACAAAGGACGGTGCTAGTCCATGATTTTTCGATAAAGAGTTATTGTACTGACCTGATAACTCGCATTTAAGAAGTTCTTTTTTATTCGTAGATTATCGGGAATGGCTTGTCCTACTCTATTCTATACGGCATATCTGCAGCAATCAGTTCCGGCAGCGATGAAACTGCAATAGTACCGAATGTAACAGCCACACCAAACATAACAACGTCAGCAGCCTTAGTCGACCCATACAGATACTGTGGCGTTAACGACTGCCAGGATCCCTCTGTTGTCAGCGAAAGTATAGATCAGTACGTACCTCCAGCAAAAATCAGCGTTATCGTGCTCATTACAGTTGCAAGTTCCCTCTGTATATCTGCAGTTTTAATACACGCTTTGATCTATCCTGGTATCGGCTCATTCAGTCACAAACTCGAGCAAATTAAAGAACTTGTCGTCAACAGCAATGACGTCAGCATTCACGTTTCAAACGTAACGACTGACATCTCACTTCAAGGCGATGTCGCCGATAATAACAATAACGACACGGACAAAAAGGTTTTGGATACAGTGACTTGCTATCAAAATTCCAGCTTCAGTGATGACGAAAAAGACATTTCGCTTAATGTATATACAATTCCTTCACCAGAAGAAAAGAAAAAAATTGACAGTTCTTCTATAATTCTGTCCGAAGATAACGTCCCTAATGAGACTAAAAATCAGCAAGATGTCGAACGTCCGGCGGATAATGATAAGAAGGTGTGTATGATAAATCCAAATGTTGCCAACATCCACTCTATATAACTTGAATCTTGATTAAGATAGAGCTATAAATTAGCAGCTTTTATTAGGCGAACTTTCCTATTATTCTCTCGTCAAATTAATTTTGTTTCTACGTTAACCAGGAAGAAAAAGTTGAAAAGAGCTATTTGGAAATACTGAAAGCAACAGGAATGTTTCTAATTCATCCCCAATCATTAATGCTGAGTATTTCAGTTCTCCACCACGGAATGATGCTTGGATTTGTTTTCGCTGACATGACTAGAGCTTACGCCTCATGCGTTGCAGGAGTTGAAACGGTAAGTAAGAGAAGCCATAAAACAAAAACATGTACTTTCTTGGCGCCCCGTTGAGTAGAAATATGATTTTACCGAAACTGAATTCATAATGATTCAAGATGATATTGCCATGAGCCAGTATATAAAATACTCGAAGAGAGCATTCAATTAATTTTTCAGAAGCAAAAATACAAAAAGTTTTTATATTTCATAAATTTAGAATTGTATGCAGATCAATACAAAAATCTAAAAGAAATTGTTTATATAAAAAATAATAACGAGTGCGCCGAAAACGCGTCATTTAAGACTGAGGGGGTTGTCATAAATGATTTCTGTTTATATATATATATATACAGGGTGGGCCAAAATTTTTTTTTACAAATTGTAAATGTGAAAATGGTAACATTTTCTTGGCCCACCCTATATACTCACAGCTGCTTAAATCTGCTTTATTCACGTTTAACAACTCTTTAGACGGGACTTTTCGCTATTGTTTTTGGCGCACCGGCAATGTTATCTGCAAACATATATGGAAAGCTGATCTTCCCTCATAGACGATATGTTTTATACGGAGCATCATGTGGACTCGAATTTCTTTTGTATGTTGGCTGTTATATGTGGGTGCCAGATCCGGATACTATTTGGCTTGTTTATCTTCTCTTTGCTGGATTTGGACTAGTGAATGGAATATTTCGTCAAAATATTGTAGGTAAGTACCGTATCGTTAAAAGCACATTTTTTAGAAAAACGACACCATTTGGTACAATTATTCCAAATCATGCGCTGTTCTGATTTTCTATTTTTACTAGCAAAGAATAAATATTTATCACGTAGAAGTTATTATTGAGATGTATAATTACTGAATGAGTTGCATTCAATCATCTTACCAGAATTCACAGTATGTATTTATAATTTCAGCGGTATTCAATATTCATTTCTCGGACAATAAAGACGTGGCTTTCAGCGTCTTTAACGTTTGGTTCATGGGTGGGTTAGGAGTGCAGTATGGCCTCAGTACTTTTATGTGTGTCGAAGACAAGCTATATACTCAAGTAGCTGTGCTGGTTCTTGGGGTTGTATTATTTGGTAAGTACATGCATCCAATTAGCTTTATTAACAATTATTCCTATATGAATATGGGTGGATGTTACCACATAATATGATACAAAATGGCGGATTTGTACGCGACTGCACAGTTTATCTGGCGTGTAGTAATACCACGCATACAGTTTAATTTATAAAATGTTACGTTGGTTAGTGTTCGTCACGGTAGAATTATAGGTAAATGTACGTAATGTATGTAAATCTAGTATATAAACACATCTAATAATACAGGATTTGGCAATACCCAAGATATTATTAATTTGAGCACATCAAAAACACATAGATATATAAAGGCTACAAAATATAAAACACAAAGTATTGAGATACCATGTATTTTAATGAGATATATTTGTGAACAAAGTTTATCGCTCGTAACATAATATTTATTGTAGATTTTTTAACAACTATAAAAATTACGACGGTCATAACTACCTATATTTTATTACTTTTACAGTCGTTACGGAGTTGATTTACACGACGGGAAAGAAAAATTCGAACACACAACAAGATGTGGAAAATACATACGTCGAAAAGAGAACTAAATTGTGAAATTTAAAACCGATGGGTCAAACTTTAACGGGTATTTCATATACGCCTACACTTGAAAAAAGGCTCAGTGATCAAAAATTTAGCATGATCAGTGTACTGAACTACAGCTGGAACAACATTCCAAAAATCTGGATAAAAAATGGAACTCTAAAGCCATTAATAAGAAAAATAACTCTCGTCCACTTTCAAAAAACGTTTCGAATCTATTATAAACAATATAATACTTGGTATTATTGTCTTAGATTATTCCAGTGGTTTTGCCATTTCAAGTATTGCCTGCCTAACAACAGAGTGTTTTTGTAATGTCTCCTTTGCCACTTTGACCGAACAGTCCATTTTAGCTAAAACAATTGCAAGAGGTACGACCTAAAAATATAATTTTGATACTTATTATAATAAAGCAGTTATCTCATCAATAAGACAGACGTGATGAAATACGTGTATTTGGTTTACCTTGTCTTTCCTGGCTGCAAATATATAATGCTCAGCAACAGTTTTGTTACGTATTTCTTCAGTAACAACGTTTGTTTCGTAAATCGATTTCAGTAAAGAGTTTGTAGCTTTCTCGTGACTAACGCCATGACACATTTTCTGCGATTGTTAAATTTGTGAAAAAATCATATATATATATGAAAAAAAACTAATAAAAGTCAATAATACATTTTTGCTTCAACTTGAAATATTTTCACGAACACGCTTGTACTGCGTCGGAATGCTTGAAAAATGAACACTTTATCAGATGGGCGATTCAGGAATTGTTCTTTTAAAAAATGGCAGAGTTGACTTAAATATATTCAATAAGAGAATAAGTTAATTAATATGTATTTCCTTTGTTTTTCAGCATTTTTGAAAATATTTATTTGGTTTTCATCAAATTTATTTCATTTGTTGTTGTTTTGTTTAATATTATCATTTATTTCTGAAATAATACACACAGAAAGTTGCTCAAAGTGTGGAAAGCCCTTTATAAATAGAAACAGGGGAGTGGGTTGAAAAAGAGGTACATACTCCATTTGTTTTACAAATCCAAAGAACAAAAACCTCTTTACCTTGATAATTTCAATTGCTCTATAATAAAGTTTATTATTGCTGACTTTCACATCACACATGTAATTCATAAAAACCTGGAATGATACAAAAAATTGCATAAATGGTAAACTATTATAAACATGCCAAAATCATCCAATATACCTTGCCCAATAAGACATGCCCTCCAGTAGACGTGGCATTGACCAGCCATTTCAGGCAACAACCATAGAGAGATTCCTCCAGAGCTTCTCTGCATGTCACACTCCAATGAGTAAGTGCCGTCTTGTCATACTCTGGGAAAGTTACTCGTAGAATATCATCGAAATACTTGTTCTGCAAATAGTAGTGTTAATGTATAAGCAAAAGAACTATTAAACCGCCCAACTAAATAATAGATTACACCAATCACTTACCGTATCCGTTTCACACATCTTCTCGGCTGTAGGGTTCTCCAACAAAACTGCCACAATTTTGTTTTTACCTTTGAGGTTTATGAGAACATCGCCCAAGTCTATGAAATATATATATATAATAAATGCAAAATTATACTGTCAAATTGAGAAAATTTGGGCTCTCTAATAAATTAGGTGCCGTTGGTACTACCGTATTTCTGTGCAACTTCCAAGTAGTGTTTTTGATATCCGGTAACCGCGCTAGACTTAACTCAAAGGCCAGTCTTCTTTTTCTTTACCACTGAATGAACATGTTTGACCTACCTTGGCACACATAGCCAAATGTGTTGATTTTTTATTTAAAACATGAAAACGAAAAACGTAAATAGATACCGTTATTCAATATTGACGTCATGATCGGGTCATCTTGTGATTGAATGAAGACGATTACTGCGTCATTGCCAACGTCTTGAGATTTATACATTTTGATAAAATCGTTCACGCCAAGTTGAAAGTATTTCTCCTAATTGAGGGAAAATAAGGTGTTATGACCGAAAATACGCAATGCGTCAATATTGACTAGAGAACTATGAAAAAAATGTAACAATTCGCAACACGTAGATGAAAACACCGTCTGACCTGCTGTCCAAAATTTTCTATCCCGAGAAAATCGTATCCTCCGTGAACGAATCCACGAACGTCATCAACACCTGGCGGAAAGCAAGTAAAAGGGTTGAAAATATTATTGTACTTATGTAAAATATTAAATACTTGAACTTGCTTGATCCAAATGTAGGCGGGCATTCTGTAGAATCAATAAGCGGTACCACACCCATCCAACCGGACGCTACATAGCGGATTTTTGCATCTGCTTTCAACGCATCTCCACCTCGTTGCACTAGGGCTGACATGACATTAGCAGTTGTTTTATAGAAATTTCTAAAAAAAAGTATAAACTATTTGTATAAGTCTTCTAATAGTGAATTAGCGCCCCAGATCGCATTCTATCACGTAACCAACTTCAAGGTAATCTTTAGGAATCCTATTAATCTTAAATACATATTTTTGTCATTTTTTAGTTTTTGATAAATTAAAATTTATCTGGAAATCAATATAGAATTTCACTTGCCTGCAAACGTCTTCATAGAGTTTTAATATACTTGTGACGTTCCCACAACTTCTGGTATTCGATGTGTCTTTTCCAATATCATTCAGGGCAGACAAAAAGATTGTTTCCAATATCACCTTGGTTGCAGTACCTCCCTTCATACGAGATGATCCCGTTATAGCTTCCCCCTTAAAGATGAATTGTTTAATCGCATCAATGTTTATTTATAAAAGGTTATCATAATCATACTCACCCCTAACACTGGGTTGATAACAAAACCCTTTCCTTCAAGAGAGACGACGTTTAAATCAGATGCAACTAAAGGTAAAAATGTGTTAAAAATACTGTTACCAGATCATTTAGCCGTTTCACAAATTTATATTTGATTTCAAGCATTCAAAATTTAAACATTACCGGTTCTCAAGGTTTTATCCCAGCCAACAATTTCGACATCTCTGAAAGAAGTGGGACAAAATGAAAACTTTCATACAAACAATTCTGTCATAGCTTTCTGATTAAATTACGTACCTTGCCATGTTGAGGGGGTTAAAACCCAACAAAACCGGTATGAATTTATCTAAGTGTTTCATACAGTAATCAAGTTGTCCTCCGACGAATGGAGCTGAAATTCCACAAGTAATGCCAAAGTAGATAACCTTTTTCTTGTTGTGGCAAATCTAGTTTATGTAAGCATATGAAACAAAATTTTATAGTGCTAACTGAGGTAAACACAGGGAATTGGATCTACATAGTATTCCTGTAAAATGACATCGAAAAAAACGAAAAATAACCTCACCTCTAACAGCGATTGCACCCCAGCATTGGGATCGTCTTCTGGCGCCTCTTGTGACGTGAGTATCGACCTATTACCAAAATGAATATTGAGGCCAAATCGTCATAAAATAATGACTAATAACTTACGTTAATAACTTACTTGTTTCCACCAGCGATCGAGTAATAGAATGGCCTCCCCTTCGAAAGTTTGCTCGTTAGTTCGTTACATACTTTCTGAATGAAAAGCCAATAAATATATTCATATTTAGTTTATCCTAATTCAATTTTAACTATATTTTGGGTTGTTTATTCTACTTACAATCCCATTGCGACTTCACAATTTCATGTAATTATTATTCAGACCTGAATACTAGACATGACCGTCACTGTAATGGTTTATAATTCCATTTGTTGCATAAAGTTCCCGAGAATTGAATTAGGTTTGAAATGCTGCTATAATATGGGATTTGGCCTAATTCGATGTAAATGCTCAAAAAATGGATTATAAAAGTGGCCAAACCTAATTTTCGAGATCTTGGGTATATATGCAACGTCCAATGTATTCAAAACCACAAAAATGCTTCGGATGGTCATAAACTCGTAAAATTTTAAATTATGATAAAATAAGTGTTGCTTGAACATTCATATTCGTACTCACGGATATGAGATATCCTAATCGTCCTGAAGTTCCACATCCTGCAAGTACAATAGCTATGTCCTCTGGAGGAAAATTTCGAAGGAACTCCTCAACCAAACTAGTTACTCCACTGATGCTCTCCAAGACTCGTTCGGAAAACAACCCCTATAGAAAACAAGCGGCTATTATGAGTGGGACATCGTTTATGTTATTGTATCAATCAACCTAAATCTTAAATTCAAAATTTCAAAGTTTGGACAATTGCTTATCATTTAATCAAGAAAGCGGATTCGGCCACCTGGTAGCTTTTTGAATATTTCAGCCTAAACCTAATGTTGGCGTAATCGATGGCTTTTTAAAAAAAACGTAACGATAAAAGAAAGATGAATGGGGAGAATTGTTACTTATTCATGGCGTTACCAGCTTCCGGAAAAGCCATTTCATTTTAGATGAAGAAAAAAACGTGCTAAAGCACCTCAAAATCTCGAGCGATCTACAAGTCCTAAAGTGTAGTAGTATCCAATTATGAAATATTATCCGTTTTAGCACCTTTGCCATTTTCATAAATGCGGTTGAGGTTATAACCAATGCGACATGTAACGCAAAAACTGACTATGCATGCAATATAAGGAATATCGTCAAAAAATAGGAAATATTTTTGTAAATTGTTTTGTTTGCTGCCGTGGTTCGAATTATAAGTAGCATTTTATTCTATCGCAAAAGGGTTAGCAAATATAATGCTCAATTACTATCGTCTTCAGCAAAAATTGTAATGCCACCACACTAAGGGGAAATACGAAAAGTGGCGTACGCCGTATAAAGATGTTTATTCAGTTCGGCCGAAATATTTGCAAATAGTGAAGAAAAAGGAGTACAGATTTCAATATAGCCTACTGTATTTACAATTTATGCTATATACCCTGGGTCAAATTGATCCCAAGTATTGATTTAAATTCAGGGGTCTCAAACTCGCGGCCCGCGGGCCAATTGCGGACCGCAGGATGATAGTTTGTGGCCCCCGCCTTGGTATTAAAGTTTAATGTTAGTGCGGCCCGCAAGTCACTTAACTCAGTTAGCATGATTAATGCTTTTAATATAATAGCGTTTCCCAAACTGTGTTCCGCGGAACACTAATGTTCCGCGAGCATCTCCCGAGTGTTGCGTGGAAAAGGAATCAAAAATACATCTAAATGGGTCGCCATGGCGATCTGAAAATCATGAAGTTGTTGCCCAACTGACCGTTTAAAATCGCGTCACCGTCGGCCTAAAGTGGACTAACTAAGTTGGTGCCATTTTCGTTAACCGTCGGTTTAGCTTTTTGACTGTTAACTTTGGTTTTGTTAAAGACATAAATAAAAGCAAAAGGTCAACCGTTCTTCCTCCATCTCTACCTGGTTTTACTTTGAAAGGCTGAAAGTTTGTCGCGCATTTGCAACTCGCCACGGCGAAACCATTAGGAACCGCTACATTGCACCGTTTTTCTTTATCAATTTAACCCTTTCATTTTTTGGTGTTCCGCGAGGAGATGATATAAAAAGTGTAAATGTTCCGTGGCCGAAAAAGGGAAACTCTCACGTAGGGCAAATCAAAATATTTTATCATCTATCCCCTGAAGAAATTTGTGGTGCGGTAACCTACCAGTACCATACCTGTAAGCCTGATATTGGATCGCGGGACCGCCTGAAATAATTTAAAAACAGTGTTCCATGATATTGGACGTCACAATCACTAACGCTTAGGTTTATCTTGATACATTGTAACCATGTTTCCCATGTAGCGAAACATCACTGTCCATCGGCTAAATGCTTGATTGAAACATCAGCGCAACAGTTATTACATAATGGAATTTTATAATTTCGCATATTCCTAAACGTGTCGTTGGAAGTGAAGTTTCAGTAAACAGAGGTTGGTGATGAGCACAGACAATTTAAAAAAAAATGGAAATTCAAATATGCAATATTTCTTTGTTGACACAGTTAAAGTTGCAGAGCACAAGGAATACAATTTAAACGAGTTGCTAAGCTTTTATTTTGGAAAACCTGATGCGGCCCGGACTCATCCAGACTCTGCCCCAGCGGCCCACAAGTAAATTGAGTTTGAGACCTCTGATAAATGTTTTCTGATTGAATAAGATTTCACTGCCGCATGTGCCCGCACTCAAACTATATTTTGAATGGCTTCACTTTGTAGTGAATTTTCATTAATTCGCCTATCCAAAAGATTCTAATTACAAGATATAAATCCCACTCGTGCTTTACACACAAAGGGTACAAGTGTGCAATTTCAGTCCGTTGCCGTCCAAGCAAAATATGAAAACCAGATGGAATTAAAACTTTACCTCTGTATTTACACCAGAAAATATCTCCGAATCAGTCAGCCGCAGAAGTTCAACCATTTCTGCAGGAGTACTAACGTCTATTTTTTCTGTAATTTCATTGCTGCGTTCAGTGAAAGGAGTGTTGTCCATTTTGATTTAAACTACAATTCTGTCTAATACTGCAGTGTACTGAAAACGGCGTCGACTATCGAAGACGACTTAAGTTAATGGTTCACTTGTGCATTCTAGTTGCGCAATCGCCCAATTATTCAAAGGTCAAAATAAACTTCGAAATTACAGTGCTGCTTACATTGGCAACTGTCGTCGATTTGGCCAAACGGTGCGCAACGCATTTCATGTTATCCGGAGTCTTGAATAAATATAGAAAGAACAAACATTCTCTTTGAACTAACGGTGACATGGAGTCGGACAATCATAAAATTAGTTGAAAACTAGTTCCTAGTGTAAACATGCGGTAGGGGCTAGGGGAACAAGTCCTATTTTTTGATTTCAAAATGTACCGAGATCCGCATTCAAAACTTCACAATTATTTGGGTCCGGTGTTTTCAGAAATTATATTTCGGCATCCTCAAACACGCACTTCCTCGATCGGCTAATGATTATATATATCAGCTAATCGAGATTGTATATTATGGTGTTATAGTTCTTTTCGTATATATTCAAAACAATAAAAGTCATTTTATAAAATGAAACTTTAAAAGTGAGGCTAATGATCCAAAATAAAGAATTAAGTGCGGTTCGAATCAAATACTCAAAAGGTCCGGATTCGGACCGCCAGTTGAGTGGCCCTGCTATACACAACAAATTTCGGAAAAGGGAGATTTGGGTTTAGAAGTCCGCTAGGTTGACTTTTCCACCTCCATTCTCAAACTCAATTTTAAAAAACACGACTTTGCTTTATTATTGATACCCCACAATAACCCTTATTAGTTTTTAGCTTCGTTTTGTCCGCATACGGACTATTTTATACTTTACATACCTGTTATAGTTATAAAGGAGTCTAAACATGCCGATATGCCAAATCCACCAATGAAGTTTTTTTTATCAATTTCAATCAAATATTATTTATAACCACATATTTGGTATAATCGAGATCAACAAGACACTTTTTTGTGAACAACAAGACTAGTTTGACTGAAAACCAGATCGAATTGAACTGACCTGGTTCAAATTAACTTAATGAACACTGGTACAATTTGCTTGGCACAAAATATCACATTGAAAGTTGTGGGAACTATAGAAGTTCCCATCAAAACCCAAGCCTTTACTATTGAACAAGACATTTAAAAGGTTCTTCAGAGGGCTTTTATTAAGTTTAGGACATATATGCACAACAAACAGTTTTATAATCAATCAAATTAACCTATTATCAACACCATATATACAACAGTAAGAACAAAATACGGACATGACTTAAAACACCCATAGTTTGACAAACTTTACAACAAAATCCATAAAAATTTGTACGTTTCTCAAATACAGACGAAAAGGATGAAGTTATATTTATTAGGTACTTGTCCCATCTCGAGCTTATAATTAGAACTTGTTTTAAATGAATAATAATAATTAGGTTTGACAAATGGTTCACCGAATAAATAAAAACAATTAAACAAAAAAACACAAACAAAAGTTGGGGTCTCCCTCTCATGCCCATAAACATCAATTATGTAAAGTATGTCCTGTTAAAAAGTAATGAGTGATGACTTCTGATAGAACTTAATTAGTGAACATGAACTCGAGATCATAGGTAGACTGATCAGGATGACAGGTCTTGACAACTTGGTTAGTCAAATCTTGTTCCTGTAAAATAGAAGTTCATACAAAGTTTTATGTGATGACAGACACTTTTGACAAGATTAAAAATTAAATACTAAAAAAATCAAGCAGGCTCCAAAGAACAACGACCATTTAGAATCAGGTAATTAGTCTAGGTTAAAATACCCAATCAGTTTTATCAGTCTAAAGAAGCCATAACCTTATGATTATTTGTGTATGCCAAAATAGGAGACTGGTAATGTTCTCATCTCCGAGTACTCCACAAAATTGCGACCTCATGAGTTGTATACTTCCAATGTTTTCACATCAGAGTACTCCCAATTGCAACGTTGGAGAGTATGTTTTGAGCGCTTTGTAGAATGAAAAAACTCTTCACTCTTATTCAAAATCGATTGTTCGTAAAAGTATTTTTGATGTGAGAATAAACAGATTACCTTGAAATTAATCACTCACACATACCTGAAGCTCTGAAACGCGGAAAGTCAAGTTTGGAATTTTTTTGTTGCCACAAAGCTCATTCAATCGACCACTGAGAAATGAATGAACAAACATTATTCCATTACATGAAAAATTCATTGTTCATGCCAGACAAAGCAAACTTAATACAAGCAGCCCAAACTATAAAGTATCGACAAATGCAATTGAAATTGGCTGGCTTGATTCCAACGTTATGTATCATCATTATTAAGTGAACGCATATGAATACACAGATGCACAATATACTGAAATAAAGTGCAAAATCATTTCGCAAAAAATACAACGAGGATAAATGATGCCAGAGCAGGCATGATTAGATTGTGAAAAATGGGCATAATAAATTAATCAATTAATCCTGATCGATTAGGAAATGAATCGAAAGCAAAACTCCTTTCCGGCACAGTATAAATGAGATTATAGTGTATTGAAAACCAAAGAAAACAACTTCCTATGAATATTAAAATATCATTAACATTTCTGAAAAAATAAGAGGAATTATGATGAATATTTGCTTAATCACTTGTTATTCAATCGAATGTTGTAAGATGAGTCAAATGACCTAATCATATTCCATTAATTCGAAACATAGGGAATATTTGAAAAATGTTTACTCCCGATTCTAAAGAAAAAAGCAAGTCTCACAGGCTATCTTTACTGATCATGAAATAAATAGTGGAAGTTTTAAATCCATTAAAAGCTGATCCAGCTGCCACAGTGTATGCTCCCATATCTAAAGACAAAAATAACACCTTTATTAATATGGAGCCTCGAAAAATAACATGATTTAAATAGATTTTCATATGGTTTTCAAGAAGCCATATTATAACGGCAATGCTGTTCAAAAATAAATTTATATATTCAAACACTTTACAAGTGTAAAATATCTTTACAAAATTATTATTTATTACCATAAATAAATTGTGGTTTCATACACAGATAAGGGTTTCAAAATATATGTTATGATCTGAATTTAAAATAAATAACTAAATGATATTTTAATTTTTTTTTTTTTTATATTTTTGATTTTTTTTTAAAAATTGCCTTGAACCAATATTTCAATTTAGAATATTTAAAAAGCATTGCAAAGAATATTAGAATACAACCGAACTTGATGTGGACACTGAAAACAAGAGCCAATTTTTACGGTTACAAAATATTTCCAATTCTCTCAGCTCTTTAGTATACTGATTATATAAAATTTTCTTGATTCCATATCCCCCTTTCAAATATTCCCATCCCAAAACAAAATAAAGTTGCATAAAATTTACAAAAATTAAGAACTGACACCGCAGGAATTTCAGGAATTTCTTAGACCTCAATACTATTACAGACAGTGTTGCAATCGCAATGTAACTAACAACAAAGGAAATTCTTTATTTGATATGTAACATGGTGTAATGTTACCTTAAGGTACTGTACTAAACCATAAAAATATCCAGTAAAGTCCCCAGGACTATTTCTCTTTCTACATATCGTGATTATCATATGATGACACGGCACATATTGAATTCATATCCTAGCACACATATTTACTTTATGGTCGATGTCAATTTGAAAACAAACATCCCATGCCATATGAATGCGTACAAACTAGTGTTTACGTAGTAGATACACAAGCAGGTAACAAATTGCAGGACAAAATTAACAGAATATTATACCATGTAATTCGCTCTAAACAAATTTTATCGCAATAAGTCGATTTATATTTATAAAGACCAATAAAAATAAAAAATAAAATTGTAAGTTTGTTTTGGCTAAATGATGCATTTTCAATATTAATGGTTTCATATATGGTTGTTAAATGGTTAAGAGATAATATTTTTTAATATAAGCTGAATTAGGTCATCTTCAGAGATTTGCACAAGTCAATTATCCTATGAAGACTGAATTTGATAATTTGGACATTGTTATTTTGTATATTCTACAGCCGGAAGTCGACGAAAATGTCAACTGCATTGATAACTTTCCAATTAAAAGTATTAGTCTCCTTCTGAAAATCAAGATTTAAAATATTAAACATAACTATATTCTAATCATTTTGAGCATGATGTTTCTCAGCTGAATTGCAATAACTTGCAAGCACAAAGAGGTTTAAAGGAAACTGACAAAAAGGAACATAACCTAATACTGACCTTTCCAAATGATCCAATCCCCGATATCTAGTTCAGGCAGATTACAGTTTTCAATAATTCGATCCAATCCGTCACAGGTCGGCCCCCAAACACTTGAAGAAAATTCAAGTGCATTTTTCTCAGCAGTCTGTAAAACAAAAATAACAAGCTTATCTTATAAAAAAAAATATTCAGCAGATCGAGACTACTCTCCTATACTTTCTAAAAATTTTTTTTAGTTGATTTTACTAAGTTTTTTAAACACTAACCTTCAGCAAAGTTGGTTTCACTTCAGCATGGTCGTAGAACAGACAATTGAAAGATCCGTAGAGTCCGTCATTTAAGAAATACATAAACGCTGGTTCATCAGATCTATCAGCCAAAACAGCATTAAGAATGGCATCTGTGAGAAAGAGACAATGGTCATTGAATATCAGAATAGCCATTTATTCATTTTTACATACGATTACAATCAGTTTGTTGGCTTAATACGATAATGGACATTTCCGCGAGCAGCAACTTCTGTGCATTGGTAAGGTATAGAAATAATTTTTCTTTGTTCTCAAGACGGAGAAAACATCCAATACAGCATCAGGTGTAATAATTCATTGAAACGACTTCTTACCAATTTGTCCAACTTCTTTATTGCCGTAATATTATACTCCACGCAAGCACGAATAAATTAAATTTAACTTTTTACTCAATTTTTATCATAGAAATCTCTCCCGCTTCTAACTCAACATTGCAAATTTAGGAAAATTTATTGAAAAAAAAAAAATTAAATTGTCATAAATGCAAACCTTTCGCTGCAGTTTCATCTTCATAAGTCTGTCTATCACGAGAAACTTTACGTTTCGCGATGACGTTGGTAGCGAGGGTGAATGCGGAGGCCGCAAAATAACGCCCAGGTTCCGCAATGATCTTCAGGTTCTCGAATTGAGGTACAGAGAAAAGATCACTCAAAGTAGCGTTCACAATGAGAGCAATCTAAAGGGATAAAGTCATCAAATCGAGATTAATCTAGGTTAATCTCCAGATTGATTACAGATTAACTCGATTGATACGAATGAAGAGCGATAATACGCTATGGAAAGTGTCACCTTATCTGATTAATATACCAATATGATCTATAGTAGCAAGAGAATTATGAATACCGCTATCCATCAAAGAACACATTTGCTCTGAACGAGGCCCAAAACAAGCAAAGCTGAAATGTACTACTAATTTAACGACTCCAATCTTTCCGTCGAGTAGTCGTGTCAAGTTTAATTTTCACAACCAGAAAACCATCGGTTCCATTACATTCGAACCCATATACATTTGAACCCACGACAATTGCACCTGCATACTATTGCACCTACGAAAATTTTTTTTCACGGATATTTGAACCCATACTAACCCTAACCCATAGATTTTATCACCCTCATATAGATTTAACCCGTGGATATACGGGTGCAAATGTATGGGTTCAAATGTACGGACACCAAAACAATCATACAATATTGAAAAAAAGATAATCAGAGATTTTTACTGTGGAAGGGAAGCCGCGGGGAAATGAAGTTGGTTATCGAGCAGCGACACCCAAGGTTCCACTATCTAATTTAAAAGATCGGTAATTTCATTTACGGACCTATTGGTATTGTCTGCGAGTACTGTATGGTTTTGCCAAATACATTACTAACATATCTTACAAGGCATGGATGAAACCGGTACAATTTGGAACCCACAACCTTCATACTATTGCTACTATTACACATACTCCTTCAGCATAAATTCGGAACCTACCTCTTCTACAGGTAATTGTACATCATTAGTACCAGGAAATCCTCCGCCAATATCAAGCAAATTCATGTCGAAACCAATAGAAGAACCATAATCAAAGACTCTACGAGCAAGCTGGAGTGCTTTCACAAATGCTGTTGGGTCTTGACATCCACTTCCAACATGAAAGCTAAAGAAATATATGAATTTTGATAATTATTTTTAGGAGGGTATAAAATGGCCGAAATTATTATATAGTCGAAACGGTTATTCATACTTTGCAAACTAAGGCAAAATTCACAATATCAGTATTACTTAAACTGATATATACAACACCATAACAATGTCAGACCGCAAGTCAAGGTCAATTGAGACCACCACTTTATGTATTTTTATCTCCGCGATATATCACACTCTTTTTTTATATAGGCTACATATTACATCGCTAAATATTGATAATGAAAATTTTATCCCGATAGGGGAAATATAAATATAAACGTAATTAAGGATGACAAATGCAGGAAATGAGACAACTCATCACTTAACAATCAATCAGCTTTATGATCAGATATGACAGCTTCCTACTCGACAGAGGCATAATCATGTGTTAGCTGGGATATATTTAGCAATATTGATAAACTTGAGTGGCATGAAATCACACAGTAAATTTGTAGGGTTATAAAAGACAGAATTTGGACTCCTTGGCTGAATTTCAGCCTATTTTTAAATCAACAAGTTGAAATGAGAATATTAACAAAATAGATAAAGCAAAAAAAAAAACACATTGAACCTTTCTGTTCAATTATGTTAAGTTCAACTTAAATTTTTCTGAAATACGGTAAAACTTGGCCTGGAAAATGCAGCAATTTATTATTCCTCTCATTCAAAATTTAATTATGAATAGAAAAATTCAGACAAAAACAAATTTATGCAAAAACAATTTACAAGAAACTGTCGTTGCAAAGTTGCAAAAACTTGGTGGCAAACAGTCAAAAAACACAGTCACCAAGGCAATAAAATGTTCCTATTTATCTATATCTTCACCTTGGAATTATATTCAAATGTTAAAGTGGTTTTCCTACCTGACGCCGATAAGATTCAATTCAAGTTTTTTAGCGGTATCAACAAGCGCCTCACATGAATCTGCATGAGCACCATATTTCATACTGAATCGACAAATAGATGCAGAATCATCAGTCTGGATGCGTAGCACCAAACTAAAGAAGGAAAAATTGTTATTAATAAAAGAATAGGGGAAAAAAAATAGGATCGTACAAATATGCTAACTTTCTTTGATAATACTTACTTGGCATCCGGAAACAGTTTTTTAATTTTGAAAAGTTCTATTTCGTTGTCGAAAACAAGGTCTGTGACGCCATTATCTCTCGCAAATTTTATGTGCGAGGATTGCTTGCATGGGTTCGCAAAGATGATTTTCTTCGGATCAGCATTGAGTTCAAGCATTTGTTTTATCTCAGCCTAAACAGAAAACAAAACGAAATTTATAAAATGAATAAAAATTTCCAACTTTGCTACGATAGTCCTACCTTGCTTGCACAATCAAATCCCATTCCCATGGCGATCATACAGCGAAGCACAGGCTCACTCGGATTGCACTTTATGGCATAAAATGGATGGATTCTGGGGAAGATTTTCTTCCACTTTATATGCTTATGAACAACATCTCCTATATCGCAAACGAAGAAGGCATCTTCTCCATCCTGGAATACAGAAGATTGACAATCAAAGATCTGTTATTTTTCTACAGAATTTGCTTCTGTGACATATAGAAGCTGAAATACTCATAACTGTTGCAGCAACGACAAGTACCGGTATATCATAAACAATCCCTATCTAGGTGTAAAAAGCGTTTCGATCTACAAAAAATTGCTATGTATGATCCAGGAAAAAAAAACATTTTAGAACTAATCTTGAATCCCTCATTTGAATTGGTATTTATACTCTCTAATGAATTTTAGAGAAACAGAAAAACTTTAATTATGTTTAGTGAGGTTCAAGTATATGACAAACGTAAGTACGTACATACAATTACGTGATAAAAAAATAATTTACATAAAAGACAAAACACAACTTAAAATAGGAATACAAGCCAAAGGCTCATTAAAAAAATGTACAAGTGGTATTTTGGACTTGTTGACAGCAACAAATAGTATTTAATTACCTCACGATTTGCACCAGCTTGGGATTTGACCTTTGACACCTCCAAGGCATCCAAGTTGTCAATGACCTCAATCACAGTATTGGTATTATTATGGTTGATAAGTTGCTTCATTGTTATGTTATCTATGGCCAGTCTTGATATGATGATATAGATGATTTTTTATCAACAGTGATGAGTATGAGAGGGAGACCACAAGATTTTCACCGCAAACTAAAGAGAAATGTCTAATTATGAAATACCCATTAAAAGCAAATCGTTTTGAGCTATTATATCACTGACATATATAGATATTTTAATTTTAAAAAAATGCAACGAGTGGCGTATTCTTAAAACGAATAAATTTTATTATATTGATCTTATGAAATTAGTCGAATAAATGATATCGTCTTCTGTCCTTCTATTTCTATTAATTTTTATTGTTAAATTTTTATGCACAATTGGTCGTAAGTTAAATAAGAAAGTACATGTTAGAAAATTAGATCGTTTTTAATATTTTCGAACATCTCTAAATGTTGCAAAATGATTTTAAAATATAGACTTACTTATAAAAACACCAATTTGCAGTGTATGAATGCGCCCGGCGTGTACTAGCTGGGATCCCAGGGTGGTTCAAAGTTAAAGTCGAGCTGGCTACGGTAGAGACAAAGACCGCCTTCGATGGCAACGTACTTCCCAAAGGAAGGCTGAAAAAAAATGTTGTAAAACACTGCAATGACTAAAATCTCATTCCAATGATTCAAATTAGTATGAATTGTTTATTTTAGTAATGTACCACAAGTATATGTTGCATGTGTTATTCCTAACCCCCACCTGACTATGCCATTCAAAAATTATGCCACTACAACGTCGCAATCACGTCACAGAGCTTGCCAAAGGGATGGCCAATACCGAATACAGGAATAGTTCACCTTTTCGAATACATTCAAAATTATTATTTTCCAATATGAAATATCGCATACCAGTATACATTTGAAAATAAAAAACAAGTTTTCCTTAGTGCTATAGTCAGAATCTCGGGTTTCATGTAGTTTCGTACCTAACATACTTCTAGCGGGCGTAGCATGACAATTTTCTCACGTATCAATCCTAACCCCAACCTGACTACACCATCCAAAAATTACGTCAACACGACGTCACAGTGACATAATAGAGCCCTTCAAACTATACGAACTGCCATCCAAGACGCGCAAACAAGCACCGGAAATCAAACAGTTCTTTCTCTCCTTTTTTCGTCGCAACGATTCCAATAGGAGAGAGATTGATAACGTCAGTTAGTTATTATCGACGGCGCCAATGCCATTTCGGGCGATTGTGCGTATATTTGGCAAGCTCTATGACGTGATTGTGATGTCGTAGCGACGTAATTTTTGAATTGCGTAGTCATATGGGGGTTAGAATTGACATATCGAAAAATTGTTATGCTACGCCCACTAGAAGTATGTTAGGTACGAAACTACACCCAGAATCTCCATATCTCGGTAAACTCAAAAAATGATCGAATAAGGCAATTTTTATATTCTTAAATTATCTAAATAATATTTATTGTCATAATGCTGTAATGTATGATCAATGCCAGAATTCCGAATATTTGAATTGAATACAAATTTATTTCTGTATTTAAACAAATCTTCTGATCTTTAGCAAATAATCAATATTCAGATATTGCGCAAAACTACCGGTACTTACTGACTTTATTAGTTCAGCAGTAAATGCTTAGAATGGGCTGTGTCAGTGTGAATCATTAATATTAGATATAGATTTATAAAGACAGTAACGTTAGGCCCAATCTGTTAATGCCAATAGCTGGAAGAAAACTGTTTTAATCTGGAAAACAGTACCGGTACCGTACTGCAGTACGGTACTGGTATCGGTTAAAACGTTCAAATTTAAAATTTACTTACCAATTCCAGCGACCCCCTGGATGGTAACACGGTAATTTCTTTAAACGACGGAATTTTGAAAGCTTTCAAATTCCGAAAAAGTAGAAAACACGATCGACATCGAAATAACGCGAAAAGGATCGCGCGAGCAGCTGAAAAGGGAATGGCGAAATCTTTTGGTGAAAGACCTTATGTACGACGCGGTGGCGCTGTTGGATATTGACGTCATACTTTCGCGAGTTTTCAGCCTGATGTATGTATGTATGTTTATTCGTCTCGTAATACTGTAGTGAGAAATAAATAAATTGCTAATTAATATTTAAGACGGGATGCATGCACAAGACCTACTGGACTAAAATACAAATGTGTGGCAAGCACCCCTTTTGACAAATATAGAACCATAGTTTACTGAATATAGTTCGCTCACGGTCGGTTTACTACGTCACCGGTTTGCTATATTTTGAGGCTTACGAAAGAAGATTTCCGTTGAATTTATTTGCGTATTAGGAAAGGTTTTGTTGGTTAAAATACCTGAAAAGATATACTGAGGCATTAGAATAAAGTAGGGGGTCGTGGCATCTGCCAACCATCTCTGCGTCGGTACCATAAGTTACCGTATCAAAGTGGAATAGGGGCAGAGTATTACTGCTGTTCTGTGATTGCATTTATTGGATGATAGTTGAAAGTTTATACCAGGATTATAGCACAAAATTAAGAATTTAGATATTCCCAAGTAGGAATGGGCGATATAGAATACCGAATCTGGAGGATTTGAATCCCTAGGACTCGGTTTCCGCCTCTTCGGCGCCGTGCGTCAATTTTTGTATTTCGGATAATTTATTAATCAGGGGCGAGCGTTATACTCTCGCAACGAAATCTGTCTTACATGTTTATACTTGTGTTTTCACGCAAAGAGCTCGCAAACGCGTTTGCGGCAGATATCAAACACCGTAATCCCAGCTTGAATATTCAGAACGCGAAGACGGTGTTATTGCACCATTTTTGGACACGTTTATTGGACACGTTTATTGGACACGTTTATTGTTGGACACGTTTATTGGAAACGTTTAGTGGCCATAACGATCTTTTCAAAATTTTGTTGTTATTGTTATTTTCTTTCGTCATTATCATTAAAAAATCGCTTTTCTCTTCGAATACTGGACCAATTGCTTTGAAATTTTCAGTGAGTAAAGATTGATTTTTTAGCCTTTTCGTCCGTTTATTTGCTGTGATGTGGTGCTTTGTTTATAATTTGACGAGTTTTGTTCGAAATAATCGTGTTCTTAAAATATATGACGGTCAGAAATGCAATTAGAAGCCCAATGTTTTCAAAGATAGAGAAGTTCTGGTAGCGCGGTGACACTGAACTAACTCGTAGCTGTCAAAAGCTTGAAAATCCATACAAATATAAGAGATAAAAAGATGAACTCTGGCAGGTGGGTAGAGTTGTGTTTCTTTTAACCATCTTTAAAAGGTTCGCGTTTTTACATTTAAAGGAGGGAGAATAGGGGGTGCGCATTTCCAATACGTCGATAATATCTTTGTCAACCAATCTGCGACCACCGTGTTTTTGTCTGTCTGATTCCTGTAATGTGGTGCGTTGTTTATACAGGTACTGGTAAGTCACCGAATATGATTTTTTGGAGAATTGTTCTGCGTGTCCATATATTTGAGCATTGCTCTTTTGTTTTATTATCATTGGTGCCGACTGTCATCTTACAGGCGATTTTTCGATTGCAACAATCTTAATTTTTTGGAATAGTGGAGCATTCTTTTCTTTTATATTAAATGACTTTCCGAGTTCTCCCGGAGAATAATGAGTACCCGACGTTAGATGATAAAACATTATTTGCGATCACTTTAGATCAAATTTTACTTTTCACGACACCCGGTTTCCGAAAAAACAAGTTATAACGCAAAACAATGCGCTTTGTCACATTTATTTTGCCCTACCAATAAAATACATATATCTTGGATTTCGAGTCGCTGATGAATCCGTTCCTATCGCCCAAGCGCGACACACGCTTGGTCGAGTGTCGGGCGGTATTTTAGTTGACGATAAATTAAAAAAGTTGCGATGATAACTGGAAATAAAAATTGATAACAGAATTGAATTTGTCTCAAGATGTATTTTATGAGTTTTGCTCTCAGAAGCAATCGTTTCCTGTCAAAGGCACAAAAATCTCGAATCTATTGAAGTCCACAGAAATGTTTGAAAAAGGTAAAAGTAATAGCCTTCTGGCAAAAAAACAATCTTTAACCACTGAAAATTTCAAAGCAATTGGTCCAGTATTCGGAGAGAAAAGCGATTTCATCATGGCGAAAGAGAAGAATAGAACTGACGGGTCCAAAAATGTTAGATTAAATATGTATAATATGGTCATTTATATAGACAGTTGTGCAAGGTGGGTTGATTGGTGTGGTGAAAGTGGTAAGGGTGGTGTATGCAAAACTGTTCATACGAGGAGTTTATAAGACAAGACAATATATATAAATAGAGAGACAACACAACACCAAGTACAGATACATAATGATGAAATCAAAATTTAGGCGTAAATACAAGATCTTTGAGTGGTGAGACCATATAATTTAAATGAGCGAAGTATAAAAGTTGAATGTCGGTTTTTGTGTCTATATGGTATGCGTCACTCAAGGGTGATAGTAGAGTTTTCAATAGAATGTGGCTATTTCAGCAAAAATGTGAACCATGCAGATTTTGGTGAAATACTTCATTTCACGTATCAAAATTTAGGCTTTCTTGTCACTTAATCAGTGTTAACAATCATTGTAGTTGGTTAACAAATACATAACTTTCCTGAGTTTCAATTCTGGATTACATTCTACTCCAATTACAACTCCGCATTTCGAGAGAACCAAACCTAAATGACCAAAATTCTGTATGTATTCGTTGAAATTTTTCATTCCCGCTTCAAGAACTTCTAAAATTCTGACTCATAATAAGTCAAATTTTTGTCTGTGGCGTCGGCACCAGTACCAATAACCACATACCAATATAAAGCTTCGATTCTACAGCATGGTATGTATATAGAATAGAGCGAGAATTAATAGAATCTGGTAGTCGCCAGTGGGCAATATTGAGCAGAATATTTTGAAATATTGAAAACAGACTGTGTACTTGGAGAGACTTTCAGACACACTGCCTCTTCGTGCTTCCCTTTGAGAGATTTTAAAAACAGATTCATATACTTTATTGATTGTGGAGTATCAGTGGCCAAAGTATTTTGGACGTTTTATCAATCTTTGGAATTAATTTTAGGGATTTTCCGTATTTGCACTATCTAATGCGTTTTGTAATTAAATGTTATTTTTTATTGAAAAAATTTGAAATCGAATTGCCTTCTCGAAAAATCCAAAAATAAATCTTATTCACACTCTCAACTAGCATACCATTTTTTTCTCTCCCACATTCGTGGTAATATTTAGTATAACTAATAGAATGAGACAGAGAAGAACTATATTATATTTGAAAATATAATATAGTATAAATAAATATAAAAAAAAGTTTTGAATACCGACTGTGCGGTAACAATGCAACCGTGCGAGTAATTTACCACCTAATCTCAATGACTTATTGTCCGTGCATTGTTACGTGTCGTTGGTGCGAAATGGAGTCTTATTATTGTTCAAAATGAATATTTTAAAAATTGGCATACCTATTTTAACAAAAAAATATGTCATTTTACGACTTCAATACGAAACGCGCAAGATACGTATGGAAGCATGATCGGGCGTGATCGAATACCTTTAGATCAACGGACAACGGTGGCCGTATGGGAGGTTGAATGAAGTAGAACAGAGAGTAGATTGTAAATATAAAAAAATCAAATTTAATAGATATATTTCATTTGAACTCTAAATTCAGCATACAGGCGAGGAAGTGCACGACAAAAAGCAAAAAATTTCTCCTTGGGATTTTTTAAAATCAATATAAGGATCGGGCATAAAAAATTGATTTTGGTTTATGCAAATAGTTCTATAGTATTTGGATTTTAGATCGTGATTAGTTTGATGGTGCTACTGTGACTTTAAAATTATCGTATATGTTATGATGCCTTATGTTTTCCAAAATATTCAAGTTTTTCAGGTGATTACTAAACTAATGAATTTTAAAATATCCTGGTTCAGGTTGGCTCCCATCTAGCTTTTGCTTTGAGTTATCATCCAGTAGTTGGCTATGTAAATGCTGAAAAACCACAGGGGAAAAAACAATAAGAGTCAAGTTAATGATTCAGTCTGGCTAATCATTGGTGGTGAATGACTAACGCTTCAAACTCGCTAATGCCATTTAAACAAATATTCAAAAGTGTCCTTGACAAAGTAGAGGAACGAAACAAACAGGAACAGAACACTTCAGAGCAAGTCAACTGAATGTTCTATACACTACACAAAAAAAAAATCAGTCCAATACATTGCTGAAATATTGTTAAAAATTTACATTGTAAATATATGACTGTGAGGTAGTTTTTTTTTATGTTTTTATTCCAATAATAATCCGTGGTGCGCAAATGAGTCGTACATAATTTTTGGTCGGAATCGGATCGAAAATAACAACTCTGACTGTGAACCACAGCGATTGGCTTTAAATTAGAATCATTACGTCACGTCTTGATACCAAAATCTGTATTGGCTTTTATGTTCATTGAAGCGTAAGTAATTTTACCACCATGATATTATACTCAGAACAAAGACAAACTGCAAAACGTAGAAGACGACTTTTTGGTATCCAACGGAGCATAAATGCGGGTTGGTGTCTTTTGTGCAAAATGCACCACCATAGCTTACCTTGGTCATTTGCATTAGGATATTTATACCTTTTTATCGCAGATCATCATCAGGTCAAATTTACTTTCGAACACAATGGTTCATTTTATTTTTCCCACAAAAGGTTTTCGCGCAAAAGTACTTTTACTTTTTACTTACTATCCATAAAACAAGATAGTGATCAGCACGCCCATTTCAAAACTACGAACTCAGCTCAAATGCAAATGGTAAATATATGTTTCATGGGATAGAAGTTATCTAGTTGCAAGACTCTTAATTACATCGTCAAGCCTGAATGTTGATTGTTGTTTATCGCCACGTTCATTGACGTTTTGAAAAATGCCAAATTCATTATTAGTGTAGATACTTGGCAAGACTGATTAGCTAAACCTTCTCA